CGCACGACTCGTACATAGGTGTACACTTTAGACTCTTTGTGACCGTTTAGCCATTCTCACGAATGCTGAGCGTAACACTATACTTAATCATGAATTTTCTACTGGTCATTACATTTGCCTGTTATCAAAGTCAGAAATTGAAACTCTCATTGGCCCATTCCAAACAGCGCCCCTCTCTATGGTTGCAAAATTGAGCAAGCTGGGCAGCTTTCGTGTGGTCCAAAACCTTTCATTCCCATTACACCCATCTCCAACTATATCATCTATTAATTCGTCCATTGATTCTAACCTATATCCTTGCACCTGGGGTACAGCTACCACCATCTGCCTTCTCATATGGTCCCTTCCCCCAGGTTCCCAAGCCATGGTTCATGATGTCACTGAAGCTTATCATGTGATCCCACTCCACCCATCCCAATGGCCAGGGCTGGTCATCAGGACCAGACCTGACAACTTCACCATTGACTGCAGTTTCTGTTTTGGCTTCACAGCATCTGCTGGAACCTATGGTGAAGTGGCAGATGCAGGGGCTGATATTTTTCATTCTCAGGGCATTGGCCCCATGTCAAAGTGGGTGGATGATCATCTCTTCATTCAAATCCTCTGTAAGCACCTTAACAGCTACAACAGCCTTCATAAGGCTCAGGTGGCCATTATCGCAAGAAACAGAGGGTTATTGGTGGATGGGGGTCAAAAATGGTACAAGGGATCTATCATGCCAGATGGATGAGTGGAGGAATGTGACGAGGACCTTTCATTTCTGATACTAGACCTTTCATCCTCCTCCCCATGTTCTCTTGAGGATGCCCTATTCACTTACTCCTTTGAAGACATCAATCATCTATCCAAACTGCTTGGAATCCCATGGGAGCTTGCCAAAGACATTTTCTTCTCATCATGCACACCATTTATTGGTTTCCTCTGGGACCTATCAACACGCAGCATATCCATTCCAGCCAAGAAGAAGGAAAAATACTTGGCCACCATCCTTAAATGGGAGGCACAACACATGCACACCCTGCATGAGGTCCAGCAGCTATACAGCAAGTTACTGCATACTTCCTTGGTACTTCCAGCCAGATGAGCATACCTTGTCTCTCTGGAGACCATGCTATCAACCTTCCGTGACCGTCCGCACATGCCACGTACCCCTCCCAAAGCCACCAGCAATGATCTCCACTGGTGGAAAGTTAACTTCAGTCAACCTACCATTTCCCGCACCATTCCAGGACCAGTTGAAGTCATTGACCCCTCAGCTTACTCAGACGCTAGCTCAGGCACTGGCATTGCAATATGGATCAATGGCCACTGGTGAGCATGGCACCTCCTCCCCAGCTGGAAGACTGATGACAGAGACATCGGCTAGGCGGAGGCTGTCAGAATGGAATTCCTCATCACCACAATCCTTACTCTTTGCACAGAAGGCAGCTGCATCAAAATATTCAGCGACAACCACAGTGTTGTCAAAGGCTGGTGGAAGGGTCGAAGCCAAAATAAGGCCACCAATGGAGTCTTCAAATGAATCCACAAACTCATGGCAGCCACACAGTGCACAGTCCTCATGTGCTACATCCCCAGTGCCTACAACCCTGCCAATGGCCCTTCTAGAGGCATCTACCCACCCATTCTCCTTCTCCTTCCCCCCATCCAGATCCCATCAGTGCTTGAATGCTTCATCGCCAACTTTGACAATCCCAAACTCCTTGCTGAACACAGCCCATGCAGTGCAGATGTCGAAATGCACTCACCTCCAGCTCCACACAATCCCACAGGTGACCATTCCACCAGGCTCAATGACGAGTTCAGGCGCCAAGACGAAGAACTCCTCAAAGTGGCACAAGCTTAGTAAGTACAGCCCATTCCCCTCATACTAAAGGTAGCGCCTGAAAGGGTACAACTTTCACAGTCTATCCTACTGAACCCACCCTCAGCATCTCTAACTTGTGCCCACACTGTCCAGCCAAGGATTGGCTCCAACTCTGGCTTCCCATGAACTCTTGATCAGCAACTACATCCCTTCCTCATGCAGATGCCCAGCAAATACAGGACATGATGATACAGTGGCTCAAAAAACTGTCCACATGTTTTGACATTTTTCACTATCTATGATATTGTGTGAGAACGAACAAATGCCTCAAGGACATGCTTATACCACATTGTAGTATGGCTTCAGGGCTTTCATTTGAGCCCTACACCGTGGGAATCGGTGGAGATATGGTGGAGATACAAGGCTCACAAAATGGTGACTCATGCAGACAGTTTTTTGACTCAAGTATTTTACAATAATAACCAGGTATTCTAGTATTTTGTATGACCTCCCTTGGCTTTAATTACTGCCTCTATCCTTCTAGGCATACTCTCAATTAATTTCTGGCAATCCTCAGCTGTGATCTTCCCCCATTCCACTGCTACTCTCTCCCAAAGCTCCCATACTCCTTTAGGGGGGTTTTCATAGGCTTGAAGCTTTTTCCTGAGTGTTCTCCAGAGATGTTCAATGACATTGACATCAGGAGACTGTGCTGGCCAGTCAAGAACATTGATGTTATGTTCATCAAACCATTCCTTAGCTCTTCTGGATGTGTGCTTGGGATCATTATCCTGTTGGAAAATGATATCTTCTTCATCAATCCCTGATTCTGCCAAGCTAGGCAGCAAGTGGTCATTTAAAATGTCCACATACTGCTCAGCATTCATCTTCCCCTTAACCTCAGCAAGCATTCCTACACCATTCCATCCCATACAGCCCCATACCATTAAAGAACCTCCTCCAAACTTGACAGTCCCATTAACCTCTCTGTCTGTTAGGCCATCTCCCTTCTTTTTCCATACATATACCTTCCCATCTGACCCAATCCTATTGATTTTGGTCTCATCTGACCACATAACATGCTTCCAGTCCTCTACAGTCCAGTGTTGATGAGCTAAGGCAAAGGCTAGTCTTCTCTGCCCATGTTTGATGGAGAGAAGAGGCTTTTTCTTCTTTGTTACTGCCTTGAGATGAGCTGCCTTGAGAACATTCCTCACAGTTTGTGAAGAGACAGGGGTAGTGATGGTGGAATTGATATAATGGGTGGCTTGGACAGCATTATCAGCCTTTCCTGTAGTGATATGTTGGATAATAGCCCTTTTGTCAGTAGAGGTAAGCTTGGATGGATGTCCTCCACAAGAGTTTTCCTTGTCTGGGTGGCTTTCTTTGATAAACTTGGCCACAGTGGACTTGCATACTCCAGTTCTAGAGGAAATTTGGCAAGCAGAGAGGCCAGCATAAGACAGAGAGAGGATATTATCTCTTTGAGCAGAGGAGATGGCTTTCATGGTGATTATGACTATGATACATGAGATATTCTGGTTTATATAGTTAGATATAGTCATAAAATAACATAATGACACCACTTCATAATTTATATAATAGTGGCATGATTTTTGTGGTGTCATAAATAATGATTTATATAGTTTTAATATACACTCAAAAAACTGTCCACATGAGTCATCATTTTATAAGCCTTATGTCTCCACCATATCTCCACCGATTCCCACGGTGTAGGGCTCAAATGAAAGCCCTGAAGCCATACTACAATGTGGTATAAGCATGTCCTTGAGGCATTTGTTCGTTCTCACACAATATCATAGATAGTGAAAAATGTCAAAACATGTGGACAGTTTTTTGAGCCACTGTATATGCATGGGCATGCAGCATGCAGGAAACATATGGCAGTGGCATCCTCACATACCACATCTACTGTGACTCAAAAGTGATCACAGAGGATCTGTGAGTGCCTGCATCTTCCAAACTGATCTCCACCTTCATATCAGACTTGGCAGGCTATTATTCAGGTAAAACAATCACTGGCTATATCCATGGAATCTGGGCATGGCACATCTTGCATGGGATAAAATGGTCACTTGAAGAGGACCAGATTGATGCCCTGTTGAAAGCTGCAAAGAATCTCACCCCCGCTTCATCAAAGTGGAAGAAATGACAGCCTTACACAATAAGTTTTATCACCAACCTCTTGCTGAAGCTGAACCCAAACAATCCGATTGATGCAGCTGTGGGCAGTTGCTTGACCACAGCATTTTATTCCATTGCCAGAACCAGAGAGTTCACCATCCCAAACCTATCTTCCTTCAACCCCACAGCTCACGTGAAACACAGCAACATTTGTCATGAGAGAGACTGAAATGGATTGAACACCACAGTATTTCACTTACCCCACACAAAAATGTTGCACACTGGCAAAGACATCTTTTGGGCCAAGCAGCAAGGTCCCACAGACCCAGAGGCAGCACTGAACAATCATTTAAGCATCAATAACCCTCCTCCTCAAGGCACCCTCTTTGCATACAAGCACGGTAACACTCGCCGGCCCTTGACGAAGACCAAATTCATATCTCACCTTATGCAAGCAGCCAAAGACACCGGTTTAAGTCCTTTGCAAGGCCATGTTATTAGAATTGGAGCCACACTCGAATACCTCCTCTGAAACATTCCATTTGACATGGTGAAGACCATAGGGCATTGGGCTACTAGTAGTGATGCCTTTCAGCTCTACCTTCACAATCATGCCCAAATTCTCGCACCTTACTTGCAGGACAACCCAGCCATCCAGAACGAATATTTGCACCAATCAATGCCCCGCATACATTGATCAGCATGTGAGTTTTCGTCCACCTCCTACTGTCATGGGGATCCGCGGCTCGCTCGATGCGTTGTAGGACTCCTGATAGCATGGGATTCGCAGCTCACCTTTTCTCTCACAGGATCAGCAGATTGGGACCAGAGGGCGCTGCACGCCTTCACCCAAATAGCTCAGGACTTCCTCGTAGTTGGACTCTAGTCTTTTGTGTAAATCGCAGTAGTAACAATATCAATTGTGGCCTTGTGCATTCACATGCATCTCAGCGACTCGCAAAGACATTATCTTGCCACCCCCTTGAGTTATGTAATATATTAAATATTAATGACTGCCCTTCTCAAGCGCTTCTCTTCTCAACTGTGAGCATTCTTTTATTTGCTGGTTTAACTTAATACTACCGCAAAAGCTACATATGCGGCTGTTCCATGAATCATGATCCATCAGTATCTCTATGCCAGCTGGTTACTTGCTCGATGTAGTCAACCATTCTCTCATAATGCCCAGGTGTCCTCAACCGTGTCTGAAGTTGACGTGGCTGCTGGGTGATGAGCCCCTTAAGTATTCAACTTTCTAGACACCTTTTCCAACCTTCATAATATTACTTTTGAATCTAGCTTGAGACACAACTTATGGCACCCGTCGCAGTCTCTCTTGCTACCACCACCGACTTCGTTACTGCACCTCACACTCTCCACGACGTCATCGCTCAAGCTGCCGAGTGGTATCCGTTACATGAGCTTAGTTTCATATCCTCCCTGGCACAGGACTCCATTCAGACGAAGACCTTCAGTGCGTTCAACCAGTATGTTCGCAACCTTGCACGGGCCATGCTCGAGTGGGGCAAACCCAGAGGTTCGGTTATTGTAGTGTACCTGACAGAGCATGAAGATAACATGACTGCTGTCTGGGCGTGTCTGCTGGCTGGCTATCTGCCCTGCTTACAGCCCGCACTTAGCGCCCAACAGGCGCACAAGGAGGGCCATGTCGCACATATCAAAAATTTGTTGGGGTCTGCAACTTGGCTTACCAGCGAGCTCGGGGCTGAGCAGATCACCTCCATTTCTGGACTGGAGGTTCACCTATTCTCCGAATTCAAATCGTCAGGAGAGAAATTTGCTGTTGGAGCTGACTGGGTTGCATATAAGGCTAAGCCGGACGACGATGCTATCATGTTCCTGACCTCAGGGTCAACTGGGTTCTCGAAGGCGGTCGTCCATACGCACCGGACCATCCTTACTGCATGCCGTGCCCAGGGACAAAACTACGGCCTAACTTCCGAATCCAAAGTTTTGAACTGTAAGGCGAACATCATCCAACTTTTCTTTGAAATTGATTTTGACATTCAGGGATCGGATTTGATCACGTGGGAGGATCATTGGAATTCCACATCACACCTCTGCTACATGGTGCTTCGCAACTCCACGTGCATGCGTCTGCTATTATTACTGGTCCTCTGCGGCTGCTCCGTTTGATCGACGAACAGGTATGCCAACACTGAACCACAGAACGTGTCTCTTATCATTCATTTTAGTCCATCCAACTGGCTTTCGGCCCGAACTTCCTACTCTCCAAACTCACTCGTGACCTGGAGAAGCGCAGCGACCTCTTCGGGTGCTTTGACCTGTCTTCTATCAAGAGGATCAACAGTGAAGGCGAAGCTATTGTTTCCAAGACCGCGCAAGCCTTCGTTGCTATGATGAAAAAGTTTAGCAAGAACCCCTCTGCCGTGTCCCTTGTGATCGCCCCCGGGTTTGGAGTGACAGAAACTTGGTGAGGATGCTTTAAGTATATTGATGTCTCAGCTGATGGGCCTTTTCAGCGCTGGATGCATTTATAACTACCCTTTGGATGTCCTCACAACCGAGCTTGCTCGTGAATTTCTTGATCTCGGACGCCCCCTCAATGGCTGCGAGATGCGCATCGTGGATCCCGCAGATGGTACTACCCTGCGTCCCGACGGTGAGAGCGGTGAGCTTCAGATTCGCGGACAGATGGTCTTTGTACGCTACTACAACAACGCCGAGGCTACGTCCTCTAGCTTTGTTGAGGGCGGCTGGTTCCGCACTGGCGATGTTGGAATAATTGAGAATGGTGTTATGCGTCTTGGCGGCCGTATCAAGGACACCATCATTGTCCATGGTATCTCATATGGCATCCCTGAGCTCGAAACCAACCTCCAGACCGTTGAAGGGGTCATGCACTCGTTCCTCGCTGCCGCTTGCTACCGCGCTCCTGGCCAGGACACCGAAGGATTCATCATTTTCTACTCACCGACTTTCAACCTCGATGGAGCAGAGGCTTCTACGGAGCTCTCTGCGACGCACCGGGCCCTGCGAGATATCTGTGTGAAGATGATCACTTTGCCGCCTCAGTTTATCATTCCCATTCCTGTGAACCAGATGGAGAGGACTACTCTTGGAAAACTATCTCGTGCGCGTCTCATGAGCCTGTTCAAGCAAGGCCAACTTGCGAAGTACATCACCCGCTCTGAAGAGCTTCTCAGCGAGGCACGCGGCATTTCCTTCGTCGCCCCGTACACCGAGACAGAAAAGGTGTTTGTTAAGATATACGCCGGCATCTTCAACCTGATAGAAAGCAAGGTGTCGGTGAGCGATAACTTCTTCGAGATCGGCGGTACTTCTCTTGACGCTATCCGGTAAATATATCTATTTCGACTTTTAAGCTACCTTCACTGATACATGGTCTGCAGGCTCAAGCGCGAAGGAGAGGAATACTTTGGCCTGCCTGATATCCCTTCCATCCAAATCCTGAAGCATCCTGTTCTCTCGAGCCTGGCCCACTACGTTGACTTCTTGCTCTCTAAGGGCACCCAAACTGAGGAATACGATCCCATCGTTCCCTTTTCAGTGACCGGAAATAAGACGCCGATCTTCTTCGTCCACCCTGGTGTCGGAGAGGTCCTCATTTTCGTCAATCTTGCCAAATACTTCCAGAATGAGCGTCCCTTCTACGCTTTCCGTGCTCGTGGTTTCGATTCCGGCCACCTGTTTTTCACCTCTATGGACGAGATGGTTTCCTGCTATGCTGCAGCAGCCAAGAGGATTCAGGCGACGGGACCGTACGCCATTGCAGGTTACAGTTACGGCGGTGCTGTTGCGTTTGAAGTTGCCAAGCGGCTCGAGGCCATGGGGGAAGAAGTGAAGTTCTTCGCTCCCATCAACATTCCTCCTAACATCTCCGACCACATGTGCGAGCTTGATTGGACGGCCGCTTTGCTCAACTTGTCGGCCTTCCTCGGTTTCATGTCGAGATATGATGCTGATGATATGCATCCTTCTGTGAGCCTGCTCACGAGGCAGCAGCAGCTCGAGTTCGTATGGAAGTTGTCGCCTCCTGAACGTATTGTCGAGCTCCAGCTGACGCTCGAGAAGCTTGACAAATGGACGGACGTCGCCATGTCTCTTATCAATTGCGGAGTAGACTACATTCCAACAGGCTCAGTTTGTAAGTCGTTTACTTTCTCACTTCAGAACCACTTGTTCACATATCTGCTCCTCAGCCGCAGTCGATGTTTTCTACACCACTCCCTTTGCCGGATCTAACGTTGACTGGCTCAACAACCAGCTCAAGCCATGGACTGGCTGGAGCCGCGGCGAGGCATGGTCTGACTTCAGCCGCAGCAAGGTGTCATATATTTTGGTGCCCGGGGAACACACTACGCTCATGGACTTTGAGTACGTCTCGCAGTTCCAGAAGATTTTCCGCAGTCGTCTGGAGGCTCGTGGATTGTAGAGTTTTGAAAGGGCATATTTTACCTTATCGAGTATTTATTCCAACTACAGGTGATTGCCACTGCGCAGCTCGTTTTGTTTGATCAACAGGTATAGTACGCAGTTGCTGAAATCTTGGCTCGTAGTCTAGTCTTCCATCACTCACCGCAGTTATAGTCCCAACTCCCGACAGCGAAGTTGTTCTGCCTATAAGGCACCAAAGAATTGGATTCAAGATCACGAGTGGGATCAAGCATGATTCACTCGTCGTATTCTTCACGGTCTTCTTCTTCAACTACAATTCTCCAAGGCAGCCACAACAACGAAGTGCACAAAAGTCTATCCCTGAATGCAAAGAGTGCAGTGTTATTTATGCACTCGACCCATACTTGTGGTGTACTTCATTGCCTGCGACTTTCCAGATAGACTCGACGATAGTCGGTCTGGACAGCATCTTCAGAAATAAGGGTGTCGACGTACGTAGTCAGACTGGTCAGTCTGGCACGCGAAGCGTGGAAGAGCGTGGAGATTTTAAAAATCGCATGCGGCGCCGATTGTGCTGCCTATGCATACTAATTCTCCGTATCCACGGATTAATATGCACGGACACGTGTGACGTCAAATGGTCTACCCCTGCCATGTCTGCATGTTATGATCAAGTCCAATAACGGCTTTTAACACCATCTTTGTCCCTATCTGCTTTGGACTTTATCAGCACACTTTCAGTGTGAGCAATTTCTCGAAGTCTTTGCGCAGCTTCCAAGCTCCGGGAAGACACTCTGTATCATCTTTTCTTCCCGACAACATGGTTATTACACGTGCTGTATGCATGGCAGAAAGGACTCGACGTAGTCATGGAGTCGTTCTCCCAATGACCGAGATCAAACACGAGTAAAAATTCCGGGGTGATATCTTTTGAAGAGCATCAGAAAAAATCAACTTGGTCCGGGGTCAAAACATATCCTTAAAAGACTTATCGCTGCACGGCAGCGCAATCTCGATATCCGAACCTTCGTTACTAATACCACCGCGAGGATCGTTAATGAAATATTAGCATTAAACGCCGGATGACGGTTCCAAGAGAGGGCAAGCACATACCCGGTAGCACATGGGCTTAATGTCAATGATGTTACTCAATGTCTTCTCAACAAACATAGTAGAGAGAAAACAGGATGCTACATTTGATCATCTACGCAGATCTGCGCTCAGCTGATCTCGTAGTTCTTGGCGCTGTACAGATATTCAGGTGTATTTCAAATGGTTTACCTGCCTCGAATGAAACTCATTCCACTACCCCTGTACAAGGGCTGCCATGGATGCTGATGACTTCCCAAAGTACAGCATGAATATGTCCTTGATAATATTCCCACCTAACCGATACACGTCTGGGTGATGCAAAACAGATATCAGCAGTAAAATAGTTGGTGGATGTAGCCGCCTGAGGCGGTTACATCTCCGACTTACCGCCATCTCCGGTAGATCCCGATCAATCAGGTACTGACTAAGCTACACCTGCCTTGCGGCACAACAGGCATCTGGCAGCTGGCAGCTTGATCAAGGAGGCGTACGACATGTCGATAACAAAGCTTCCCAGCCTCAGCGCTAAAGCTTCAACCCATCGAAAGGTACGAATGTATATGTACGATCATCAAACTTATTTTCACAGCTATTCTCAGCCTATGATTATCAGATGGCAATCAGAGGAAATTTCTCTCTCCCTCGATGTGTAGGAAATTTATGATGCATATCAGCTTTGGGTCACCGTCTGACAGGTTGTGGAGACCTTTAGAAGTACTATTGTCAAGGGTATCATTACTATTGACGGTGACTGTCATGGTCCCCTGCCTTTCTGCGCTTTGCTTTAGCGGAGATCACCACTTGGTGGTTGCCTAGGTAGTATCATTCCCACACGTCGCTGAAATGAACAGGTACCAAAGTCCAACCATGGCGCTATACTTAATCGCCGTACCTACAGAGGCAGGCAGGCAGTGCAATAAGCCTTAAGATCAGCGACCCGTGCAACTGCAGGGACCAAGAACTCAAAAATCTCATTTCAGCAGTCGGCGCAATCAACCTGGCCTTGCCACCAAACCATTGTATAAAGACGTAATCCTGTGCAGGTAACGCCTGTACATTCCCTAAATCATACTCCTCCCCGAAGCATTTGACTATATATTTCACTCATTCGGCCATCTTACTTAGTCACTTGACCTCCAGTTATGCACAATAATCATGACAGCGTTGGCTCTCTCAGTGCAGAGGTAAGTAAATCCTTGGAATTCTACGTCTAATTGAAACGTTCATGTTTCTTCAGGATCAATTAATTTCCCTACGAGAGCAGATTAATGAAATCAAAGAGCACATCGACTTGCTCATGAGGCAAAGCGCTATCATACGGGAACGAAGGTCCCTCCTTCAGCATCAACAAGATATCACGCCGCTTGCGATAACGGAGCAACTGGATTTTACGTCCCTGGAGACCAGCTCTGTCAATATCCTTGACATAAAGAATACTCAGGATTCCACTGTCTCAGGTCCATCTTCGGCGTTGAAGGGCGCAGCTGACTTCCCAGCATCTCGCCCCCGATCAGAATCAATAGTGGTATGTGATAACTTATGTGTAGCTGCTTCATCTCATACAAGATGGGTACCACCTGAAAGACTATCCCTTCTGATAACACCGTTGTCGTTCAACCACCCACACAATCTAAAGGCAGCACGTCCAAGCCGCGCGCTATACCTCGCAGGTATGGCCAAGGACGTCGTGAATTCCATGGAAGGTCTGCACGGCGTGAACCTCTTGCTTTGTTTCAGGGATGGGCAGACGCCTCTAGTAACATATTCTGAAGACCCCGGTTGGTTTGATCTGAATGATTAATGATATTGATGACGTTGTGTACGCATATATTCGCCTTCAGAAGCCTGAGATCTCTGAAGTGCTCGATGATAAAGAATCGGAAGTCATACTCGCGGCGTTTCTTCCAGTGGGATGTCGTATTTATGAGGAGGGATCTATAAACGAGCTCGAATCTGTATAACATGTTTAAATCAAACTATTCTGCAGGTCTTTGACTGTAGGAGACTTGAGACGGATACACATACGAGAGAAAAGCACACTTTCATATAAGCAATTGATCGACATTTGGCCGCGTAATATGAGGCATGGATGTATACAATTTGTACGAGCAATATGGTGGAATCAAAAGCCGATGGTACCTTCATATAGGTTATACTCCGCAGGTCTACAGCTGGCCGGGAGCGATGCTGCTGATAGTTTGATAGGTATTTGGCCATGGTCTACAAAAACAATTTCAGACTCGACGCCCTGGATAGTTAACCTGCAATTTTGTGGTCTCGAAGTAGAATACCCATTTGTCTTCGCTACTCCTTAACGGATGTCCACCCCAGTAGAATTGTTTACGTCGTCCGTACGTCCATTGACGTCGCTCTACAAATCATTAACGAACACAATTAGCTCGATAGTCAATTTAAAAGTTAGGTTTGAACGACTTCGCAACGAGATAAATCAACAAAACAGAAAACGGAGCCCCTTACCGCCAACAAGAACGTATCCTAGCAGCCTGTCTTCTCGAATGATCACGCGTTTAGGAAGCTTCTCCGAGTCGGAACCATTGACATGTCCAAGTAGCAGTGTCTCTATAGCCGTCTGTCGAGACATCGATTGAATATATAAGTGACTTCAGGTTTAGTCGAGCTCGTTAGCATGCATCACTGTTAATGCGCGCTTACCGTGATATCGCGCTGCTCTATAGCATATATGGCCAGTTCCGCTTTCGAAGGACTGGAAACAAGATATCGCCAAGTCTCTAAGAATGAAACTGAAATTATTCCCAGTAGTTGTCTTGTTACCTTGTGTTTCTGCTTCTGATGGTGACCTGAACGACTGTCCCCATATGGTCGCCAAGATTTAACGATTCGGCTGTAGCACTGTTGTACGGTTGGGCCTCCAAGAACAATAGTCGAGTCTTGTTGAGAGGTAGTGTCATCGTTGTGTCTTTCAAGTTGCTGGCTGCCGCTCGCCGATCGTCTGATTTCAAAGATTAGAAATTGAATTAACCGCCTCTTGGGCCTTGCTGACTAATCAGTTACCGTGTGCATGACCTTCGTTAGGCAGGTACTGACCGGCCTATCCCCCAACTATCTAGTATTCGGTTCATCATGCCTGTGTTTGAAGCCGCCTGCAAGGGAAGGAGTGCAGTAGTATGAGACTTGGGTCGGCCGTTCAGGGAAGATTGCGGGAGTGAAACGGTGCGCCGAACTTCTATTTCTTCGACGCATGTCAACCTAGGTGGGCAGCTCACAGTAGACACAGCCTCAGCGCTCTGCTTGACACAACCATGATGTATGTACCTGGTTCTGTCCCAAGCATTCACTCTCAGCTCCCCGACAATGAATTTGTCATCTGCTCATCCTGTGCCAACGGGCTTACCTCTAAATGCATACACCATCTTCTAACGACGCATGGAAGAGTTCATGCAATGCGATAGAGCATGGCGGCATTTTCTATTCCGACAAACGCCAGCCCCACTCACGATGTATCGAGTCGGACTTCGGGAGAGTCTGAGAGCAGTCCGACCGATGTGATCAAACGAATGTTTGGCTCAATGGCCTCACCGGCGTTGGAAAGACATCCATTGCATTCACCGTTGGACCTGGTCAGCCCAGCTGTCAGAAGAGATGAACCAGAAAGATGCTGATGATGTCTAAGTCTGACTACTGCTACCGCTCTCTATCCTGTGCTAATGCCATCTGGGCTATTGCCGAGTCCCCTAATGCTACCTCTTGCTTGTTCTGCCTTGCTCCGTTCTGCTTAGGTTTGATTGGAGCGTCTCGCTCCACCGTAGCTGAGGAGATGAAAAGAGCCGGAAGGCTTGCCGCCATTTTTTCTTCTCGCATAAGCATGCACAAATTGCAGGTAAGATTATTATTCCTACCATCGCTTACCAGCTTGCACTGACTTTTCCCGCGCATTCGAGGCGATATCGCGCAAGCGATCGAGTAAGACGAGATTATCTTATCTTCTGAAAAATCTTGTATTGACCAGATGCGGGGGGGAATACTAGACGGGGATGATGACATCGACTTCAAGGTTCTTAAATAGTATGCGGACACGGAGAACGTGAGATGAAAAGAGATTAAATCTCGGTTTGGCGTAAAGAGATGGACGTCATGCTCAGTACGCAAGCACTGGAGTCACAGGTATTGGAGTACCTTTCTGGAAAGCTGTGGCGATGAGTCTGATGGGCCGGTTGTCATGTGTTCAGAATCAGACAAGAGAACAAGTACGTTAACGCTGAGCGCACTGCTATTTCTTCAAAGCTTCACACCGCAAAATCGGAAAATGTGCATCTCCTTGTGAAGGGAGCCCCAGTGTGACATTGCGACGGAATCATAACGACTCGGAAGGTTCGACTCCGAATCCTGATTCGGAGCTGGATCTACGAAGATTTGATCTAACCGGTCATCAGTTTTCTCAGCGCAGACTGCAACACCGCAGTAATACCTACAGCTATTGTTACAGTGCCGGCGCCGCCACAAGGGCTTTGTACTGATATTAGAAAGTTTCCGCGGGAGCAAAAGTGATAAGTGCGTAGCTGGTCCTGCCGGCACGGTCGTGACCCGCCTGTCACGGTGATGCGGCGTGACCTGCCAGTGCAAGCGTTCCTACATTCGACTCCCGGATCGAGTTGCACGGGTTCATGACCTTCGTTATTTTATTCATCATAGGACATGTACTACTGGGTGCATCAGCCAATGAATATTTTATTTTCCTCCCTTTTTGGACCCTCTGCTCGATGTTTAGGGGGCGCACAATATTCAGCCGGCAGTGAAGGAACTACGACTCGTCTAAAGACGTGGCGTCAGGGCTATCGCTGAATAAGGGGCCACGCTATCAATCACAAGTTAGAGACCTATTGAACAGAGCAAGTAATATTCTCCTCACTTCAAGTTCACTCTTGCTGTAATCTCTGCCCAGAACTCATGCATTAGGAATATTGAGATACACATTCCACCGCCTGCAGTGAAAGTGTGCACCAAAGGCATACCACCAAGCCATTTTTCGACTTGACCGGAAGCACCGGTAATGTTCTCAGAGAACCAACGTGCGATTTTTGCACACTCATGAGACGAGATATCGCCACAAGGTGGCATGCTGTAAGCACCCACACCATCTAGGTCCCTCTCCGACCGCAAGTTATAGCCCATCACGGGATATGCCACCATATCAACTGTGGTTCAAGTCAGGACTATTATCTCTAGGCCATCTAGGCCATAGAAGACAAAATAAAAGACGTTGAGACTGGAGAAGGTACCGCTATCTGTAGCATGCTTGGTAAACGATTTTATTACTGCCTGTAGACAATACAGTGTATGTCATCTAATTCTGTTATGACGAAAGGAGACGCTGTTAGAAAAATCAGTTATTAAGACAGATTGAAAGTATACCTAAGTTACACCGACAGTTAGAGTGCCGACGCGCAGCGTGGAGTTTGACGCGGCACCGACTTGGCAGCATGTGCTATGCGTGAGGTGGCACTGACGAGGTACTGACGTGGCATGGATGAAGTTTGACGCGGTACAGGCAAGTGTGGAGGTTGACATTAGTACGGAAGCTGTGAATATGTTGAGGACAACTTGTTGACATGGTAGTACTGAGTACTGAGTACGGAAACCTGACGAGGTGGAGTCAAGCTCGGCTTGACACAATGAGACAATACTTCACATGGTACTGCGTCTGAAAACTAACATTAGATCAAGATGCACACGTCATTTAATACAAACACGGAGGACAAGCACTGTAAATATGGTGATAAGTGAATACAACACTCCAGGCAGATGGAAACTCATTCATTAACAAGAATTAAAAGTGTTTGGAATGAGCGACATAAGGTATTGTGTTTAACTTTGAACATACCCTAGGATTTGTGACACACTCGTGTTGGTACCGCCACAAAGACTTTGTCGGAAAGTTCCGCGGGGGCTCATGAATGGGTCCGAATTAGGCAAGCGGCTACTATAGTAGTAATCAAACGATCAAGCCGATATACCATGCGATGCAAGCGCTGAGCATGGGGCATCGGTGCAACCAAATTATCATCACGAACCGCTTGCTGTGTCGGATAAATACCCTTCTTTCTTTCTTTCTTTCTTTCTTTCTTCCTTCATTTGAGGCGACTCACGACACAATTTCACTAAGTCCTAGAAGCTGACTGACAATGAGCACACCTCCTTTCAGGATCACCTCAGGTGTTCCCGAAGCTCGTCTCAGTTCATCTCCCTTATCGTCACCGCATTCCAGCACCCGACCCTTATCCCGTGCAAGTGAAAACCAAGCACTCTCCGCTCTCATTCGAGAGCCTGTTCACAGTGTACATTCCTCCCCAGGAGATAGCACTGTCAGTATATCTCGCGACGATGACTATACCAGAAACTCGCATCCTGCAACAATCAGGTCCAACTTCCCCGCAGGCGGAGGAGCACACGGGAGTAAGAATATGGGTGCGCACATGATTGCTAACACACCTCGAGACTCCATTCTTCTGTCACCGGCCGGCACAAAATTTGATACGTCACCCACGCCATCTGTCATACTTACTCTCCATCACAATGATGACAGAAAGGCCTCATCGGCACCGACATCACCTACAGAGAGGGTGTCACCTCTAGCGTCTCTCAGTGTGTCTGCGTTGTTGAACGAACACTCAGATTCGCCTCGTGACTTACTGTACCAGCGTCACGACCCCCGGGGAGATACAACACCACCGAATGGGATGCCGAGGAGATGGTGGTCACGCCCACCTTCAAACGAGAGGGGGAGGTCTGTCTCTCCCTCAAGAGGGGGGAGTATCCCCTTCCGTAGAAGTAGATTCAGAGACGTTTCCACGCCCGAGTCGGACTCAAGTCTTCTGATGTCGGATGATTTTGCGGAGCAGGAAGCTCCTTTTCCTTCTTCGTTGCACGACGATCTGTCTCTTGCCCCTTTGTCCAACGGCCTTCTTTCCTTATCTCGCGAGGATCTTCCAGTCCACGATCTTGATGAGAGGAACACCAGCGATGAAATTGGGGAGACCGAGAGCTCGCTTTTGCTATCCTCTCTCGAAGCTACTCCTGCCACCCTTGTATCACCCGCTTCCCCCACGGCCGCACACATATACCCGCAGACCCTCAGGTCACTAGGTGTAGGGATCGAAGAGGATGAGCGGAGGGATGACTTAGAGAATAGCTTTTGGCCCAAGCTATTCGGGATGTCTCCGAAGTCGTCTCCAAAGTCCCCTAGTGCTGTTGTGGGGACAAGTGCGTCCGCAAGCGAGACTAATCTGCAAGTTGAAGAGGGTCTTGTTGTCTCGATGGAGACTTGGGACGGAAAATCCCTAGACGTCCCTCCTTCGGTTATGTCCCCTGGTTCGTCCTCGCCTACGAAAGGCAAGGTACCTGCACTGCTGAATCAGGCAGTGTCCTCGGCATTGCTTCGTATGTCCTCTTATTTCTTCTGTAAGACTGGCGCCCTCAATTCTGCCAGAAAAACCGCTCTTTACTTCTCCTGGGAAAGGAAAAGGCAAGGGGAAGGCCCAAGATGCACCTCAAGCTCAAAGTAAACACCCGGAATCATGGTATGATAAGTTCACTCATCGTCAAAGCGCAAAAGGGTGGGAAAAGGAGAGTAAGGAGACTCAAGATAGTTGGCTTCGGACGAGGGAGGTGAGTTCCATCTATTTTGTACTTTATAAATGCCCCATCGTCTTCCCATTCTTGCTGGACGGAGACAGTCAAACACGAGATCTAAATTTTCTTCTTCTTTTCGTTTAAGATCAAAATTCACAGGACGACGTGCTCACGTGTATCATTCCGAACAGAACGTATCCTTAGCGTTGAACGCCGTACTGCCTACCTCTGAGCTCGCACGACTTTCAGGTGCAGGAAAGGAATTTGCGATGGAGGGTCAGGCTGCTCGTGCCACCACTGAGCAGGACAGTAGTAAAGAGGTGGAAGCGTCTTTGAGTGCCGACAAAGGTGCTGTGATCGGGAATGGCCAGGGTACAGAGAGCAAGGTTGGGGCCGGTCGGAGGGCTGTGTTGACGGGTGAGTCCTTGCGTGAAGTCAGGATTCGCTAACCTCGTATTCTTTATTAGTGAAATCTGCAGTAGTGACTGTCTCGCCCATGCTTCGAACCTCCCTTTCAATTCTTGGTGACGTCGCCACACTTACACCTATCCCTGGGCTCCGTGAAGCTGCGAAGACCTTGCTGACAGTGTGGGAGGCTGTGGATGCAGTTGAGGTGAGTTTCGATCTCCATCATTTTCTTTCGGGAGCAGAGTTTGAGATAGGACTTACGTGTTTTCAACAGACCAACCGCCTGCAATGTCTCCGCCTTACTGAGCGTTGTGCAAGGGCGATTTACTCTGTGCGCGCTGAGATCGCGGATGCTGACAGGGAGATGGAGTCTCAGCAAGGTCAACATGGTGATGTCGGTATTGTGGGGCTGGCAGTGGAGATGGAAGGCCCCATCGGGAAGCTGAACGAGTCCATTGGGATGGTAAGTTTTTGCTGTGCTTTAATTTCGTCCCGGATCGAGCAACTATTTTGTTTGCCTCATACTTGGGTGTTAACACTCGTTCTCTATAGGTGTACGACTTTCTTGTAAAGCTCAACCGTCGTCCATTCATCAAGCGGTTCCTGCGTAGCGACGAGATTCAGCAGGAAATTGAAGCATGTGACAAGGCGCTCGCAGATGCGAGGCAGATGTTTAGCGTGAGTGTCTTTTTTTGTTTTGCTTTTGCTTCCGTCTTCTTAATCTAACTTTGACTTGGCATAGATCTCAATCCAAATAAGAATCCTTAAAGAATGCAAACGCTTTGCGAGGGAGAGACGTATCGATGCCGGGTACTATGCACAAGGGCCTACACCTCCACCTATATACGCATCTCCTCCGTCACAGACCCTACCCATTTCTTCGACCGCACACCAAGGATCGAGACACCAGCACTTCCAGAATCACACGACATTCTCCCAGCAGCACCTGGGTTGCGCAGGAGTTCCCCACCACATAATCCACCATTGTCTTCGCTCCAATCCGTGCAATCCCAGGCTAACGACACCACCCCGCCCTCCGACGTGCCCATCTCCCCTCTCGATGAGCTTCAACACCTTCACACTGCTGAAAACGCCTCCGACAGAGAACAAGACCGTGTACTGTTCCACAACACACTCCAGCGTGTCATCAGTGCTCAAAGGGATGATGAAGTGTTACAGGTACTAGAAGTGCGCCCAGAAGAAGTGCCTGAGGCATTAAAGGCGCTTCGGAGAGCCGAAGAAGCGCTGAGGAGGGCAAGGGAAGCTAACGAAGGGCAAGGAGGAGAGGTAATCGAAGAAGGCCTGGAGAGAGTAGTCATGGAGACTGGGATTGAGGCTATGACGAGGTTGAGCAGTGTTGCCGTACAGAAGGCAGATGATCAAGATGTGGATGTTCCCTGGGATTTACCGTCTTGGACTATTACCCGGTACGTCTGGTTTCAGTTCCGTTTCGGCAAAGCTAATGATATTTTCCTGAGCAGCTACGAAGCCGACCGGCTCACCATGATCGGCAGCGGCTCCTTCTCCAAAGTCTACTTTGGCAGTTGGTCTGGGCGGCGTGTCGCCATCAAAGTTCTCTCCCCCTACACCCCCGCACCCCTCTTCAGGAAAGCGGTGGAGATATGGAGGAAGCTAAAGCACGAGAACGTGTTGAGAGTGTGGGGTGCGAGCAGTGCACAAGGCGAGCGACCGTGGTTCATCGTGAGCGAGTATTGTAGTGGCGGGAGTTTGGTGAGGTGGTTGAGAGAGAGGAAGGGGAGGGTTGGTGAACCAAGCGCTGAGGGTGCATTGACTCCTCCGGGTGCAGGCGCCAAGGGAGATATGGATCTTCTCCGGTGCATGCACCACATCTCGAAGGGGATGGTGTACTTGCATGGTCAGAATGTGTTGCATGGAAACCTCAAGGTAAGTATTGATCGTTGCTTGGTCTTTTAGTCTGAGTCCGGAGTGTGTAGGCTTCGAATGTATTGGTCGATGATAACGGGCGATGCGTCATCTCTGACTTTGGGCAGAACGAGATGCAGTGGGAGGCGTCGAGAAGGAGCGGGAAGCCCATTACGAGTGCGTTTATCTCGTCTCCCTTCTATCCTTATTTGACTGAAGCTCCATGCAGATGGAGCTCTACGCTGGCAAGCACCGGAACTACTCAATGGAGCCAAGGAGCTGTCGACAGCTACGGATGTGTATGCGTTCTCTATCTGCTGCATTGAGATTCTTGGCATGGCCGACCTTCCATACGGAAATCGTGACGACGAGCTTGTTACGTTCCTTGTCCTGCGTGAGTCCCGACCTATACAATATACACGTTAGTAATACCTCTACAGGCCAAAACAAGCGTGCTGAGATTCCCTCGATACGCATCACTTCACTCGTTGAACCTCTTATCCAAGAATGTTGGGACCGTGACCCTGAGCAACGCCCTGTGTTTACTCACGTTGCTGCGACGCTCAAGCGACTTCGTAAGCACCAAGGGGTGGAGGAATCCCCTATCCCAGTGCAGGCCGAGCTTCTTTTGGAGGCTTGGTCAGAGCCGCCCCACCACTCGCCGAGCATGCATCCTCTAGAACTACCGGAGACGTCTCCGTCTACCCTACAAGAAGGTCCAGTCATGCTGGGCGACGACTTAGATGCAAGTGTGGGAGACGAGTTTGGTACTGCGTCCGAGGGTACGGGAAAACTTGTTCCTGGCGATACGGCGTCGTATGGATCGCAGTCAAAACCTTTCCATCCAATTGGACAGCTATGCAGCAATCCATCGGAACTTACCGTGGACCCTCATACGGATGATATGGAGATGCCCGAGGGTAAATGTTCAGGAATTGCTATCTATACGCCGACTCGCAAATTATCTTTGGCGGAGAGCGATTCGATGAGTAGTGCCTCGTCGCATCTCACATCAAGTTCAGAAGCCGAATATAGCGCGTTGGAAGAGGCTCGACATCATCGTCGTTCGCACCATGTTGCCCTAGGATACGAAGCGTCTCTACCAATGGATGGGCAACTCGCAGAGAGGAGGAATGAGTTGCGGTTCAGGTCGTTAGCACGGTCGAGCCATGGGTTCCATCATTCCCGTACGTCCTTCTCCCCAGTGTTATAACTGTTCTTGTTCTGGCACCGATCCAACATGTGATTTCCTTCGCAGTTACCTTACCCCTTTGGTCACCTTCTCATGTTGAGCTGGGGGCGGTTGGATATCTCTCTGCTCCAAAAGGGGAGTTTATCACGCTCTTTAACGCCATGAAGCCACAGCAAACATCAGGAAGCAAAATTACGAATATTCCTTCGCTAGGCGGGTACCTTGAGGGACCTATTCGCACTGGACAGAAGTTCAACACAAACCGCACGATGACGCAGAGGGGACTTGAGCTCATTTCCGGGTTGTTGACTCTGATAGATCGTGATGGGTCATATTCGTGAGTGTACAACAGGTGTATTTTTGACCGATTTGTGTTAAACGCACGTTTAGGGAACGCATTTCGAGGCGTCATTCGTTCGCCCTTCAAGCGGGCCATAAGGCAGCATTCATCTATGCAGAGACCACGATGTACCGATTCATGGAAGACCTCACAGCACCGAGAGAATGGTTCAAGGCCAATGTCAACGCCATTGTCAAGGAGTATGCTCCTCATCATCCCATTCAGAAAGAAGACCTTATTGTGGGTGAGCATTCCTGTCCTGTTACTCATGGTCGAGTTTACACTGACCTTCCTCAATAGTTTTCGGTACTTTGAGTGCACCAGAATATGCGCTCTTCGTGAGCCACTCTCATCCGAATGGCCAAGCCCATTTCAACATCTTTTCGGATCGCGAGAGTAGTCGACCATGGGGCACCTTCACCACAGATACCGAGTACCCTTCCGATGAGGGTGGCCCCTCATACATTGAAGAGATACCCCGAAAGGCAGTGTTTGCGAGCAAAGTATCGCCAGTGCGGATGAATGCTAAGTCTAGTGACAAGGACTGGGACACGTTGGTGTTAGCCAGGCTTCGCTTCCCCACGGATGCAACGGAGCCTACTTGGCAGTAATGTCGCAAGACCGCATACCTATTTATTGATTCCGTAGACCAAGTGTATCATCTAATCTTCATGTTTTATTACTGTATCCCATGAGCCTTGTTTTACTATATGATTGGTCTCTTACCCGGGTGCTTAATTTACTGCTTCATATATGTACGATACCCATCAATCGAGATTTTGGATTGTCCTCCGAATCTGCAGCTTGTGATTTCGGGGCAACATAACCGTCGGATCGATGAGACGTCCGATGGGTGTTTAATTATGTCTGTCACACTAGATGCGAGAGTATATATACTTTCACAAGCGTGCAGTCTGCTTGCTGATAGATCTGAGATCATGAGGCTAGACCCTTCGAGGCCTCTTTCGAATGTTTAGTGGTAAAGTACAGCCCAAGCGGCGAAGAATTGAAAGGATACGCACTCTTCATGCCTGCAAGCTGCGCAAAGTCCCTGCTACTAGTATCCATGTTCTATTCCTGCATTCAAAGACAGCTTTCCGAACTTGCGGGTCTCGATACCTTGGGAAGAATGTCACTGATTATAGTATAAACACTGGCCCGGTTACAGTTGAACTGGGAGACTGTACTGCCTGTAATCGCGGCATAGAATGCTGTTCTTGTTTAGTACCAATGATTCCAGTATGCTAGGAACTCGAGAGACGAACCAATGACCGCTTTGTGGAATAGGGGGGTGCCAAGTATGGAAATATTGGAACTGCTGTTAAAGACGCTGATAGCAGGCATTGCTTGCAAGTCACCGATTACAACAGCCTCAGCCGCCGCCGCCAACACTTGAACTAGAACATTTGACGTTTCCATATGTACACCTGAGGCACACATAGTCACGTTCTGGACTCTGGCATTGCAGGTCTCGATATATATAGAACTCCGGCAGCTGGCACAGGTTACCACCTACCACGGTATGTAAATTTTCTCGCCTGTCTTTTGCTCAACTTTTGCCAACTTGAAGCTAAACGGTGATATGTAGGTCATTTCAAAACATTGTCCAAAACTGCTGCTTAGAATCGGACATCGCTCTCGACGTAAAAGGTGGATACTCGTTTTATAACAGCCGGCCGAGCTGGATGCCCAATTCCTGCAAAAATAGCCTCGATTGTGGCATGAGTAACTGTAATTCTCAGGATAAGAGGACGGGTATAGATGTTGGGAGGTTCTGTCCCTGTGAGCGCGGCTACATGTTATGATTCCAAATCATATTTACCAAACCATCCTGTTTTTTTCGACCAGTATTTTACAATAAAAAAATTTCAAGGTCTTGATCGTCTCCATGATATGTCACGCCAGATATAGGAACACCAGTCTATTCATTGCTTCATGAACGGTGCTCGCAGTGCTACATTGTCACGGAATGTTAATAGACGAGCCAAGGGACACGTCAGCTCCCGGCAGTCAGGACAGCCCGACTGGGAGGCAACTAGGACAGTACTTCCGGATATCCGTTCCAGCTTATCGGCAGTTTTGGACCTTGGTCACAGCCGTTTCATTGCCGAGTCATCGACACCACGATGGGCTAATTTGAGGACGCTGCGGCGTGCATGACAGGAATCCTAACCTGGTATTTACTTGGTAGAAATACTTGCGTTGCCGCGGCGTGTATAAGACTCCCACTGTTCAACGCCCACCAGTTGGAGGTTATTCCTTCGGTCACAATGACCCTCGGCTCTGTGCTTGCTACAACTGGTGAGTGCTTCGATATGAAAGTTCCTTCAGTGACGCTTATGAACAAGTGTGTCAACAGCACCAGTTAGTGTTGGTCCGTACCACTATGTCCCTACAGAGTGGATCTGTGTCCTTGTGAGTTGTGTTGTTTACGCAGTTTGCATCCATTTCATATTCTTCCCTAGTTCGTGGTGTTGTACAGTATCTCAACTGGTATGAATTTCGACTGTTGGCGATGCATGGTCATGACTTGACATCTTCAGTGCTCCACTTGGGCCAGGCGCTGAAGTATAAACTGTGGTGGATGATTCCCACAGCGACCTTCGCAGGTATACTGGAAATATTAGGATGGAGTGCCAGGTTATGGTCGAGTCGGAACCCCAAGCTTTTGACGCCTTATGAGATGCAGTGAGTGTTCCGATCCAGGAAGAGTCATTCATGCACACTCGAACATCTTCGCTGCAGGATCGTCGGCACTATCATAGCACCTACCCCGCTAGTTGCAGCCAACTTTATCATCCTTGGCAGGATTATCACTCAAGTTGGACCCCAGTACAGCCGTCTGACCCCAAAGACATGTTAGTGTTGTTTTTACGTGCCAGTTTTGAGTCACTAATCTAGCGTAGATACCATCTTTTTTTGCTGTTTTGTTAGTATTATATATTCAAGTGGCGTTAATCCTTCATATCTCCCCTCCCAGGATATCGTTTGCTTGATCGTACAAGCTGTGGGAGGCGCATCCGCTGCGCATTCCGCCAACACGAAGACAAGCGCTTCAATGGTATGCACATCATCCAACATTTCGTCTGACATTCACGTCATCAAGACAGGGCGCGAATATTATGCTAGGCGGAATTGCTGCTCAGCTCTGTGCGTGATGAAAAGTCCTGCAATACTTCTTTCACTGAAATCCACGTCCTTCGCTTTTCAGTCGCAATAGTTGTCTATGCCACTATGGCAGCTGAGACTCTCTTGCGTTTGAAATATAATGCACCCTTCCGCTACGTTGAACAGCCTCGCATATTAGAGAAAGGCCAACGTGCTGTGAGTAAGAACTTGCAACTAATGCTTTGCGGCATGGCGTTCTGCACCCTCTGCATCTTTATTCGGTTAGCATTCAAAGTATCCTGTTATCAGCAACTATGATGTACTTAAATCCGACCTTAGATCAGTGTACCGTACTGTGGAGCTCGCCAATGGATGGAATGGGCCAGTGATTTCGACGGAACGTTACTTCGGTACGTCGTCATTATCTTTGCTAGGAATACGCTGACAATGCTCTATGTTGGGGTAGATTGGCTCGATGGTGGCTTGGTGACTCTCGCTATTTACACTCTCAATTTCTTTCACCCAGGTATCTTGGTGAAGAAGGACGACCATACGGCTCATACTTCACAGCAAGGCAGCGATGAAGAAGCTAGCACGACCTAGATTCTAAATTTTGATTACTTTTCAATTTTACTATCAAGAGGCAATGGACCGTCACATTTACTAGTAGAGTAGCCGTCAGCATAATAGTTTGACGGTTATAACCCTAGATGCTCATACAACCTTTTCACGAATACGTGGATACCGCTTCCACTCAAGTATCTACTTACAAGCTTGTGTGATTGTCGGAACTCCTGGGGCACCTCTGGCATATCTATTATCTTGACATTTTATAATAACGCTTGTTTTCGTACTGCTTGTCTCCTGCCAGCCGCCATACCGCTGACTCTCATTCTCTCACTTAGTAGGAACTGGTTATCCAGAGTAACTCACCTCCGTCGGAGCTCCCTCTGAATGTTAATATAGTCCCCTGTGGGCAGAGTCTAACGTTGATCCAACAGTGGTTGTGCCATGTGTAATCCCGGCATGTTCCGTTTTTTTGATGAGTTCCAAATCCTCCTTGGAGATCTATATAGTACAGAAGTAAGTAGCCTCTCAGTCTGCCACTCCTCCCGAGTCCTTGACTCGGCTGTGATCTTGCTAAGTTGTTTCTTCAAGAGCCGCTCTTGTGCTATTAAAATTCCTCGGTCGCTGTCATTACCAATCGTGCATGCTTTTCTCGCTCGGTCCCGCGCCAGCTTCAGCCATGCGGCACAAAGTTGTACCAGTCCTCACCGACGTCGATCATCTTGCAGATAGCAATTGGGTTTCTTCGTCCACTCTCGAGAGTGGTGCTAGCCGGTTCAACGGACAGATATGTGAAGGAGCTTCCAGGCCCGGGGCCTGCCCCAGCTCGATCTAAAGGTTCAAGTTGCTTCTGGAAGACAGTCGTCCCATGAGACACCCCATTAAGCGCAAACCCAGCCATGCCACTGATAGGCGACTCGCCGTCGGTGTCAACAGTCGGAGATATTCTCTCTCAGGTGTGAACTACTGTTGGACCCTCAATTGCGCTGATCCTCGGTCCTGAGTTCCTGACCATTAAAACATGACCATCCGATGCTTGCATAATTGGGCTCCGCAACGAAGCAATGCCAACACTCCATCACATCCAGAAGTACTATCGCCTTGTGAGTCAAAGCATTGTTATTGCATTTATTTTCGAGATATACCGCCCCGTAATTAGGGTTGAGCACAGGTGGGCCCGCGGGAAGACTCGTCAGCCTTCTTTAAGCAGCACATAATTCACTGGAACATCAGTATAACCAGTGCAGTCGATTGTCACTCCGAAACGACATAGCTATTGGATAAACCTGCAGCCGAAGCTTCGAAAGTACAGTGGATGGATGTAGACTTGATGTTTGGGGAACGAGTGACATGGTGACAGCTCCGACTCGGGAGGTTCTTAAAAAGTTGACCCTCGCACCCTCGGACAAGCTCAGGGCTCTACACCCGCCCAACACCGCAAACTGTCAGGGGTAAGTACGGTGTACGTGCGGATCTCCATAATCTATAATCCACACTGTACCCGTATTTGTACCCGCCACACCCATCAGTGATATGCCGCAGTTTTACCCGTACCCGTGCTCTACCCTACCCGTAATGGAATAGAAATATTCTTGCAGGATGAGTAGCGTTCTCCTGAACCGACTTGTGATCCAGTCCGAGTTCATGGACATATCTGTATCACATTTCCCCACAGTCAAATTCATAGATGTGCTGTATTTCTCATTTAGCAAGTAACAACAGACTTATTCCCCACGTACTGGATTACCCGAAATTGGCAGAAAGTAACATCGATCGCGCATCATAGATTGCACGTGCATTGGCTTGGCCTGTGCTCCTCCGTTTGCTGTGCCACGACTGTCATCATTCTCCGAAACAGCTGTAGCAGTTACTAAACCCCAGAGAAACATATGTAACAAACTGGCATCTCGAGTAAGTAATAGTTTGCTCACTTTGTCGTGGTGTTGGAGTGGGGGGACCCCTAGGCGAGAGACGGAGTAGCATCCAGGTAACTTAGTCAGCCACTCAGTGCTTTGTCGTAGCGCAGTGCTCTTCATCACTTTGCCTTGCTCACGACATGCAGGCACACAGTCGCGGATACACCGCTCCAGTGTCCTCCCATAGATCACAGCAAGTCAAGCCAGAGCCCCATCATGACGGCTCATTGGTTTATCAGCGATCTGGCAGCCAAGTCATTAACAACGCTGCCACGATACTAATTTGAAACCCCATGCGATCCGAGCTGATCTGTGTTTAGTAGAAAAATGGCTTTGGTTCAAGAACTAGCTCTCATCATTCGATACCACTTATTGCAAGCATTTTTTTTGTCACGATGGTTATTAACTCTGTATTTTATACGACGCGTGAGTGCCACAATATTATTGTATCGTGACGTCTGAATAATGCGTGATTAACAGAACAGGCCAGTGAGAGCCCGTACAATTATGTCCCTACCGAGTGGATCTGTATTTTTGTGAGTCATGTTATTTGAATGTCTCGCATTCCTTTCAGACCTTTCCTTAGTTCGTGGCGTCATACAGTATTTCAACTGGTATGAATTTCTGCTCTCGATGGCGCACAATCGTATCATAGCTTGACATCTTCAGTCGTCCATATGGGCCAAGCGCTTAAATACAAACTCTGGTGGATGATTCCCACAGTTACCTTTGCGGGTATCATGGAAATATTCGGATGGAGTGCCAGGTTATGGTCGAGCCGGAACCCCGAGCTTTTGATGCCTTATGAGATGCAGTGAGTCTTCATCGAGAAGGAACCACTCGCATTCCCACCCAAGCGTCGTTACCGCAGGCTTGTCGGCACTGTCCTAGCACCCACTCCACTAATTGCAGCCAACTTTGTCATCCTTGGTAGAATAATCAATCGATTTGGACCCCAGTTCAGCCGCCTGGTCCCAAATATGTGTTGGTGTTACTTTGATATACTGGCTTTAAGTTACTGATTTGGCGCAGATATCATGGTTTTTTGCTCATTTGTTAGTACCACACATACAAGTGATGCCAACTTTCATATCCTCTGGTTCATGTAGGATGTTATTTGCTTGGTCGTACAAGCTGTTGGAGGCGCGTTGGCTGCGCAAGCCGTTAATGAGAACAAAGTCCCCACATTGGTAGGTACCCTTCTAGCACCTCGTGTCATTTGCTCAATGGAGACAGGGCGGGAACATTATGCTAGGAGGGATTGCTGCTCAGCTATGTGCGTGATGCGTGGCGCTGTGATACTTCTCTCACCGAAATTCATCATCTTCGCTCTTTAGTTGCTATAGTGGTCTACATGGGTTTGGCGGCCGAGTTTTTCTTGCGCCAGAAATACAATGCACCCTTCCGCCACCAGGTCATTAAATTCGAGCAAGGTCAACATTCTTTGAGTAAGAAAGTGCAAAGAATGATTTATGGGATGAGCTTCTGTACCATCTGCCTTTTTATTCGGTTAACGTCTATATTGTTATCAACAGTTACAATGTGCTAACCTAATCCTTAGATCTGTGTACCGCACAGTGGAGCTCGCCGATGGGTGGTCAGGGTCAGTGATTGCGACCGAGTCCTACTTTAGTGAGTCGCAGCACTGTCTTCACATGTTGCCGACAGAATACTGATTGTCGATAGACTGGCTCGATGGGAGTTTTGTCACCGCTGCCATCTATACTCTGAACGTTGTCCACCCAGGTATATATTTGAAGCAGGATGCTACTATTCATACTTCACAGCCAAACGGGGACGAATTCATTCAGACTTATACGTTTTGATTGTCCTTGCGACATAACTAGTTTCACTTGTTGTTAAGTATTAGTAGAATACTTAGATGTAGTGTACCATTTGTCTCCTGCTTTGCAGATCTGTCTCTGCAATTTTGATGTTTTGATAGCCTAAAGTTATTAAGACTTCCGCGTTCCTCACTCTCACAAAATACGCTGGTATCAAGTCACCAAGATGACATATACCTCAGCGTTACAAAGTAAACAGCTCTGTATGTAGAGCAATCCCGCCCACATCCATGTTCATTGTCAAACCCAATCTCGCGACTGCATTCTGGGCCTCTCTAGTCAAGCTCTCTGGGCCGCTAGCACAGACCACGACTCCCCCACCCGACGCGTGTAATTTCTGGCTTTCATCAAATCGGATCTCGACCGAATCTTCCCTATCAGATGATGGCGAAGGGCTGATGAAGTCCTTGAGAAGATCCTGAACAGACGGACGCGAGAGTGTGACGATGGAGTTAGGGATATGAGGTACCGCTTCTAAATCACAAAGGCACGTTACGAAAATAGAAATGTGCAGGTCAATGGTGCTATTTGACGCCGCCGTGGCAATATCCATCAGCATCGGGGCAAACCATTCTATCTGACCTGTAAAAATGGATCAGGATGATATGATGCCGGTGGTAAAAATGAAATACCGAAAGATCTAATACACCAAGTGAATTCGATTCTCCTTGTTCGTTCCCCTTGACTGCGGCCTAGTTTGACACACCTACCGATGATATCGTCCAACAGACCAAGAGTGAATGTGACGCCAGACCCGCCGGCTATAAGCAACACGCTTTCGTGTAGACCCAGATCGACACTTGATCCTCCGTAAGGACCATCCAGCATGACTTGCACGAAAGCAGCTGAGTCGCCCTCAGACTTATTAATTTGTAAACGTTCTTGCTCCTTTCGGGTATAATTATTCAATGCCCGCGTCCAGTCTCCATCATTTCGTGCAGCGAGAAGGAATCCAGGCGAGGAGAGGCATGAATGGGAAGGTGTAGCCGAGAGAATAGTGAGGGCATGGGATTCGAACACTCTGTTAGAGAAGAAAACGCGCAGTCTGACATGTTGGCCAGCAAGCCAGCCATCGTCGCAATTATGAACGCGGATCTGTGAAAAATGAAGTCAACAGTCTATTGAATAACGCTCGAATGTTTCTTGTACCAGAGTCATGTGAGCGTCCTGCGCAGTAAGTGTGGCATCCTTGATTCGATAGCGGAATAGGCGCAATAACACATCTGCACCATAAAATGCAAGGGGAGGGAATATCCACGGCGATGCATATAATGTATGGTAGCATATGGTGACAAAGAATGCCACGTATGTTAAAACGCTGCAACAAATGTTAGCTGCAGTGTGACGCGAAGCGACAAAACTCACTGGATGACAAAGAAATACTCATAAAACAGTCTCCTGACCGGCCTCAACGACGTAAGGACAATGATGCAGAGGAGCGCTAACGAGGCAACTCCAGAAGTCTCTTTCTGTGGACCAAGAATCTGAATTCCATACTGTAGGTGGTTGCGAATCCATAGGGACCCATGAATGCATCCAGCAAGAAACATGGCTCTTCCCGCCATTCTATGCATAAAATTGAGTTTTTCGTATCCATTCCCTGGTCCTAAAAGTAAGGACAGAATTGAATTTTTTGTTGCGAACAAAAAGACAACAGGGAACTGTGCGAGAGGCGAGAAATCCTACGTGGCTCAAATAAATTCCTCTCGTTCGTAAACAGATGTGACTGACTCACCAGCTCTGTTCGGATTCGAAATAAGAGGTGCATCCTTTATGATGCATACAAGTACAGCTGCGAGATACGCCAATATGACTACGACTAAATATTACAATGTGTCAGTTTTTCCTATAAGTAACATAGCACCCTCGATACGCACTTTGTCCAAGATTGAGTTCAAGCTTCGGAGGAGACCAGTGCGTTGGCGAGATAAGAGCATTCCAAGCTCCAACCAATCTGCGACCTCTTCGACGGCTAGGCGGCGGCTCCTTGTCATCGGAATAGGCAGACTGATATCCATTGGTCTCTGAGATTCCAGCGATTCCCTTAAGGGAACGCCCATGCCTCAACCCCAGAATCAAACTCGGAACAGAGACAGCCACAGCTAGCGCTACGCCAGAGCACCAGATTATGGTGAATTTAATTTGCCATTTGGGATCTTCGACGTATGAGCTATTAATTCCCGCATGCGTTTCAGTGTGTAGGATCAGATTTATCAAACATACTCGTAAATTTGGAAGCTGCTGGGTACGACTGGAGCAGCCATATTGTCGCAGAGCTAGCGAGGACTCTAGATCTGAGGAGGTAAGGTTGAGCAGCAGTGCCTGATTAGTAAGTCGAAAAAACATTTTTCAAAAGTCCTTGTTTACCCTTGATCAAGAAAATGAGCACGGACCACGGAAAATCTGTCGTGGCTGACCATTACAGTCATGTCAGCAGGTCTAGGGTACATTGGATATGCTAAGAGAACGCAGGAGAATAGCATGACTGGGGATCGTAATGTACAGAACGATGCTGATATCAGCCATACGACACAACATGTAACACAGAACAGCGGTACTCGGTGTAGGGGACATTAGTGCATGTACAAGCAGTGAGATGGGACTCCTGCCCGAAGATTGACTGCTTTGCTTGTCCTATCTCCTGGCGCGAACGCTCGCATGCTGCGTTCCACCGCTGATTGCCGCGCCTGTATGCTTCGTACCCTCATGCCTAACCACGGCAAGTGGTGTTAAGTTTGTATTATTGGATACTATCTCCGAGTAATCCGTATCATATGTTGCACCCAGCCTGACGTGCGTGATGACAACCAAACAAGAGGAATACAATGCTTTGCAGCCATTCTATACTTACAAAATGAGCACGCGCAATCCATTTAATGCGCGTACGCAATACTACCAAACCTTCCAAAGAGAGTCTCTCCCACTCCGAGCCCCACCACAAGGGAGAATATAAAACCAAGCTGGTACGTCCTGTCCACGTCCAGCACATCAACAACTCGACGAACAAAAAGAGCGACACGACGTACATGACTGTCAACATGAAGAGGTAACCAAGCAGCGTCTGCGCCGCAAACATGATCCCACGCGTAATATCATGCGCGGGAATAGAGCGGGGCGTGAAGCGCTTGATGAATCCGATGGGAGATGACTGAGTCGGTAGAGTATCAAGTTTGTCCGACGCAATGATAATCGCCCTGAGCATTCATAAGAAATATTCTATTACAAGGAAGGAAAGGACGTACTGTTGGCCCCAGTGGAACTCCATCACTCCTCGACAAGCCGCTATCCAGCGCTCGATCAACGCCAACATAAACAGTGCGATACAGGTGCCAACCATGGCTCCCGAGCTCTTAGGAACCCAGCCAAGGAACCACACTGTGTGCCAGCCTGTTAGAAGAGCTCATTGTATGTAGTTGAGAAGATATAACCCACGAGTGTCTCCTGGCGTAAAGTGCAGATACGAGAGCATGTTCCCTACGGAAAGGCTCATACCATCATCCATGGACGTATCCATGCCATCGTAGGCAAGACAGCATTGACTTAAACACAAGAAACAGAGCGCCAAAGATTGCCAGTTCATCTTAATCGCAGGTATGCACAGGGCCAAGGTGTTCGGGCAACTTGATTATCCGTGGGAACTACTTTCCCCTAGTAGAACGGCGCTTGAAATCGGTAGGCTATGACAGATCCCCTCCTGGACTGCCAGTGCCGTCAAATGGGTAGATAGAAGATGGGATTGTCGCAATCAAGTGGAGGAAAACAGGGTAGTCAAGACATAGACAAATCGGGCTTCATGAGAACTACGCTCTCGCTTACATTGGTCTACGTCTCGACAATCCTGAGGCACACCATCTAGATTTTGCTTCACCATACAATTCTGGTTAATATATGGTTGTCGAGTGCACGATTTCGAATTGACTTGATGTACGAGAGACGCCGCAAGGGTTGCAGGCCATGTGTTGTTGGCAGATGGACAGAAGTGCAATTTATCACGATGGGCCATTCGTTCCAGAGTAGATTGTATATCTTGCAGTTGAGGACCCGTAGGGCTCTGCGCCAATTTCACGGAGCTTTCGAGCTGCAAGAGCTTGAATAATTAAAAGGAGATGCAAAACTAGTGGGAGCTGAAAGCGCTGAAATTTGAGAGAGCAGCGACCTCTTATTAGTGAGGCATTTCAGCGGAACGTGGGAATTTGGTATCTTGAACGCTCTCTGTGACAACGTGATGTTCTACCTAGCTAGTAGTTACCAATGCCATTATTACATTTGTGCAGGATGAATGATAGACTCGCATGTACTTAGTCCCGTCAGTCATCTCATAACACTTTTTGAAGATGGGAGTACCACATATAATATTCCAGCGTCACGAAACGTTAGTCTCTAAGTGCTGCATTATGATTAATTGTGAGAGATCATCTTATGAAAAATGGTCCATACATACGACACTCTCGCACTCTATACCAATCTCTTGGAGTCTTCCGAGTCGCCACTCGAGCTCTTGCTCTCGATAGCCTCCTTGATATCCTTTTGAACTACATCAGCAACACTCTGCGCCTCCTTCTTCACTTCCTGTGCCCATCCCATAGCTTTTAGGTTAAGCCCTGTCCCCTGTTCGATGCTCCCCACAATGCTCTTCACACCTTTATTAACCGACTCTCGTCCAGCAGCAGCACTTTCTTTCGCGCGCTCCCAGGCTATGCCACTGTGTGCGACAGAGGTTCTTCTGATTTCTCGAAAGCGAGGGACATAACGATCTTCGAGCTCCCCGGTATACGCACCGACCCGAGAAGTGGTACCCGGAAGGAAATACATAAATGCGCCAACTAGGGCTATGGGAGGAAGAAAGATACGTGTAGGGAGTGCGCGCGAGCGAGTGAGGACAGACGTCGTCAGGGCAGAAATTCCGGTATAGAGCAGTCCGGGATTTAAGGGCTCTGTAGGATCACGGAAGGATTTTATGCGAGCTGTTCGCGGTCCAATGGTCAATAAGGGCATAGTGGTCGGTACAAGACAATATAACTCACTTTCCACCTTCTCTTCAACAGAGATCCACCGGTCTATAATATCCTGCGTTTTGGAGTGGACGCCGGTATAGTAACCCGTGATCTCCCGCCGCACCATCCCAATTCGCTTCTCTAATGCCGACGGGGTGTCGAGTAGCATAACTTCGGGTATGGGAGTGGGGTATATGGAGAACTATATGATGGCATTAATTCGGGGAATGACATGCTGTAGGAGAAGTAAATGCCTTCGTCTGGCCAGAGCTTGAGGTCCAAGATCCCGAACCTTCAGCTGCATTTGCAACTACGCCTGCCTCTGCAGCCATTGAGGTAATATCCTACAAAGTATATTGAGTGTGAGCGTGTTAACAGACTCATAAAAAGTCTTACCTTTAGTTTGGAAACAGTATGTGTCAAATATTGAGTGGATGTTCACGCGGACGCGGCAGCGGAAGGTGAAGCGAGCGTGAGAAATACGTTTTGTGATTCATACCGTTGAGTCCGAGTACTGCTCAACACCACCATGAACTTTGAAGTAGCCTATCAGATGATTGTCGATGTCTCTACACCCAAGCTGCATAGTACCAAGTGTCTAGCTAGGGAATGCTGTAAAATGTGCGTACCGATCATGCGTTTTTCAGCTTAACACCATGATAGATACACCGTGGTTCATCATTCATTGCCCACATACTATGCTTCCGTCGCCGAAGGTGAGATGACTTCCATAGAAAATTTGACCCTCGACATGTTACCTGATGCATAGGATGCTCCCCCAGGTTGAGATCGGCGATGGGGGTAGAATCGCACCTTTACTGTAATATCACGATCATGGCTGGAACATATGCCAGTACAGGGAGTGTCTCTACCAGTTCCGTCGCTGCTACTGGTATGGATACCGGTGTCTAACCGACGTCCCTCTCAGCTCTACCCTGTTAGGAGTCCTTTACAGAGTGATGCTCTGGCCGTCCTTCGGGCGTAAGCAATATATAGTCGTCCTCCCACGCGGTCAAAAGGGTGACTGAGGCAGTAAACCAATCAGTGACTGCCCTACTTAACATTCTCTCTTCAGTGCCCCCGTCCCTTGTATTGATGAGGTGCGCTGCGCTCAATGGACTCACCTTCGAAATTGACACGTACATAAATTGCATCATCGTTCTCGAGACCCTTTTCTTTTGAATGTCACTTGGCGCTGTGTCCATGCGGCAGCCTACGCCAGGGCAACGCATCAACACGGAGACAAGTGGCTTTCCGTCGTCGCGATACTTTCTCCCGTCGCATTTGTAGTCAATTTATACGAGGAGTCTATTGCTCCCACAACAACATTGTGTTGTGTGGAAATGATCGCTTGTGGATAGGTGAGTCTTAGTAATTTCCACCTCTGCTGCATTACGCCTCAGGTACCTCATTGTAGGGAGTTCCACACTTGCTTCGTCGGTGCACTCTCATATACAGTCACATCTCTGTTCCGTTGTTCACGTGCTACAATGCATTGTCTTGGCACCACTCTTCCACTGATGCTTCCACTGGTGCTTAGACCTTGACACACCCAGCATCCACATTTCGCCACTACGCTTTTATCTTTCTGTATCATATATAAGCCCCCATGTTTTATCGCTACTCACTCATCATCTCCCACTGCTGAAAGTTTCCAGCAGTTACCATCTCTCAAAATCTTACTCTTCTCCTTATATCTTTGATCTCTACTCGAATCATGGAACAAGTGTGTTCAAACTTGAGGTGCTCTGCAGTCATTGTGATCCCAGAGGTATGTTCTTCATGCTCTGTTGTTGTCTCGATTCACATTTTTTGGTGTGTAGGGTCAAGAAGTAGCGTTGTTCGATCGCAAGTCAGTTTGCGAAAAGTGCTACGGCAAACCGATTTGCACAAAGTGCGACCGTTTGCTGCACGTAAGATGATTTTCTCTTGGACTTTGGATATTATTCTGATTTATAGCTTCACCTGCAGACGCCAGTTCCGATTATGCCCATAAGACAAATTGTGCCAGTAAGTGTTAACTGATTCCGTCGCCAGCGTGCTGATTTGTGACATCACCTGCGGTATGTATATGAAGACTCAGAAGAAGACATAATCCATACGTATCTCCCGAAACCCAAGCCGGGCTACGCGATCAGGCATGTACAAGTCCCCGACGGAGAGGGTGGCATGCGGGACGAGTATGTTTCTCGCCGGGTGGAATCCGAGAAGAGCAGCACCGATTTCAAGCTGATGAAGGGTATCAAAAAGTTGTTCCATTTTACCCAGCGGGCCTCTTAGTACTACTAGTAGGAGACGCGATTTTCTGCCGAGTGTTTGCACCGATTCTTAACCACGAGGGACCGTGTCTTGTCTACTTATTATGTATGCTCAACATCGTGTAACTTTATGTCTAACTATACATCGTTATGTACTACGAACTTGTGCGTGTTCTCCTCTAGACCAGCACTTTCCCCTTCTTCCCATATTTTGAGGTATATATGGTTAAAACTGAAAACAATGCAAAACTACTTGTTATTTTTGGGTGTATGCTACATCTAGTGGTGCAGGGACCTTTAGAGGGTCAATAAAGCGGTAGAATAGACTCATATATACCCAAAAACATATAACCAGTGCACTAAGGCATTCTATCATTGAAGGGGCAAAAATGCCGATGTGTTTTTAATTTTTTTTCTGTATTATATGCACAGGTCTCTGGAGCTTATATTGGGACAAAAACATACAAAAGTGTTATATTGTGAATTATTATATGTACATAGCCTACACTAATACTTCTATACAGTAGATAGGATGGTGGTGGGCAGGAATGTGCTGGGGAGCAGTGTGGGAAATGTTGAGATCCAGGAGATGACCGGAAATGGCTAATGTTTTGGGTGTAGTGACAAAATTCCCACAGTCAAAAAATGCAGTGGTTCTATGATGCCTCTACTCAGATATTGCAGTTGTACTGATGATCCATCACAGGTCCGCCACAGTTTCCCTGTTTGATGTATTACTATGACATAGTTTTTCTACTTGTGTGCGCGCGATTTGTGTGTGCGTGCACGTGATTTATTTATTGTCCATTTGACCCACCATAAGTACTGCTCACCATGAACTTTGAAGCAGCCTGCCTGTGAGCGCTTGAGCGTCGATATCTCTACATCCAAGTCTAGCTGGGGAATGCTGTAAAATGTGTGTGCAGATCATGCATTTCGGCTTAACACAGTATCACTATAACAAATCGCCGTGGTTCATCTTCATTACCCACATACTACACCTCTGTTGCCGAAGGTGAGACGACTTCTATTTTGAATGTTATTTGATGATAGCATGTTCCCCCAGGTTGACATCGGCGGTGAGAGTGAAGTCGCGCCTTTATTGTAACATTACAACCACATATGCCAATACGGAGAGTGTCTCTGCCCGGTACCGTGGCTGCTACTGGTATGGGTACTGATGTCCAACTGACGTCCCCTCAGCTCCACCATGTTGGACAGGGTGATATCCTACCACCCCTCCTAGCCGTCTTTTGTACGTATATCGTCAACCTCGTACACAGTCAAAATGGTGACTGAGGCAGTAAACCAATTAGTGACTGTACCACCTAACATTCTCTCTTCAGTACCCCTGTCCCTTGCATTGATGAGGTGCGCTGCGCTCGATGGACTCACCTTCAAAATTGACATGTACACATATCGCATCCTCGTTCTCGAGACCCTTTTCTTTTGAATGTCACTTGGCGCTGTGTCCATGCGGAAGCTTATGCCAGTCCAACGCATCAACACAGGGACAAGTGACTTTCCGTCGCCGCGATACTTTCTCCCGCCGTATTTGTAGTCAATTTACACGAGTAGTGGCATCAGACACGAGGAGTCTATTGCCCCCACAACGACATTGTGTCGTGTGGAGATGATCGTTTGTGGATAGGTGAGTATGAGTAATTTCCACCTCTGCTGCATTGCGCCTCAGGTACCTCATTATAGGGAGTTCCACACCTGTTTCGTCGGTGCACTCTCGTATGCAGCCACGTCTCTGTTCTATTGTTCACGCATTGTCTTGGCACCACTCTTCCACTGGTGCTTAAGCTTCCACACTCCTGCCATCCACATTTCGCCACTACACTTTTATCTTTCTGTATCATATATAAGCCCCCATGTTTTATCACCACTCACTCATTGTCTCTCACCGCTGAAAGTTTCCAGCAGTTCTCATCTCTCAAAATCTTACTCTTCTCCTTATATCTTTGATCTCTACTTGAATCATGGAACAAGTGTGTTCAAACTTGAGGTGCTCTGCAGTCATCGCGGTCCCGGAGGTATGTTCTTCGTGTTCTGCTGTTGTCGCGATTCACATTTTTTTTCGTGTGTAGGGTCAAGAAGGAGCGTTGTTCGACCGCAAGTCAGTTTGCGAAAAGTGCTACGGCAAACCGATTTGCGCAAAGTGCGACCGTTTGCTGCACGTAAGATGATTTTATCTTGGACTTTGGATATTATGCTGATTTAGACCTTCACCTGCAGGCGCCAGTCCCGACCATCCCCGCAAGACAAATTGTGCCAGCAAGTGTTGACTGATTCCGTTGCTAGCGTGCTGATTTGTGACATCACCTACAGTGTGCGTGTGAAGACTCAGAGGAAGAAGTAATCCACATGTATCTCCCGAGACCCAAGCCGGGCTACACGATCAGGCGTGTACAAGTCCCCGACGGAGAGGGTGGTGTGCGGGACGAGTACGTTTCTCGCCGTGTGGAATCCGAGAAGAGCAGCTCCGATGTCAAGCTGATGAAGGGTGTCAAAAAGTTGTTTCATTTTACCCAGCGGGGCTCTTAGTACTACTAGTAGGAGACGCGATTGTCTGCCGAGTGTTTACAGCGATTCTCAACCATGATGGACCATATTTTCATGTCTACTTATTATGTACGCACAATATCGTGTAACCTTATGTCTAACTAAACATCATCATGTACTTGCGCGTATACTCCTCTGGACCACACTCTATCTGCCAAATATCTGCAAGTATGGTCCACTTGCCGTACACAGAACACTGGAGGAAGATAGTTGCGTATGAACGGGGCTGGCTGACACGGATATTCACCATCGTATCGCACTCTGTCGAGCCGAGTCTAAACAATGTGAGCTGTCGTATAAGACGGAGAACAGAGCTCGATCTCGTTGGTGTCAAGAAGCCGTAGGAACTTCCACGTGCATCATAATATCGTTTGATCATAAATAAACAAAACCCTTGTGTGACGCATGGCGATGTGCATCACCATACAGCAAGTTGTTGATCTCGGAGTACACGGATATGGACACCTGAAACATAGTTGAACTCACTCGATTGATATGAACGTGCATCATGAAGGAGATTAGTGATGAAATGAGTCATTTCATCACTAATCTCCTTCATGATGCAAGTGTCAACTTAAGTAGTAATCCGATGCGAGAAGCTGAGAAATGCCAGCAGGATGGGATTTCCAATTATTCCGGCCGGGGAAAACGTACCCCAAGAGCCCAAGAGAGACGAGGTACCAGCGCACTCATTTTTTCCGGGTAGCTTTTTGCTTTTTGCTCAGTTCAGCCTCAATACCCTCTTGAAGCTCGAACCACTCCCCCGCACCGACTTCCTCTATTACATCGCGCGTCAAGGTTATTCATGGATGTGACGACATCATCCACTGCATGTACGATGAGCCGTCCGCACGAACAACACACTGAGGAAAGGAGGAACTACGGTGAGCTAGGCAGTTTGGGTAGACGTTGCTTGGAAGCACAGTGCAAGCAACCCTACAGGGAAGTTGGAACACTTCTTGTCAGCGGAGGTGGTGAAAGGAGCCCTGCAGAATGGCCATGGGACGTTTGCTAGAGTAAAAACATGGTTTCCGATAAATGATGACGAAGCTTGTAGGAAAATTGAGCTTCAAGTCAATCACGTGATCTGGAAATCTCGAACTAGTACGAGTCTACAACTCGCTGTCACTGTGAAGCACAAACGACCAGGCCTCATTAATCATTCATCATTCGCCAACCCACTTTTTTGTGAGGGCACCCTATTGTATTGAATCATGGCTCGCTTGCATCGAGTCTCAATATACTCCTCCATCCTTATTTCGATTTATCTACTGGTGTTGTTCGAGGTCCTGCCCATAACACTCATTGATGTCAGTATAGCCCAAGAGATTCTTCCTGTCGTGCGTTCTTCTCACGAGCTTACTGGCACGAATGCCTTAAATCATGCTCCAATAACATAAATCAGATTCCGTGGTGGCTCTTGGTGTCATTCGGGTCGTATTCCCTCTGGAGTCTCGGCTGGAGGGTGTTTACATTCCGTGACTGTCCCGAGGCCTATCACGAGCTGCTGCAGGTAAGCGCTGTACAAATTTCTCGAAGACTTATGCATTAATGATCGTCTGTTTGTCATGCAGGAAATCAATGAAGCCAAAAACGATCTCCGAAGTCGGGTTGTCACTGTCGACTGAGGTGTCTCCTTCACTTATTCCTACACCTGTGTTTGAGACTCGCTTCAAATTACGTACTGGAATGCAGATGTAGTTTATATTCGACTCAAATGCCAGTCCCACGAGTCTCAATTCTATAATGGTGAGGGTCAAGTCCACCCTCGCCTCTTCATTCACTTCATCATTCATACCACATATGAAAGCTGCATGATGTGCGCGCGAAACCCGTTTCTTTTACCTCTCGAACGAAAGCAGATGGAGTCTTCGCCTGACGATGTCCAAGTTACAGCGGCCTGGCGTCTGCATTACTTAGCGGTGCGTCGTTTTCTTAATGCGAGGAGATAATAACAGATACTCATGTCATGTGCGGCCACCAGTGCATATGCAGTGCGTGTGGTCTGAATTGCTTCTCCCTCGTTCTAACTTGACAACTCAGCGATGCTGGCTACACTTTGGGTAGGCTTGTCCCAATCTATTCCTATCTGCCGTAAAACCTGTTTATCCAGACCTATGATTATGTTACTTTACTTTACAAAGAGGTGAGTCATGCACTTGTTCCGCTACACGCCTCACTTTGGATATTGATAATATGCTGTTCAAAGTGGACATTCCTGCTTCGGTCGCGCTGGACTAAGGTAAAAGCGCTTTATATCATTGCCCGATATGTCCCCTTTTTCTTCATTGCCACGGACCTATATTGTGCGTTCATTCCAAGCAGTGAGCACATATCCCTCTGATAATGAACTGACATGCTATACTCCAGTAACCTTCGTCCCGAACGAGAACCCCGATGTATGTGAGCGTGCAGCGGACTTACCTACTGACGAATGACGCTTACTACACGATTTCACCAGAAATGCCGGATGTTGATCGGTATTTACTCATGTACGTGCACGGTATATGTTGCTTGCACTTCCTGGTCGAGCGCTGCTATTTCTTCTCACAGGTTTTGGAGTGACATCACTCACTTGCTCTGAATGTATCTCTCCTTCCCCTGCGACATATACGTGCTCTTGATCTGATTCATTTTTGTGCTCAGGACATATGCGCTTTGGAATAAAAATCGAATCGTACTCGTAGCAATGCTATCCGCCCTTTTTGTGAGTCCCATGCTCTGACTACACCATTGCGACGTTGATGAATCACTTAGGCTATCGTCGTATCATTTATCGGCATTTGGTTTGCCGCTGTTGCCACCTCTCATGGTTTGTACTCTCACCTTCCCCCACTACTATTCGTACATATTTATTCCACTATCACAGTTACGACTAGCACAATCCCAGGTACCACAGGCTGCTACCAGAACTCGCGCAGTGTCGATTTCTTCATGCCATTTCTTCTCTTGTTTGTGTTTTCATTGGGTCTGTCGCCGGGAACTGGAAACATATATTACAGACGCGCGCTGACCAACGCTCTCCCCAGGATTGGTCTTCCTCACACTCATACGTGTCATACAGAGCTGGCGGACAGCCAAAGGCTCTCTGCAAGCCGCTCTGGCGAAGCATAATATATTCTACTATACACGTAGTTTGTGTGAGTCAGGGTTTGCATATGTTTCCGTGCTTACCGGTGATGAATCTTGTTGTTCCGAAAGTTCTCTCGACCGTGAACGTCTTCATGCCAGTGCAGTTTTCCCACGTTGTGAGTAAACCCCATACCCTTCAATTAGGATTGAATCGTTGATCTTCCGCATACACAGTCCGCATGCTACTCCGTATTCAAACAGTATGTACTTCCAACTTCCGTTGAGAATTCTTACTGACAACACCTCCCAAAACCCTGTAGTTTGCAGGTCTTTGTCCTTGCGATCCTCGCCACGCGCATGCACCTCCATCTCTGGCATAGCGACTGCCACGTGCACGGCTCTGATACCCTCGTATACATTTCCACGTTCGATTTATCACCTGCAGACTGTACGGTGTAACGTCTTATCGTGTGGTTTATTCTGCGTTGTTGGTAGAGTGAGGCTTGGACTCTTTTCGACCATGGGATGACTGGTCCCGGTGGCTTGGTTGCGTTTTGGATGTCCTTGAGTTTTTGAAATGAATTTTTGTCAGGACAGGGAACCCAACGTAAGGAGATGAATCGAAATTTAAAGGGTTTGGTACGTAGTACTGGCAGCGCACTTTCCCCTTGTCCCGTCACTTCAATATCAATTAACTCATTTTCCTCTGCAGAGCCAAATCCAGGAATACCTCAAAATCTCTCTCCCATCAGCCGGCGCTTAACCGTCATGAGATTCTCAACTTGAATCCGTATACTAACGATATACATGAGACAAGCCAAGACATTTACACCTTCACATCTCCCAAACAGTAGATTCTCGCCGTGGCTTTATTCAGCAACAAGGTCTCTGTTGCATACACAGGGGACTGAGGGCAGATCATCACCACGATGTGACAACGAGCTCGAATACACCTTGCCGTGGCTATAGGTTTCTACTAGACATTCTTTCGACTTGGTTTTATTCGCCTGGTGTCGCTGACCTTAATGTTGCTTGCTATCGATATCCGAGACTATAGCGTCATATATAATACTATACTTGGCCGAAAACACAACATCTTGCGGTGGATGCAGACTTGCCGGGGTTCCGAAGCATTCAAGACCTTGTGCAGTTTCTGAACAGCAGTATATCACCTTATGGACTTGGTAATGAAAGCGTGAAAGAAAGACGCTCTATTGTCGATATGAAACCTCTGCCAAATAGGGGCTGCCACTAACAGTGGTAGGCCACTGTAGGCCATTGCCCTTGTGGTTCAGTCACATCATCATTAGCAAATGTCTCACTCTGAAGTGTGGTAAAAGCTTACAGCCAACGATGAAAAAAAATGCACCCACACAGTTGGTGTGGATCGTGCGTGGGCAATGCCCACATCTACGGTAGGAATATAAGCTCACGAACAGCTCATAACAAAATAAGTTACAAGACTCACTCACCGCTCGATACCTCCATCAGACCTGCCTATTGGCTCGTAGCAAGAGTAGCTTACTGTGTGCCACAGGCTATAAGTCCTCCTTTCGTCTGATTCTGATAGGCTTTGATCATAGTCATCTGTCCATACCTGTCAAAGCCCGGCCTCGTGACCCTTGCTGGTGCTGGGGAGGACAGGCTTTGCGCTCGTTTTCAGCTTTGATGCTGCAAGCAAACGCAAGGACGGTCCTGTCAGGCTTTTCTATTGTTCCCGGCGCAGTGTCACGGTATAGGTAACGGTATGCGCAACTACTTCCGCGCAATTAATGGCTCCTTCTGGTTGGCATCGCCTCCAATGTTTCAAGGCTCGCCAAAGGTAAATATTGTATCAGGCTGTCGAAATATGACCACTAACTTACTATGTGCCACGGCCTATAGGACACAAGCAAGCCCGGTTTTATCAAGCTTCATTATCCTCGCTGGGCAACTCCATGTTGCAATGGTAATATGGGACTGTCCAGCGAGGGTACGTGAAGGAAGTGGGCGCCGTGGCAAGGACCATCACCATAGCATGCACAAGCATGTCTTCACATACACTTCTGCTTCCGGTCAATAGTCTAGTACTTTTTTCGAAGGTAAGTGTCATATCGTGTCATCGTATAAACGACAACTTACTATGTGCGTGGCACAGCCTACAGGGCGTTATGAGGACTGAACCCTGCGGTGATGGAGACAAGCACCTTCGATTTTCTCTACTAGTCAAAATCACGCAAAAGGCCAAGGACTTACTAACGTACAGCTACGCTGGATAGCTTCTTGATGTTCTGTGGTGAGCGACGTTCAGTCAATAAAAACTGTTTGAGAACTCGATGCAATGGCATACCCCCAAGAAGGATGAGCAAACTCATCATCAGAATGATGACATTGAAGACGAAATGGATTCAACCTCGCATTGTCTGACAGAGGGTCATTGAGCCCAGCTTCTCTGACGATAGCAGACATCCTATGTATATATGCAGAAGTCAGTGTCAACAGTGGCGAAGAATTTTCCATGTGCAGAAAAGGCCGTGCATCTCGCCCAGTCTTCATGGCGCCTCTTTCAATAGTATTGCCGCCTCAGTTTTAGCGTAACTTCAATGTGTATCTGATTAGGCGAGATTATCGAGCAATAGAAGCATGACCTCGACGGTCTTTCAAAAGTCGATGATATTCAAAATCGAAACCCCCATGTGCCGTTAGAATACGAGGTTCGTATACGCGCTGAGAGGCGAGGTTAGTGCGAATCGAGATGGAATGAATACCGGAAACTGAAAATGTGAGGAGGCTGAGAGCGGGCCAAGCCAAAGTCCAAGTGTTTGGGTATCAATCAGGGTGCACGTGCCTCGGAGCATTCGCAGGCACGGAGAAGCGGAAGAGACACACATGTCTCCTCTCCTGAATAGCGTGCCCATATATAGATTGCCAGTGATTGGTTTCAAATGAAAGGGGGCGTGCGTGCTGCATCGCTCAAGCTGTGGTGTGTGCACATGCATTGCAGAAATCAACGCACGGCATTGTTTGCGTGGCCATGCCGCATCTGTAAAATTTAGAATCTCGTAGTTTTGTATATTGATGGCAGGCTCTGCTAGGGGGACATATCAGCAAGACCTTCAGTCACATGCAAATTCCCGAAGTGAATATTTTACTTACACGAACGTGGTGGCACCCAAATCGGAGTATGTTGTCGCAGGTCACTGAAACTCAGGAGAATCAACCTCATCAAATATTGTCAGGACCGTGGAACCTGGGACCTGAAACCGCGCGGTATCACAATGATGGGCTCAGGCTGGATTGAAAGGATAATCGATTTCCCTGTTTGAAAATGGACGGGCCAACGGAGGTTGTCAATATGAGAGACCTCCTCCTAACATTCTGATGCTGGGCTAGTGTGTGTGAATTAATTTCGCAAATTTCCGTGAATATTGTTCACGACGATCCAGCGTCAAGTCGTCGATCATTGTGAAAGTACTCCACAGCTTGTCGCTGTGGACGACGACTAAACGTAAAACGCTCACGTTTATTTGACTGTTTCACTCACTTTTTCGCTCTTGTATTCTCAAGACCTTACACATTAATAGTCTCCGACGATTTGCTCCCACTGAGGAACTCTCAGCTGCCAAAATGTCACGTACCAGCTCAACACTTGAAACGTCGAGCACTTCATCACCATTATTTACATCCTCTTTTCCTGGTGCTCCTACCAGTACCGGCAGTGATAGTGGTAACAGTGACGAACCCAGCTTAACCTCGAGCGCTGCCTTATACCGTAAGTCAGATCGGTCGTTGTGGTTCAACCATTTCTCACACTGCTCTCCAATGTTTCTCTCACTACTCTGCTTTTGACCCCCTACTCGTGTGCCTGTGGTGCACTCACCCATTCCTCTGGTTCCGTAAATTTATCGCTTGGATTATTCAATCTCCCCGAACCGGTTTGATTACCTGTGCATTAAATCATATTGCCCTAAACTCACCCCCGTAATACCAAAATGATCACTTCGCCTTTCGTAGTTTACACCTTTCTTGGTGCGTGTCTCTTATTTCTTGCTTTCACTACCATTGACGTTCTCCATTCGCAATGTCCACTCAATATTCTTCGCCTTCATCATCTATGTCATATACGGCCCTAATAGCTACACTCGTCGTTCTCCTTGCTGTCTCATCCGCCATTGTTATTCGCAGCCTCGTACTTCGACGACGCCACCAACGCATCGTAGAAGAAGCTATCCGAGCAGGTACATGGCACCCTCACCAACCATATAATCCCAGAGGGAGTCGCAGGCGAAGAGACATTGGAAAGAAACCTAAGTTGTGGGAAGCATGGCTCCACAGTGGTGATGAAGAGGGTCTAACCGACAGCAAATGTACTTGGGATGACATAATGGTATGCTTCTCTTGCGCAGAATGCCCCCCAAGTGCTGTCGCTAACTTCATGTCACAGCCCGTCTACGCCGCTCATATTAGATCTGCCCCAACTCCACGATCCCCGAGGCCAGAGTCACCCCAAATCCAAACTGACGCGTCGTCTCGCACGATCCGCTTCCTACGACCTTTCCGTACACCATTTTCACCAGCACTAATGACATCTCCAATTGTCCCTTCTACACCTGTATCTTCATCTCCGTCAACATCGGCACCGCCTGCCGTAAGCGTAGCTGTCCTCATTGCAATGCCCACACCAAAACATGCACGGGAGGCAGACAGACCACCTGTCATTGAGCTTGGTGTTGTTGACGTCCCTCTTCGGGACACGAGCCCAAGCGGTGACCACCCATAACAGGCACCCACACTGCTTCGTACATTGTATGAATACATGTATACTTATTGTTTTTAGCGCTTGTACCTAATACTACAACATGCTACGTCAACATGTCGCATAGATGTTATGTACTTACTGGCTGCCACCTCGTCGATATGCATTCTGACGAAATGCAATATACCATCACTTACGTAGGCGTTGATCCGTCCGTTCGTCCCTAACATAGCTTTCTTGATCAATGTGGCGTGTCAATGCTTTCTGGGATGGTCGCCGTCGTGTGCTCCTAGCAATTGGATGGTCTGATCGAGAGTGGTAAAGTTCATGAATCCAAACGATGGACCAGCTTCCTGGTGACTGCTCGGGTGCTGTTATCTTATCAATGCGCGAACATGCTTCAGCCGCGAGGACAGGGCGCTGATGGTATCATGATGTTAATGCTAGTTGAAATGATTTGCGCCTCGTGTTAAGTCCGAGAATTTCAACAGTGATGTCAACGTCCTCGTTTCTTTGCAAATGAACTGGCTCAGCCCGCGGTGAGCTGCCCACCAATCGCAAATTTTATTCAAGAGTAGTAGTGCTAATTAAAGCCCGGACTTGGACTTCTGTAGCCTATTAACCTCCGTTATCAAAGGAGGCCGGCGACCGTTACCGCCAGCTCTGCTATTGTCCTTCAGTTCGAAGTTTCGCCTGAAACTGGAAATATGAAGGGAAGCCGATGAAACACGATGCTTTGAAGCCTGATAGGAACGGGCTTGCGCTGGGGCGAGAGACATGAGAAGCTTAGTTTCACATGTCTGTGGCACCAGCGCAAGCCCGGTTGTCCTAAGGCTTACTTACGTCCTGTAGGCTATGACATGTACATGGTAAGTAATCGGTTGTCCAATCACACTTACCTTCGAAGAAAGAACTAGAACATCGGCATTGATGCGAACCTTTGCAGCAGCAGTTCTTGCGGACTCGGACATACTAGTCCTGCATGCTGCGTATGGTTCCTTGCCACGGCGCCTAACACCTCCACCTACCCTCGCTGGGCAATTCCGTGTTGCGATTGCATCAAGGAACTTCCAGCGATGATAATGAAGGGCTGGACTGGGCTCGCGGTGACACGGACATACAGTGGATCTACGTCAGCATGTTCAAGCGCAAGGCTGGTACTCACAAGGCCTAGTACTTATGTCATGTAGGCTATGGCGCACGGTAAGTCATCGGTTGTACGATATGACAAACTAGATATCTACCTTCGAAAGAAGGCTCCAGAATATCGGAGGCAGTTGCTAACCTGAAGCAGCAGTTCTCACATGGCGATAGTCGTGCATGCTGTGTACGGTTCCTTGTCACCTTGCCCAGCTCCTCCACTACCCTCGCTGGACAGTCCTGTGTTGCTGTTGCATCAAAAGATTTCCAGCGAGGATAATGAAGGACAGGGTTGGGCTTGCGCTGACACGGACAGACAGTGAAATTGGCTGCCGACCAGAAGCTGCGGTTTTGCGCAGAGGTAGTTGGGCATGCTGTTTTCCTATTCCGTGCCACTGCGCCGGATACCACCGTGACCAGCAACGATAGTAATGCCTGACCGGACCGTCCTTGGTTTATTTGCTGCAGCCACCATTATGCTCAGGTTGGCTGCAGCAAATAAAGATAAAGATGGTTCTAAGCCTGGTGAGGCCAGGCCAGGCACGGGCAGGTACAGACATTGACGACCAGGCGCTATATGAACCAGGCGAAGACCAGTCTCCGTAGGACTTTGGGTTGTGGCACATAGTAAGTTATACCTTGCTATGAGCCAATTGCCAGGTCTGATATGGCGAGGCAGGTATTGAGGAGTTGGAGGTGAGTGTGCTCGCAACTAATGCTGTTCGTGACCTTATATACCTATTGCAGGTGTGGGCGACAGGTTTTGACCGCACACGATCTACACCAACTGTGTGGATGTATTGGTATTGTTTTTATTCATTGTCGGTTTCAAGCGCTCGTCACACGTCAGAGTGAGACATTTGCTAATAATGATATTGCTGAAGCACAATGATGCTCAATGGCCTACAGTGGCCCCAAATTTGCAAAGGTTTCATACCGACAATAGAGCATCATCCTTGTGCGATTTCATGACAAGTTCCACAAGGCTGGTCAGAAACCGTACAATATTTGTCTCAATCCCGCAAGACTCTGTCAAGGTATTAACTTATAGTCTTGGTCATCGACAGCAATAGATCAGAATTTAATTAATCGTACGTAAAGATAGTACTTAGAATATTCGTTTCTGGATGTCGACACGCTAGCTTCGAAGTAAACAGCGAGTGCGGTGAACAGGATTGGCAGCACCAATTCGATGAGGACAGATATAGGCCTCAGTGAGCTCCACCATGCATGGGTGTAGAAAAAAACCTTACGACGCACCAAAAACCAGCCTCTGCACCCAGCAAATAGTATGCGCGACGTGGCCAGAAAATTGGCCAAATTTGTATAGTGAAGAGTACGCCAGGAAATATCCTGGGACCCACCCCATCAGCCATGCGAACGACTCGTCGGGTATCCTTGAACTTGGTATCGGGCTTACAATTCACTATAGCCTTTCCGCCTTCTTAGCATTACCTCCTGACGTTCCGATACTCGATGTGGCGTCGGGTTGGATGCAAATGAAAAACTTATATAGCCAAATGAGCCAAAAGGCTTACTCACTGGCAGCACATCATTAGAGGTTGCACTATAGCGGACAAGGGGGAGTGTAGTACCATTGATGGCAAGGAAGCAGTAAGTGGGTGTGTTCGCGGTGCAATAACATTATGGAACGTCGACATGGGCAAGGGCATTAGAAATAAACACGGAGGTAGACAGAAGGATCAACTAGAATCCAGACGGAGGGAGAGTGCAGAACCCTGATACTCGGAGTGTAGAACGTTGAGAACGGATCATCCCAAGCATATCCGTCCAACAACAAATATGGAACCTATAAAATAATCAGCACGTGCTGCACATCAGACTAATCTCCAGCGTCATTAAAGCGCTAGTACTCGCCATCCTTTTGGCGCAAGCAATGCTGCACCCTTCTCCTTTCTTGTAAGCTGCCAGTGCAGGTGTAAAGTGATTCCGTGCTTTGTCAAAGTACCTTTCTAGTGACCCTTCTACTTCAGCCTCCCAAGGGGACGCCTGCCCGCGATAATTCCCTTTGCGACACTCCGAATGAGGCCTACGGTAACCATTGCCATCCCGCTCTCAGGGTTCTAAACTAATTGGGAGGGAATCAGTATACACGCTGAAACTGTGATGGTTGTTGCGGTTGTTGCAGATGCCGTTGTTTATTACATGTCTCCGTGGTTATCGTGGTTGGGGCTGTCATGTTGTCTCCCTTGACAAGCTTGAATTTTAGCTGCTGGAATCAACGACCCCAATAAGGTAGAATCATCACATAAGATGTAGATTCCCGACTCCCGAGACTAGGCTCGAGGACAGTTTCTCCGCACATAGCCTTATGGTGTCCGCATCCGTAATTCCTTCAGGACTCAATCGAATCTCACAGCACATGCAGCAATACCCAGCGCTTCAGAAGACCAGTGCTCGAGTGTCGTACCAGAAACCATATTTGGTAGTTGCAGGGGTTCTTCAAATGATCAAGTCCGTTGAAATTTACTGCTCTGCGCGCCGGCTACTAGGCCCTGTAAGTCATTGATCATACCTGTGCTGATAAACTGATCCCATAATGTAGTGGACCGAGTTAGGTTACGTTCGAATTGGTACTAGATAACTTTCAGGGTTCATAATGATGAACAATTGTTATGTACTTACAAGGAAAGCACAATAACAGGTTGTCATCTCCCCCGGCGGCAGGTGCACCGCAGTCGCACTCTCAAGACAACTACAGCTGCGCTATCTCTCACCTTGATGCAAGCAGATCAATCTTGCGACTCGAGACAGTCGGAGACAAGACTTTTGCGGGTGAAGCGCAGCAAGAGAGGTCAAATAACATTCGATCCACGCGTTCATATGGTTGAAGAACCATAACGGTCAATGATTGATGATTCACGTGTAGCGTGATTATATCAATGCGACGCGGCTGATTCGAAAGCATCTTCTCAGAGGTATACTGCGGACCTATTTCGATATTGGCGCTCGCCGCTAATCATAGACATGTTTACTGCGTTGTTCCTTTCTAGACTGCGTGCGCAGATTGAATGGCATATGCTGTATGCTAATGGAATAGTGGGGCTTGAGTCGAGTCAGAGCCTGCCTTCTAACTTGACTCGGATGACAATGATGCCGATACTGCGGTGCCACTGTGAGCCACACGGACAAAATATGATGTTATCTGCTATGCAGTATAAAACGGTGAGTGTTGAGGGGCGATTCACTCATTCGCTTACAAGCTTCCCCAGCTCTTTAGAAAACAAAAACCTAGGCATTATATTTCGCCAGAGCTCTATCATCTTCGCTGCTACCACTGAAAATGTACAAATCATCGTCTACATCTTCAATCACCTTGACCAACGCATCTTCCAACACATCCTCAGAAGCTTTGCTCAAGTCACAAAAGACAAAAAGCAGACTTCCCTCGGGCAGTCCCAGCCAAAAAATTATGAAGCGGCCTTTGGAGCGCTTCAAGCGTCGTATGGGTTTGGATCGTTTCCAGGCTCTACGCGCTCCAGTAAATAGAAGTCTTTCGGCGGATGGTGAGTACGTGCAGATTTGATCGTGATGACGAGACTGATGATTCGGAAGGGTATAAGTAGATAGGGGAGCCAAGTTTCAGGGTTTTCTTCTAGGAACGTGGTGTACAAGAACGAGTGGGGGAAGGTGGGGGTGAGTTGCAGAATAACGCCAAGGGCTATAACAGTCGCAGCGGATTGAGATGGGTTCTCCTTTATGATATTCCAGTCCTGCTACGTAAACCATAAACCACTGCATATATTAGTGTAGAACAGTAATGGGGATGAAATTATTGCCAAACAAAAACTGGTATCACTTGAAATCAAGCGTACATACAGGGTGAGCAATACAAGGGGATGGGGATCAGAAGTGTGTTAAATTAAATGCTGAAGGATTGTGTGAAAATGGGATAGAAAAACAACGCGACCCTATGACATACAGTTAAAGGTAATACCTACCTTTATTACTTCTAATTGAATGGCTGTCACCGTCTAGCCACTCGCTTTCGTTCTCGTCCCTCATCTTCTACGTCCATGGCGTCCCCCAAGTTGATTTGGGTCTGTGCATGACTGGTACCAAGGACGGATGTGCGTGAGCTTCGCGTTCTCCGTCTGGTATTTCCAGAGGCGGATGTGATTGTTGATGAGACGCTACTCCCTTGTGAAGATGAATCGGTAGTGCCTGAAGCAGCAGTGGAATCGAGCATCATCATGACAGCATGACGACGCTTAGCGCCAGCGGTATAGTCGGAGAAAGCAGGGTCTCCTGTAACGGACGCTGCGGCCGTGACAGGAGGCGTGCGGAATAGATTCTCTGACGGTGTAAGGCACGCTGTGATAGGTGAGCCAATGGGGAATGCCTCGGAATTGTCTTTCTTGGCGCCTGAGGCACGGGATTTGGATAGACGTTGGCCGGCATACGGGTGGCTTGATTGCCGCGCAGGTGGCACAGCGGATGGCGTAGGCGAAGTTTGTCTGTTGGAAACATTTGAGATGTTGACCGTGTAAGGGGAATGCGGAGTCAAAGGCGCTGGAGCAACCTGATAAAAGGAGAATATATCAGTCAATGCGCAAAAAATGATGAGGAAGCATACAGTTTGCTGTTCCAGACGGGAAGAAGAGGGACCTGGTTGTTGAGTGTTCCTCGTAGTGTCCCCGGGGAAAATGTGACGGGGAGTGGAGTCTTTATTTGTGTCGGGGCGGCTTGCAGGGACGCTCCCTCTTGTTCTTTCTTTTTCTTTTTCACGGTCTTCATCCTCATCCTCCTCTTCTTCGCGAGCCTTTACAGCCTCCATTCTAGCCTCAATCCAGTCCATGATTCTCCCGATCGTCATCACGTCTCCGGCTGGGTTGCTTGACCCAGATAGTGCTACACCACCTGTAGAAACGCCCTGTTGGATCATCGACATGAGATCTTGACAAGCTGTTGCATATCCTGCATTATAAGCGCGTTTGGATGCATGCCTTGAAGATCGGTAAAGGGTTGTTATACTGAGCGCAGCAGCTTGTTATATGTGCTGAACGTGAGTAACGTGGATAGAGCCTGGAGAAAAGCTCCTCACCTTTGAAGTTGTTCAACAAGTCCTTCTCAGCTTTCTCGAGATTTGCTGCTGGTAGAGACTTTGCCAAACCGTTCAGATCTAGTGATGAGTCCATGGCCATGGAGGTGCTAGCAAGTAAATGTCAGGTACCGTGTGCGTGCAGTTGAGAAATCAGTTATGTATTACGTAAGTTGGTTTCAATCGCGTTGTTGTGCTAGTTTTAGCCTCTGAGAAGGTTCGCGGTTTGAGAGGGAACGAGAAGAACCGATGTGGAAGCCCTTGGTCACTGAGTTGTGTGGAAGTTCTTGGTCAAAGTGCTGCACGGCCTACACCGGGCCACCCGGTGAGCTAGTTTGTGACCGGGAGTCACACCACAAAATTAAGGGGAATTGATTAGTGCCCTCATGAACATGGATGAAGAGGACGACTTTTGTAAGTTTTGAAAATGGTGATGAAGTCCGACTTTACTTGATCTCACAATAGACGGCGGGAGTCTGGTAGAGTCAGAGTCAGACTACGCGGATGACTCTGAATCTGACGATGAAGAAAAGGAATCGGAAGCTGAAGACATTGAATTGCCCCAGGGTGTACAGGCAGAGATTGATACTGATTTCAAGTGCGTCCATCTCCCTTGAGACAGTTTTGTGTATCTGAGTATAAGGTGCAGCCGATTAGTGAGCAACATTCGCATGACAGACGATGTCTCAAATGCAGCGATGCTTCATCGAGAATGGGACTTCAATATCGCCCAGCAAGACGCCGAATTTCGTGATGACCTTCGCGAAGCATCTGGGATAGGGAAGAAAAAAGGCAAGAAGGTGCGTGGTCTATGATAGCTCTTTTGGGCACTCTCACAACTACTGCTTCGCATCGTGTTTTCAGCGCGGCCGTCAGCACGGACCCGTGCTCTCCCATCAAGTACGCGCCCTCATAGGTGAAGGAAACCAAGCATATGTCGATGGAAACATCCCGGATGCCATACGAATCATGCAGGAAGTCATTCGCATTGAGCCTCGAGCGTCTTCTGCGTGGTCCGTTATTGCTCAATGCTATGAAGATTCCAATGAACCGAAGAAGGCGCTTCAACTGCGCATCATGGCGGCGCATCTTCGACATGATGCGGATGAATGGGAAAGATTAGCAGCACAATCAAGGTGGGGTCGTGATCAGGTTTCATCGAAGGGAGCATTGACCGACGGCGCATTTCCCAAGAGATTTGGGCTATAACCAACAAGCTATATATTGCTACAGCAAGGTATATAGTCTTGACCCGACAAATGTCGATGCACTTTGGGACCGCGCTTCCTTGGCAAAGGAGATAAATGACCTTCGCACCGTACGTTCCATTGCTCCTTATTTACGCGTCTCCAACATATCAAACCGTTTTAGGCTCGACACTCCCTTCTTGCAATTTTGAAACGGTTCTCACATGACATGACAGTTCTGGCAGAGCTTCGACCGATACTCATTGAAGTATCAGACCTTCCCCTCTGTGCCTCTCTTTACCAGGCTGCTTTGGAGCACTATCAAACCGTTCAGCCCCTGGGTCCTGCACAGCCCATCGACCCCTCTCTGACTGACCAACCGTCACCAAACCAAATATTCGGCTTCATCGACCTTTTAGTTCTTGCCGATCTGTATAACACGATGGCAGAATACGATCATGCAATCCAAATCATAAGGAAAGGCTGCAGATGGTTGCAAGGCCGCGCAAGCCAACGCTTCTGGGATGGGTGTGTAGACGATCGAGAATACGATTTACCTCGTGAAGAACGGGGCAATGTGAACGTAGAGCGAAGCGGCGATGTTCAGCCGGGTCACTATCCTCTTGACGTCAACGCCCGACACCGACTCGCTATCGCGCGAATCAAGCTGGGAGAAGTGGAGGAGGGCAAGGTGCGTATTTATCATACAGTCAAAACATATGTGTGTGACGAGTCACAGATGCACGCGTCTATTGTTCTCGCGCAAGATGTTCTCGATTACGCTGCTCTTTTTGGAGAGATCGCTGACTCGTATTTTGAGCGTGAGATGTATGCTGATGCCAGGCCGATATATGAGGTTCTTGGCGCAGACCCTGCAGTGACTTTCCTTTCCTCATCATATCGGTCTCCCTACTGATCCTCTGTAAAGACCAGTAGCTTTTATGTACTGCTTCAGGTGGCTGTATGTCGTAGAATGCTTGGTGACCTGCAGGAGGCTGCAGAGGTCTATAAGCAAGGTGAGATACCCCTTAATAAGTAATAACATATTAAAGTCTAATCTCTCGTTAGTCATTGATGCGGATCAAACCAATAATGACGCGAAGATGAAACTTGCCGAACTCTACGAAATCATGGACGAGCCCCGGAAGGCCCTGGAACTCGTTTACCAAGGTTAGGGCGTCTCTTACTGTTCAAGCTGAAGAATCAAATATCCATTCTTCGACAGTCATTGACTCCCGCAAACGACGCACCCACCAGCCTGAAGCCACGCCCACACCTGGTACCGTTCCTCAACCTCAAGGCGCCTCTCTCTTCGAAGAGAAATCACGCACCAAAGCTAAAACTCCAGCTCCCGGTAAAAGCAGGCTCACCTTGGCCGAGCTCAAAGCGCTCGAAGAGCAACGCGAGCGAGAGGTGATCTTGGGGTACAATCGCGTTGAGGATCTGTGGCCGCGTATGCTGCATGGAGACGTGGAGGCGGAGAGGGAGTGGATGATTGAGGCTGAGAAACTGGTGGAGATGTTTAGGGAAACGAGGAATTTGTTTTTGACGACGAGGGTGATTGGTTAGGTGTCAATGCGTTTGTGCTGAAATGACTGACCGATTTTGTCAGGACTATGACTTTAAGGGCATGTTCCCAAAGAGAAGAATACAACGAAGGGACGATACGGACGAGGATAGGATGTTGTCAAGGCTTGAGCTTAATGGTCGGTAATGGCAGGCGTTTGCTGACTATACGTTATTTTGACCTCTCACTCCTGCAGAACGCGACAAACATACCCGTAGAGCCAAAGATGGCGGCCAGGCATCCGAGAAGGTTGATTCGTTCCGCGGCGTTACATTTTCAAGCTGGCTGAGGATTTTTATGCAAGTCAGTTTTCACAGTTGATATTCGTCTGACCCTTTAATAGTTTTGACTTCACAGTATGCCTTCGTTCTTACCAAACGGGGAGACTACGATCAGGCTGAGGAAGTCCTGCGCCATGTCCTTTTATCGAACGCCTATCGAGATTCCGATTCACAGAACACGATTCGAATAGCGATCATCAGTGAGAATCTTATTTCTCTTGATTCCACATCGTAACACGTCTTGCAGCGTGTGCCGTCTATGCTGGCAAGTTCTCTATCGCAGTAGAACAATGTCGCAAAATTATCAACACCCACCAGTTCAACAACGAAGCTTTCCGCCTTCTGCTGGTTTCGTTGGCCAGCGGACATCGCCCTACTGATTCGTTTGTTTCTTCTACGTTACAAAAGCATGTACTTCGTGAACTCCGACTTCACGATGCTTCCGTCAAGACTCCAGAACTCATGAAATGGAATGTTGTCGGACGCAAGTATAATCTATCGTCGTCAGGCAAGGAAGAGCCGTCAAAAGTTGAGGAAGAAGTGGATGAGGAAGCAGAGATCCCCGGTCCAATGGAGAGTAACACGACAGAAAACACAGCGGTTCGGATGCCTACGAAGAATAATCCAATCATCGTCGCTCTCTATGGTCAGATGTCTCTCGCTGCCAAAAGCTACCAGAGCGCCATATGCAAGTTGGTATCCCTTTCCAGGACTTCCTAATAACCGTTCTTTCCAGTCTATTTGCTGCATGCATATGATTATTGCCCTGAAGATCCTGTTATCTGCCTGTCTCTGGCCATTGCTTCTCTTGGTCGAGCTATGCAGCGGCAGTCTGACAATCGACACCACATGATAGCACAAGTGAGACTTTTGTGTTCCTCATCAGCAGCGTACCTTACATTTTTGGCAGGGCATGGCTTTCTTGTCTCAGTATCGAACACTCCGGAAATCATCCGATGATGAGATGCTTGCAGAGGTGGATTACAATTTTGGTCGGGCGTTCCATCAGCTTGGTACGATTTCCCTTTTCATTTGTCACTTGTTATCTTAGAGACTCTGCTAAGGTCTTTACACACACGCTGTCTCGCATTATGAGCGTGTTCTTGAGATTGCTGAAAAGCGGGGAAGCGAGGTGAGTGGCGCGTCCGCCACGTTCGATTGTGGTGGCTGACGATGGCTGACGTTCCTTGCAGTATGCGTCCGTCGCAAAAGAGGCCGCGTATAATCTTTCTCTCATCTACGTGACTACTGGTGCCGTGCCATTAGCTGATGGGCTCTACAAACGATGGTTATCTATTTAACGAATTACAACTTCTTGTCCTTTATGATGTGTCACACCTTTGTTGATTTCGTCCGAGACCATCATCCGGAGACACTGCCATCAGTTGTTTCCCGATGACGTTGTCAGGCGAGTTCAGAATTGTCCCCTCTCAGGCCGACTATTTCTTTTCGTACTCTTCTTCGTTAGCTTCTTACTCCATGCAACTATGTCATACACGAAACCTACAACTTCATCGTTGATTGTGCTAGTGAGCTTTCTGTTTATGTTTACTTATGAACGTCAGCACTGACAACTCTCCAGCGTGGCTCATCATTCAGCAGCGTATCCTCAGATAAAAGCTCGAGCTCATCAGACTTTGACAGATATTCCTCCGCGTCTTCGTCAGGACAGACCTCTCCTGAAGATGATGAGGATAAGATATTCCAACTTGACGTGCGGCATACTTCTGCCTCTGAGAGCGATGCGAAGCTCCGTCCGGTCTTAAGAGGCAGTCTTGCTATGAAGAAAGCCGCAACTGTACTCCATTCCCGGCAGCGCACGTTGTCTGCTGCTGTGAAGACGGTGACCAGGGCATTTACAGTCTTCAAGAAAAGGGTGAGTCGGTCTCCTCTTTGTCTGACGCTAAGCTAACTCATTGTTTCAGAGGTTAGACGAAGAAGAGCCAGTTTTCATTGCCAGTCCATTGCGAGAAAGGTTTGGTAGGAGGATTTCGGTCAAAACCAGACCAGAAGAGGTCAGTACATCAGCAGTCGCATGAATACAGTACTAACAAAGTTCTTTTGGACAGTTCTACAGTCTTCCAAACCGATACTTCTCCGTACACGATTTGCCTATGCAAAAGGTGCGTTTGCGTTATTCATTTCAGGTCATCGAATCTCGCTGACGTTCTCAGGCCAAGACTGTCGGATATACGGCGGAAAGAAGGATAGCATCCATCTCGGGGCCGCCGTCCTCGAGCATCAATAAGCCATCCCGTAGACCACGCAGCCCTAATTTCAGTCTTCCTGGATTCGTTGAGGAACTACAGGCCGCTATGCCCTCGTCGCCACCCGTGGCTGCGCAAGTCCCTCTCGTCGACTCTTCTCATAAAGAGCGTGAATCTTCCCAGCGTATTCTCATCATTATTCTCCGCGGGGTGCTGTTTGTTCCCTGGTGCGCAACAGTAGGCGGGACGCTTCTTCTATTCCCCCAAAAGCTCGAGCTTGTGGTATTCCGCCTAGGCTATCTCGAGTCTTACAAGGTATTCGCCGCTTTGCGCACTGGGCCGACTGCGCATTCCACCATGCCATGATCTTCCTGGCGCTCGTTGTTGCACTCTTGTGGTATAAGGCTGCTGCGGGCGTTCCGGTGGCTTGTGTGCTCATATCCAGGTTCATGTATGTTTGGACCGACTTCCAGGTGGACTCGAGCGTCCCGTTGGGTTGGGATGATCGACAGACCTTGTATTTATTGGCGAAGGGCACGGCGTTTGAGAATCAGACGGTCCTGATCAAAGGTTGTGAAGGAGAGGCAAGGATTGCACAGTTGAGAGAGGACTGATGTCACAAGGTCAGAATGTGACTGCGCAGTACAAATGTACGAAATCCAGCAGAGTCAGCGGACCATCTTTAGGTTGTTCCCTATGCACCTTATGCTGTCTATTGAAACATAATGCATAACGGCTGAATGATTTTCACGATATTGAACTCAGGAAGGTAATATCAAGTCTGCTGCGGGAGTTTCTGTCAGCGATTATGTCAGCATTGCATTGACCTGGCTTACTATCTTCTTGAAGTGTCTCACTGTGTTTTTGACTAGCTCCTCGGTGTTTTTTCGTCGTTTGAGAATCCTGGGGTACTCTAGAGTGTTTATAATATGTTTATAAACATATATGTACCTATCCCAGCCCTAATTTTACCCTCTGGAGCGCCCTTATTACTACTTTCAAATGCTCGTAACAACGATATACAGTTGTAGCTCTAGTGTTATCAATGATTGAGCTAAGTATTCAGATTGAGAAGTTACGGGGTGTCAATTTGTAGTTCGTCTGTTTCAGGCAACCCAATCCCGGGGTGGGTTTTGGCCCATTCGAGACGTTCGTCCACCCAGATCTCATAGTAGTCAGAAGCCCAAACGTTTACCCGGAAGCACAACAAGTCTGTAAGCCGACGGAATGGGCGACCCATGTCATATGCCTCTCTCCACTCTGGGTATCGGGCAGACCCTTCCATCACTGAAAGAAAAGCAGCACGCAAAACACTTCTTTCTTCGCTGGTTCCCCCTTCGTAACTGGATTCTGGGTCATCCGCATCTTGCAGCCATCGCGGTATCACTGCGCATTCCCATACAGGTGCAATGGTGGCTGCTTCAAAGTCGATAAAGCCAGTTACTCGACCCGAATCAGTATCGATCTATCACATACATGTGCGTTGATGATAGGCATCATAAGTAGCATGCATAGACATACCATAATATTTGATAAACGGAAGTCGTCCAATTTTAAGGAGAATGGTCTTTGTGGAGTGGTGATGTTGGCAGGTATCAACATGTCACCAGGATGGACAGAGCACAGCTCGGTAGCCTTTCTCATAACACGCTCCCCGAGTTCAAGTCGGCTCTCTGCTAACTGAGTAGGGTCGCATTCATGAAGCTCCGACAGAACAACAGAACGGTGATTGGAGATGAATTCAAGTTCTGCTCGTGGTTTGCTTAAAAGATATTCAGTTACGGTGGAAAAAGGACCTCTATTTTGATTGTCGTTTTTTGAGATGGGCGCGCCGGAACTCGAATAACGCCATCAGCATCAGTGAATTCATGAGTCCGTGATATGGTAGCCGTGAGACCTATAGACCGATACAATTATGCTTTTGCCAAATATATCCATGTATTCTAGAATAAATTTGTGTTGTTCATACATGACCATTGATCCCTGTAAATCTACACTTTGAAGAGGCATTAATGACAAGGTTGAGGTATAGCAACATCATAGTAGACAAGACATGGTAGTGCAGTGCCCTCACCCTTCAAGCCCATTCTCATTTTGTCCCACATACATTTCAGTTTCCAAGGCTATCTAAGGCATTGTAATGGAAAGCCATCTATGCTCCTAGCTCGAAGGTAGTGAGGAAAGGGGCAAGGATCATATGACATTGGTTTGAGTATTAAGGAAGGCAGGGTACAATAAGAAACGAGGCATGGGAAGTACTAGATTTAACAAGTCTATTTGGGCAAAGCCCATCAGGGCTCTAGACCGAAACACTCCTCTTTTTTGGAGGAAGCTGAGCTGAGATACCCTAAGACAAGGAGCAAGTGATGCATCCAGTGTGAGCTGAATCCCCAAAAAGGAAGGTGCTCAAGACAGACTTACAATTTGGAGCTAGAGCAGAGGAGGGAGAGCATATTGCATGAATGGTTCTAGGACTGGTTTGTCCTGCAAAAATGGAGCCATCACTAGAGCATGCTTCCTCAAATACAGGATGAAGGTGTACTGCTCCACCTGCCCATGGTTTTCACATTCTCGAAAGGAACACCTTGTAAGAGGTATTCAAGGGTTCCTCTGATTCGAAGGCCATGTGCCTTCAGTGAGCCTAGACCCAGCTTGTCACTGGACAACTGAAGGCATTTGACAAGTTTGTTCCTTGTGAGGGGGCGCATCCCTGTATGGTGACGCCAACTGAAAAGGGCAGCAGTGGCCAGGGGTTGATTGACAGACAGGTGATTGGATAATGCAGCTTTGGGGTTGGAGGGCCCAGACTGAGCTGCCCAGTAGACATCCTCCCCCAGAAGAGGCTGTTTTGGTGCAAGGTAGATGGAATATTGCAACACGAAAACCATGACAGTTGGAGTTGTAACTGCCAGTCACAGACCCTGATGTGGTGTTGTTGGTCGAAGCTGTTCAAGGATGGAACCGTGAACTCGCCTATGCGGGCAATGGAATAGAATGTGGTGGTCAGACACACAAAAACAGCTGGCATGTAGTGGCAAGGAGAGGATCCAGAGTCAAATGAATGGCTGCCAGTATGTCTACTGTGAAAGGTGCGTGTTTTGGCTGTTTTGAGGTCAGAGGTGTGCAGGTGTTTGCCTCCCCCAATAGCTAAGGTGCACTGGTTGCTGTTTGCAAGCCAGGGCTGACCATGCAGTAAGTGCCATGCTTGTATAGCGTAGAAATAGTTCTCTAGACACTTCCCAGAGTATATACCTGAGCAAGCAGCTATAAATGCCAGGATTAAGACTGATGATGCAGGGACAGCATTGTTCCTCTGGGATTGCACATGCATCACAGAATACATGAAACACCAGGAGACCCTGACCCATAAGTCTCCTGTGTGCTCTGTGCATGAGAGTGGGATAGGACAGCAATGATTTAATCAATGTCGCTGTTGGAGATGCGGATGAGTGAACCTGTGTGATCAAGTTGAGAACGTGAGATGTGGGGGAGCCATAGATGCAGATGGTCTCAAGCAAGGCAGTGTGGGCAAAGTGGGGAGGCATTTGGGGTTAAGGAGGCAATGTATGGATGTGCGTGTGTAGGTCGTATTGGCAATGACAATGGGAGCCATTCTTGTGAACTGTGAGGTGTTAGTTGTGCCATGCATTGTGGAATTGTAACAACTGATCTCCCCACTTGTTGTTGTTGTATTGGTCTTTGAACTTAATCTCAGTGTGAGCTGCGCGTTCATGATGTCCCATGACTTTTCTTTCTGTTGTGTGGGGGTCTGTGATGCTAAGGAAAAGCTGGAGGTCTTTAGGTAGCAAGATGGGAGGGAGGAGCAGAGTTTGCGAGGGGTAAATTCCTCTTGAAGGCCCATCAGCTGGGTTATTAGCACTTGGCATGTAGCAAAGGTGGAAGAAGACTGTATCGCCCTGTGACTCAAGCAAGGTACTGATTTATCTAAAGACGAGGTTAGTTTCCTTGTTGCGGCTTCTCCTGTTATGCCAACCATTGACAACCCCTTGGTTGTCGCAGAATACATAAAAGTATGCAGGGAGGACTCGAGTTTGTTGTCAAGGATGGAATGGACAAGGAGCTCAAAACCAACCTAATTCTGCCCAGCTAATATCGTGTTGGCATGTGAGAGTTTGCCAGTCAGTGCAGAGGTTCCATGCCCTCCAAAACCCATTGATAACAATCGCTAATTCCTAACAGAGGAGCTCGTGTTGGAGAAGGCACAGAGGTCAATAAGAGGGGGGGGGGGGTCTAATGATGGATTTTCTGACAAAGGGTGAGAGTAGTTGCACAGTCCACCAGTTAAGGTCTTCATTGAGATGTCAAACGGAGTGATGTGGGATGAAAGGACAATGACTGTAGATGCCAAGCATGGCCTCCAGAGTGGTGAGGTAAGCATGACCTGCTGGCATGACCAGGCAGGTGTGGAGAAGCCTCCTGTACAAGCACTGAATGTCCAAGAGTGTGTGTCATTCCCACACCTTCCATTCGACAATGCAATCCAAGTATTTCATTTTCTTTGGAGCCAACAACTCAACCGTCCACTTGGGAATGTTCCACCAAAGCCCCAAGGATAGGACTGTGAATGCAAAGGCAGTGTCTTTCGACAGCTCCCAAGGGACTCTGAGGGGGGAAGAGACATGGTCAATGTCAGCAAAGGTGAATGAAAACTGGGAGTCAAGTACTGAGCAAGGGGAATTAGGAGATGAGTCTTGCAGTGGGAAGCAACAGTTTTCAGCATAGGTGTCATAGTGTCCGTCATCGAATGGATCACCCTTGTACCATAGCCTACCTCTGGATTTTTGTTGACCTGAGCAAGCCAGTGTGTGGTGAGTGGAAGCTCACTGGCGGTTGTAAGCTGCCAGGTGCTCATGCCAGATCCGAAAAAATAGGTGGTCATTGACCCATTTTGCAAGGGGTCCGATGCCTGCAGCATGAAGGAGGTCAGCACCTGCATCAGCCACATGGCCGTATACTCTGGCAGAAGGACCCATACCAAAAGATAAGCAGGTATCCACACAGAAAGATTCTCCTGGAAGACAGATGACTGCGGCTGGCCACTGAGAGTGGTGTAGAGGTACTGTGCAGTAAGCTTCTGCCACATCATGAGTAGCTGCTTGGGATCCTGGGGGCAGAGTGCAAATGATGGTGCATATGGACTCAAATGTTCCCCAGGAGCAAGGAAAGAGGTCTGGGTTGATGCCCACATTGACCGATCTGTTGGGAAAGGCTGGGGAAGGCACCAAAGGGAAGGAGAAGTTCTGGATGATTCGGTACTTCCCAGGCTTCCCAGACTTGGGAATGATAGAGATCGGCGACGTCTGAAAAGGTCCAAGCAGGGATAAGAGTTGATCGCAGTGTGTAAGGGCCAAGGTATCTGCCAGTGAGGAGTTCGCATGCAAGTAGTATATCAAAGGCTTCACAGAAAAACAGTAGAGAAGGTCGATTGGGAGGGGTTTGTGTTGAGGTGATGTGAGAGAGATTGAGATTAAACCTGAATTGTAAACTACTAGGTAGAGTTGGGTAGTCATTGAGCAAACCGTGAGCGACCAACTGGGATTCCAAAATCTTGGCGTTATATGGTGATATCGGGTGCAACTTTCTGTACTTGAGGGCAGTTTTGCGCCCCGTGAGTGGTGGTGAGGCATCCTGAGCAAATGTGCCGCTCATTGTGTGAGTGGCTGGTGCATCTGGAATGCTGCCAATTGATGCATAGAGGTTTGTTGGAGGCTCACAGCAAAAGCTGCTTGTTGGATCTGGTGGCAACAGTAGGGAGAATGTCATCCAAGAGATGATCCATGGAGCACTCAATGAAACTGTGGTTGTTCCTGCTGAGACAGACAGCACACACAGTGGAGGAGCAAGAGCTGTGTGCACTGTCTCGAAAACCCTGTTTCAAGGGTGTCTGATGGGTGGCATGTTGATTTGACCCTGTCTTGTGTGCTTTCAGAGGAGAATTAGAGTGTTTATGGGGAGGAGGAGTCTTTGAGTGACAAGAGTGCCAAGAACGGTGATGATTGGAAGGCTCATGATTTCCACTCCAGGAGCAGTTGGTATTGGAAGAAGATTCATGATTCCCATTTCGTGAAAGGGAGATGTTGGCCATCTGTGTTGAAAGAGTCATGCAAATGCAACATGAAGGCAAGGTGTGAACATTTCATGGACACAATAAGAGTGATGTAAGGCAAACGCGATGGGCAATGCAAAACACATGTATTGAGGTTGTAGTTTGTAGAATACATCAATAACAAGAATAAAACACAAAGGCGAATGCAAGTGTGTTCCAAGTGCAACATTTAAGGCATGATTTGAGAGAACAAGAGAATGATCAGTTTTGTTCATGTCAAAGAGGATAGAAGACTGACCTGAGACTCATGGTCACAGTGTCAAGATTCACAAAGAACATGGTCAAAAAGGCGCCCCAGCACTGTGTTGCTTATGATGGAGAGGTCCCAAGCTCCATTTCCCAGCACAACAGCGTTGTGCCAAGCCCTCTGCTGTTCTTCTTGATAGATCATTAAGGCTTGCTGAGCGATCTGGTCATTGGAATTCCAGTATTGGTGAGTCATAATGGCCACCCAGAATCTTGCAAGCATGAGTACCCATTGATTGGGCCAGTCATGCTCTTTGAGGGCAGCCACAACACGTGGGACAGCTTGGGCAAAATCAACTGGTGATAGGAAGCGATCAGGGACCACCTGCTTGGAGGGTTTGGATGCCACAGCACTGATCCAAACAGTGGCCCCATCTTGCTCGGAAGGGATGAGTCCCTCATCATCTCTAGTGCTGTAGGAGAAGAGGGCTTCCTCCAAACCAATGTTGGTCCAGTAGTAGAATTCAATGAAGTGACCCTTGTCAATTTTCTGTAACACGAAATCGGAGACAAAGGCTTCTTCTTCATTGGTATCTGGACAGGGGCACATGAGTATATTGGTGTGCTTGAACCTGTTTTTCTTCTGCTTGTCTGCTTTTGCCATTTCTTCTTCCAGCTGATGGACTTGATGGAGGTGAGTAGCCTCTGCTGCTGCTGCTGCTTGTGCCTGTTTGGCCGAAATGCAGGTTTCTTCAGCTAGCTGGTGGCACCACTGAATGCAAAGGTCGTCATTGGTAGCGACCCAGACCAAGCAGAGAGACTCAGCTGCCTGCTCCTTGGTGATGGTAGCTGAAATGAAAGGCACACAAGACGCACAGTAGCACTCATTTGTGAAATCAGGGCATACCAGTAAGCCAGGGTCAGAATGTAGTCTGTCCATCGTAATCTTGGTGTAGAAAGATTCGGTTTTTTCAAGAACTTTGTTTTTAATACAGGCAGGTCAGAGAATTGGAAGGAGAAAGTCCGAGAGGAAAGAAGCAAGGTATGAGCAATGAAGGGAAAGGAAGAAAGAGGTGTGGGCTACCTGTCTCGAAACAGACAAAGACTTCATTCCTACCATGTGCTTGTGCCTCACACTTTAGTCAGAATCCAACTTTCATCATGACTGGCAAGTGTTCAGACCACATGACTAAAAGACACAGTTGAGGTATAGTGACAACACAACAAACAGGGCACAGTAGTCCCATGGCTTCAACTTACAAGCCTATTCTCATTTTATATCATGTATAGTTTCAGTTCCAAAGCTATCCAAGGCATTTTAATAGAAAGCTATGTTAAAATCCTGCTATCATCAAAAGTTAGTAAGGTACTATGAAAATAGTGACTAGCGTACTGCTGACTTCAGATTAAGTAAGCACGCTACTAGCTATGAGCGATTCAAATTCCAACAAGCTACCCACAAGACTAGTATGCATGTATTATTAACTACAAAATAATACTATCCCTGGTTTTATTGATGGTGCTCTTGAACTTTGACTTTTCAGCAGTATCAAACTCGTCAGTGAGCTTCTCATGGAGATGACTCCCACTGCTTGCATAATTTCATCATCCAGTTGAGTGGAGCTTACAGGATGCTTAGGTAAGCTGTTTTAAAATTTTCATGCAAGTTCCTTTCAACTTTGTTTCACTGCTACCACCACCACCCTCTTGAGCTCTCCCTGGCCTTTCCTTGTGGTTCCTCCCTGGCCCTTTGTGGTGGTCACCCCCTGGCTTTTCCTTGTGGTTCCTCCCTGGCCCTTTGTGGTGGTCACCCCCTGGCTTTTCCTTGTGGTCCCTCCCTGGCCCTTTGTGGTGGTCACTCCCTGGCTTTTCCTCATGGCCTGGCCCTTTGTGGTGGTCCCTCCCTGGCTTTTCCTTGTGGTCCCTCCTTGCTCTTCCCTCGCAGTCCCTCCCTGGCCCTTCCTCATGGTTCCTCCCTGGTTGTTTATGGTGGTCCCTCTCTGGCCTATTCCCTTTCTGCTATCTTTCCCTGTTTATTTTTTTGTTTAGTAACTACATATGTATTTCAATTTAATATAAATTGATTTTGTTCATAAAATGAGTGTTAAGATTGAGAATTATTTGGCACCAGTGATAAAATGGTAGCTAGTGGATGACTTCCCATAGGCTCGAAAAATTCTGATTAGAATATCATATCATAAATTTGACCATATTAGGCAGGTGTGCCATGATGCCAGCTGTTCATTACTGCTCAATTTGCAAATGTGTGTCACCTACCCCCCTCTTATAAACCTTAATCTATTGGGGGGGGTACCCCCCCCCAACAGATTTTGCAGACTAAAATAAACGACATCCTTCCATTTTTGGCCACTAACACCAGCGATATCCACTGACATAATCCACCTTGCTCAACATGCATGCCATGCAATGCAATACCTTGTGCAGTGATACCAACCTACATCTTTGACCTTTTGTCAAGTATGCTAAATGTTTCTCTCTCCCAGCTCTATTTAGATGATACCCAGTGACCAGTATGACATACTCAATTGTCCATGCATGGTAATGAAGTCCCCACCTGACCAGTCTGCCTCTGGTGTGTCCAATGTTGCCTAATCCATCCTAGCATATATCCCCAACCAATCCACATCCTCTGACAATGAAAATTTCTTTATAATCCCTCCATTTGGACTCAGCATGCTCACAGTCTATCTAGTTTTGCCTTTGTGCACTTGCATTGCACTGTTACCAGCCCAGGGTCCCTGAGCTTTTTCTTTACTGTGAATATCCCCACCTCTTGTGTCTGATGGCTCAACAAAGACTTGTATCATATAAAGTGTGTGGGTCAGTAGCCACAAGGTCAGTACTCAAAGATTCAGTCCCTCCAATGTCTGATTCTCAATCTATGACTATCCCTACTAGCCAAATGATTCCCAAGTTGTGCTATGATAATGCAGGCAATGCATATGTGCATGATCTCTTAGGCATTTGGCAGCCCCATCCTGGGATTGCCCAGGCTGTGACTGGAGTGCAGCAGTCTGAAGACAGATACATGTCCCAGGCATATGATGTAAGTTTTAATCGTTCTCTGACCTTCACAACATGTACTTATTACCTTGTAGTGACATGTAACAGCGCCCTCTCAGTATGGACTAACAACTCCTGCAAACTTCTCCCAACCTTGCTTGTCACCAGCACCCTCAGCATCTGGGTCTTACCTCCTGCCACCTAGTGCATACCAGGACCCTGCTCTAATCCTGCTCCCAGACTCACTGGATAGGGACCTTCATGACCCCTCAGTGATCACTGAATCTCATGGATACACACCTACCATGAAAATTGGTGGGGCATGCCACAAGACTAGAGCTAGGGGAAAAGATAAGAGAATACTGACCTGGGTAGTGCTGACCACCCTCAAAAGCATGCATGTGCTATCAAGGATGATGAAGATGATCCAAGGACTAAATGTGGTCAGCCCAACAGCTCTAACAATTACAGCATGGCTGATATCCAAACCCTCCTTGACCTTGTCAAAGATGAACTTCCTCTGGGCCAGAAAGGGTGGCAACTAGTACACTCAAAGTTCATGCAGTGGGCAGCCCGTAATGGCTGCCCTCACCGTAAAGCAACATCACTTGAAACTAAATTCAAACAAGTAAGTCATGATCTATTCTATGACAGCCATCTAACATTTCAACCTTAGTTTGTGAAGACCATGAAGCCCACTGATAATGGAGTCTGTCCTCCTGATGTAACTCGTGCCAATGAGCTTGATGCATGCATCAACAAGCATGCTAGTACCCTGCAACCTAAACAACTCTGACTATGATGCCCTGGATGATGAGTTGAATTGTAATGAACAAACCATCAAGGTGCGAAGTATGTCTCCTCTTGAGCACACTGCAGTCACTTGCACCACTCAGACAGATACACCTATCCCATGTTGTTGAGGTATAGCAGTGTCAGAGTTGCTTTCTCGCATCAGTGGGGCCTTTGACCCTGGTGTTCAGCAAGCTCGGGATGAGGATTGCACCACCAGATCTCTTGCAAACACAGTTGCTTGCCCAGGGGCAGCAGCTGCATGACACAAATGCAGTCACAGAGAAATTGTGGACCCAACTGTTTGACTTGCAAATGAGACTATTTGATGTTGAATGCGAGCATGACCTTACCCAGCTTCATCTGGAGATGATGCAGATGCACCAGCCTCCTCCCAACAAAGCTGCTCCCAAAACTTGTCACCAGCACAAACCCAAACCCAAACAGGTGGATTACACCTATTACCCTGATGGTGACCAAAATGTCATCTGGCACAGCGATCCAGAGACCCCAGCATCTGATGCTTCAGACCACCCTCCAGGTTCTCCTCAATACACTCATCCTACTCCTCCTCCTTTCAATTCCATACCTTCTCCTCAGTTTGCCCACCACTGCTAGGCATCCAGACCCTGTTCACGTGGTGCAGGGCTGCCACACAATTCTGTGGTCATATGTTCTAAGAGACAAGAGACCCAGGTGTGGGCAGACCTCAAAGGTGAGGCCATGGATGATGCAGATGACCTGCTAGAGAGCAAGTCAGCTCATTCTCAAACACCAGAGGTGTAATCACTCAAGGTACTTGTGCAGCTTAGATGAGGGTGTCATTTCTGACTTCCCTTGCTCAAGGCACTTGCACAGCTTAATCAAGGTCTCATTTCTCCCTTCCTCCACTCAAGGCACTTGCGCAGCTTAATCAAGGTTCCATTTCTCCCTTCCTCCACTCAAGGCACTCGTGCAGCTTAGATGAGGGTGTCATTTCTGACTTCCCTTGCTCAAGGCACTTGCGCAGCTTAATCAAGGTCTCATTTCTCCCTTCCTCCACTCAAGGTACTTGCACAGTTTGTATGAATAGATATATAGAAGTTACAAACTATTTACTCATACTCTAGCATGACATGGAATTGTGCAACTCAATCTTTCTGCCTTTGCTCTGAAAACAACATGTTCTCAAAATCACTCCAGACTGCAATATCATCATCCATCTCCTGCCAATGTTTGAGATACACCATCCATATTTGATTAATGCTGACTTGAATAGCACATAGATTGTGCAATTGCACACAAATCTCAATAAGATTGCCTCGGGAGTCCTTGTTGCTGATTTTGAGTGGTACATGCAATCTTCCAAAAGCACCTTGAAGACCATGCATGCCCCATTCAGCAGTCTGCTGGTAGGAAAGGAGTTCATGATTGAATGCCATCTATTTGTCGATCTCAGCAAGTGAGCCTTGAATGTGTTGGCCTTGTTTGAGAGGTGCACGAATTCGCCCCTGGATGTTATTGCTGCCACAGGGGAATGCCATGCCAGCAACAATATAATAACCTGCAGGAGTATGATTTTGAAGGGAGGCATAGATTTGATGGGCGATATTGTCATATCCCGTATGCCAGACATAGATCCCATCATATTCCCACGCTTTCCGGACCTGTTTCCGGACCCCATATCTGACTCATTCCTGGATCCCCTATCCTGTTCACCCTACACACATTCCGTCCAGCAAGACATCCGGACTTTACCTCCTCTCAGATTCCGGACTACATCCACCACCTCACATATCTCAGTCCTGTTTCTGTCCTGCCTTCTGGATCCCCAGATCTCTGGACCTCCGGATATTAACTGTACTATCTCCGGACCTATTCCCACCCTCTGTCCGAGATCCTGCGCCTATCCCCATTTAGGCATCTCCATGTTTCCGGTTCTCGGTTATCTCTGTTTCCATCTTGCTGATTGATCCTTGTACTAGTTTCATCTCTGAGTTCATTTACTTATGTTCCGTCTTACTTACCAATGTGTTTCTGCATGCTCATACATAGCCTTACTCCTTTGCTTACTGATCCTCTCAGATAGCCTCTAGTATATAACCCCTGTACAACTACAGTAGAGTCCTCAGTCTGAATATCATCTTAGTTCTTGCTCTCTCATCTTAGATCCTGTTCTACTTGCCAATCATCTTCTGGACTTCAGTCCATCTGAGTCTCGTCCTTTTCCATAAGGCCTAGGGATGGACTCCCTAGGTCGGAATTCTGGACCTTCGGATTTGCCCCCTATGTCTCTGTCCCAAGTCTAGGGATTGCTTCCCTAGGCTGGAGTCTTGCCTTTCCAGCACTTACCCTCTTTCTGGACTTAGGTCCACTTCCTGTCCCTCAGACTCTACCTTAGGGTAGTCTACCTCCATTTGCTTCTACATTGGACAAAGTCTGATGTAGCCCCTATTCCTTCCAGACCTCCGGACCTCCTGTCCTCTGTACCTCTGGACGTCCTGGTATCCTGTCCTTCAGATGTTCCACCCTCTGTACCTTCAGATGTTCCACCCTCTGTACCTTCAGATGTTCCACCCTCTGTACCTTTGGACGTTCCATCCTCCATACCTCCAGACATCCTGTCCTCCGGACCTCCTATCTGTCCATCCTGTTTTCCTGTAGAAGTATTACCTTGCAGTGGGAACTCTCCTGAGCATCTCCTGCATCCCTCTGGAACTCTCCTGCACTCCTCCGGATGTTTCCCGTGCTCCTCCAGAAGTCCTCCCGCACTCTCCACCAGAGTAGCCAGCCTCTGGAAGTCCTCTGGACTTCATCGGACCATCATTGGACTTCCTCTGAAATGAAGGGCACATACTCGGGTAAGGGGCACAGCATACAAGCTGAGGCCAAGCCCCTCTGAGTCAGTCTCTCTCTCCTTTGAGCATGGTTCTTAACAGACATGTGAGTCGTGCCAACTGCCTGGGGCATTCAACCACACAGCAATAATCACTCCTGTAACACAGTTAATCAGGGCTATAGTAGTAAGACGGCATTGAACATACCTTCAGCAGAAAAGGCTAAGACAGAACTAATAAAGTGCTCTGATAGCCACCCATTAAACATTGCATTCTCGATGTCAACATCATCAGACATTTGCACAGGTAATTTGAGGCCATTGATACTGCTGAATGCACCTCTCAGTCTCCCATGGTGTACCACAACAAGTTCACTGCAGCGCTCAAAATCTAGGCCTCTGGGCCATTGAATTTTGGCATCTGGGATGGTGCAAAGGGTGGATAGCAAAAGCTTGAGACTGAAGCTAAGATATTGAAAGACAGTACTGGGAATGACAGCAAAGATCTGTTGTAGGCTGATGGTGTGCATAGTAGAGCTGAGATAGTGTAGCACAAGCCCAAGTGCCCCTGCAGCATCAAGGGAGTGCTGATTTATCCATGGATTTCCATGTGCATAGACATCATCATGAGGAATTGCTGTCTCATACCAGCATTGCGCAAAGCCTGTAGTAAGTAGCAAAGAGAAGGTCAACACATCCACACCCATTATAGTGATGAAAGCTCAATCATTCTGGCTATTACAGTGGCTCAAAAAACTGTCCACATGTTTTGACATTTTTCACTATCTATGATATTGTGTGAGAACAAAAAATGCCTCAAGGACATGGTTATACCACATTGTAGTATGGCTTCAGGGCTTTCATTTGAGCCCTACACCGTGGGAATTGGTGGAGATATGGTGGAGACATAAGGCTTATAAAATGATGACTCATGCAGACAGTTTTTTGAGTGTATATTAAAACTATATAAATCATTATTTATGACACCACAAAAATCATGCCACTATTATATAAATTATGAAGTGGTGTCATTATGTTATTTTATGACTATATCTAACTATATAAACCAGAATATCTCATGTATCATAGTCATAATCACCATGAAAGCCATTCTCCTCTGCGCAAAGAGATAATATCCTCTCTCTGTCTTATGCTGGCCTCTCTGCTTGCCAAATTTCCTCTAGAACTGGAGTATGCAAGTCCACTGTGGCCAAGTTTATCAAAGAAAGCCACCCAGACAAGGAAAACTCTTGTGGAGGACGTCCATCCAAGCTTACCTCTATTGACAAAAGGGCTATTATCCAACATATCACTACAGAAAAGGCTGATAATGCTGTCCAAGCCACCCATTATATCAATTCCACCATAACTACCCCTGTCTCTTCACAAACTGTGAGGAATGTTCTCAAGGCAGTAACAAAGAAGAAAAAGCCTCTTCTCTCATCAAACATAGGCAGAGAAGACTAGCCTTTGCCTTAGCTCATCAACACTGGACTGTAGAGGACTGGAAGCATGTTATATGGTCAGATGAGACCAAAATCAATAGGATTGGGTCAGATGGGAAGGTATATGTATGGAAAAAGAAGGGAGATGGCCTAACAGACAGAGAGGTTAATGGGACTGTCAAGTTTGGAGGAGGTTCTTTAATGGTATGGGGCTGTATGGGATGGAATGGTGTGGGAATGCTTGCTGAGGTTGAGGGGAAGATGAATGCTGAGCAGTATGTGGACATTTTAAATGACCACTTGCTGCCTAGCTTGGCAGAATCAGGGATTGATGAAGATATCATTTTCCAACAGGATAATGATCCCAAGCACACATCCAGAAGAGCTAAGGAATGGTTTGAAGAACATAACATCAATGTTCTTGACTGGCCAGCACAGTCTCCTGATGTCAATGTCATTGAACATCTCTGGGGAACACTCAAGAAAAAGCTTCAAGCCTATGAAAACCCCCTTAAAGGAGTATGGGAGCTTTGGGAGAGAGTAGCAGTGGAATGGGGGAAGATCACAGCTGAGGATTGCCAGAAATTAATTGAGAGTATGCCTAGAAGGATAGAGGCAGTAATTAAGGCCAAGGGAAGTCATACAAATACTAGAATACCTGGTTATTATTGTAAAATACTTGAGTCAAAAAACTGTCCGCATGAGTCACCATTTTGTGAGCCTTGTATCTCTGCCATATCTCCACCGATTCCCACGGTGTAGGGCTCAAATGAAAGCCCCGAAGCCATACTACAATGTGCTATAAGCATGTCCTTGAGGCATTTGTGAGTTCTCACACAATATCATAGATAGTGAAAAATGTCAAAACATGCAGACAGTTTTTTGAGCCACTGTATATAGCACCTGCCATGGGGTGTTCATGCGAGGATTTGGGAGTAGTTGTGGTCAGCAAAGATATAAACAATGAGGGTGCCAAGTGTCAATGTGGTCTTGTTGTGATAGCTCACTCCCAGCAATAATAGCAGCAGCCAGGACTTGAGCTCTTTCATCGTCATCAAAAAGGTCTGCCTCATCTTTGTCAGTAAGCAGGTACTGGACAGTAAGGTCATCCAACATCACTGGACTAAATCTATTGGGTGAGTGTATGGGGGACTATTGTAGTATAGATTAACATATCTTCATTATTGGCAATGTTATTGGGACTCCAAGATATTCTATTCAGTATTATTTTGCCCACAGGAAGTCATCCAGTTGCAGGCAATCTGTCATGCTCATGCTTTTGGTAGTTCTGTCCGACTTACTCCAGGTAGTATCATTCTGATAAATATTATATAAATTTTAGGGGTAGACAAAGCTTTGTAAACTTTTATATTTTTGGGTCAGTTACCTGATGCTTCGTAGTTGTGAACTTCCCTTCTGTTATGGCAATATTGATTAATCTAGCTCAAGTGTCAACTTCTGCCACACCTTCACTTCAACTGCAAGTTTGAGTAAAATCAGGACCTTTTCTCAATCATGAAATTTTGTAAGCAAATCAGGGGAGCTTCTTTCCTCTATATGGCCAAACATAACAATGTGATTGTTAATAGCAGAATTACGCTGATTCTTGTGATTATGTACTATATATTGTGATATATGGCCTTTTACTTTCCTCATGTGTTCACTGATGCAAGAGCACAGTAGAATGGTGTGCTGATTATTGGTCCAATGAGGAATTGAGGTGAAAGAGGACTCAAGTAGAGAGATCCAGAACTTTCAAATTGAAGAGAGAACATCTCCAAGAAATAGCATGCAACCTGCGACACCACAGTCTTCTTGACCTCTTCAGAGAGATTGTCCCAGTCATAGCTAGCAGGCATCCCTTTAATCTTGAATGTGCGATGTATGAGTGAAACATCCCAAACGGGTCACACTAGTTGTGGCAACCTACTTTATCTAAGATCATGTATTCTGCTCCAACAGGATTTGATACATCAGAGTTCCATGCATAGATTTGTGGAACAGGTATATTTGTGAATGCAGCGATCATCTTGCATGTTGAGACCTTTTGAAAGAGCACAGAGCCTTAGATACAAACACAAATAACACAACATGTATTTGTAGCTACCTCCAAATCAAGCTTGTGCTTTGGAAATGCAGGAGCAGCCACTTGAACGACAGCATCAAGAGGTGTGTCATCTGATCGCAAGATATCGTATACCTATAAAAATATCAGACATAATCTGTGCTGTGTAGGGCCAGATGGACCTTGTGATAACCTCCTTCAGCCAGTTTCTCCAGCTTGCAGCTTGTCAAGAAATAAAGATCAACAACTGATTGCAGTTCAGCAAGGCTAAAGGAATCTGGTTCGCCATCTCCATTGTATGAAAATGTAGACATTTGATCATCATTGCCCATGCTCCAAGAGATTGAATTTGAGAGAGTTCTCACTGGTGGAGGTGTAGTATATCACAGAAGGTGTGGTAAACTTGCACAGAGAACTGATACTTATTAACAGCAAGTTACATGTGCACCTAGATTATGAAACCAGAAGGAGGTTATTGTCACCCCTTCCACAGGTGACCATGAAATGCCTGTTTCACCTACTCAATAGGTAATGAGATGGTGATGGAAACCTGCCATAGTGGTGGCGGGAAACACTAAACAGTTCAGACAGGAAATAATAGGACAAAACCGTGGAATTTGAGATGTGATATGAGTATGTGATGTTGTAGTAATTGTAAGACCTGAGTCTGTCCATTGTCCTGCATGATTTGGGAATCATGCATGGACATGACTACTAGGTAGCCCCCCTAAAAGACAAAGTCTGTTAGCTTAGGCATCAGGCTAGTCAACCCATACCTTGGTTTCAAACCTTGGTCATATAGTTCAGTTTCCCCTCTGTGATTCATGAATTTGTTATATCTTGAAGAAAAGTCATTTGTGAGATGAGAATCACATAATGACCTAGTTGATATTGTGAAGCAAGAAGGTTAAGGTATTGCCTTGCCTTTGGCTTATTCACTTTGGCTAGAGAAAACCATAGAGAAAAGTTAAAAGCCTAACAAAAACCTATCTAAAAAGCCTGTGTTTTGTGTCTTGTTATTGTATTATTATTTCTGAGTTGTTTTCTCTAGTAATTTCCTTGATTTATTTTTCTATTGGGATGCTCTGACCCATCAGATACTTCACAAAATTGTACCTACAGGGTATGATGTCATAATGATGTCATATGGCTCCACAGATACTCCTGCAAGTATTCTGTTGAAAGTTATGATGTCATGATGATGTCATTTGTTCTGGAATGTTCTGCTCCACAATGACTCACCTCTGATGTCATTACTCCACCTATGGAATATTCTGGAATGTTCTGCTCCACTTTCTGGAATATTCTGCTCCACTTCTGATGTCATTGCATCGCTTTTTTACTTACATAATATTCCCACACAAAATATATATAAGGAGGGCCCATTCCCCCCCCCAAAAAAATAGGATCTCCCACTTGCAATCATTTGAATCTCAGTTTGAGCTACTCACTATGAAGATTGTTGCTTACAAAGAAAGCCCCTTTGAAGTACCAAGTGCAGGGAAAAGACATTCCCTTGAGATTACATAAGTTTCTTACAATAGAAACTTAGTTTATTTGAGACCAGCTTCTCACCTAGTTTCTGATATTGACCAACACAAGCTTTGGTCAATCTGTTCATTTGTGAGACCTGCTTCTCACCTAGTTTACTGAAATTGACCAACACAAGCTTTGGTCAATCTGATCATTTGTGAGACCAGTTTCTCACCACTTTGTCCCTATTTGACCAACCAGTCTTTGGTTAACGTATTTGTATTTGAGACTGTAGTCTCTACAGAGGATTATCTTAACAAGGAACCACATTCTAGTGTCTAGACAGTTTATCCTAGACAAGTTTATAAGTTGGGATATAACACAAAAGCTCTAGCTAAGTTAATCACATAGATTGGTTTAGCGAGCCTCCCAAGAACTCACATGTTATCTACCATGAAAGAAGAAAAGTCATAGACCATGTTAATCGAGGACTGGCAAGAAGTCTTATCCTAGTGTAATTGTGGTGTCATTACATTTTACACACATTTATATAAGACCCTCAGTTATTAAGACATCACAAATGAAGATCTAAGCAGTGTTTTACAGCTACCTTCAGATTGATAGGCCAGAATCCATTTTTGTTCATTCACCGCTTTTGTTTACTTGTGGAGCTAGGCAAACAAAAGGGTCCCATCTGTTACAATACTTTGTCAGCGAGATACCCCAGAATGGCACTGAACTGTGCAGCTTTCTCATTTGGCACTGTCTTCAAGTTTGGACACCACTCTCACCATGGTTGGAAACTGCCATCACATTCCAGCAACCATAAAGCAACAATGGGTCACTATGTCTGCCCAAATGTCATCTATGTTGCAAGAACAGGCAAGTGAATGATGGGAGAGGGAGCTAGAACACAAAGGTACGATCTCAGTTTCAACTAGAACTCATATTAATGTGCATAGTACCTAGAACACAAAGGTACACTATGGTTTTGGTCAGCTAATGCTGACATACAGTGGCTCAAAAAACTGTCTGCATGTTTTGACATTTTTCACTATCTATGATATTGTGTGAGAACTCACAAATGCCTCAAGGACATGCTTATAGCACATTGTAGTATGGCTTCGGGGCTTTCATTTGAGCCCTACACCGTGGGAATCGGTGGAGATATGGCAGAGATACAAGGCTCACAAAATGGTGACTCATGCGGACAGTTTTTTGACTCAAGTATTTTACAATAATAACCAGGTATTCTAGTATTTTGTATGACTTCCCTTGGCCTTAATTACTGCCTCTATCCTTCTAGGCATACTCTCAATTAATTTCTGGCAATCCTCAGCTGTGATCTTCCCCCATTCCACTGCTACTCTCTCCCAAAGCTCCCATACTCCTTTAAGGGGGTTTTCATAGGCTTGAAGCTTTTTCTTGAGTGTTCCCCAGAGATGTTCAATGACATTGACATCAGGAGACTGTGCTGGCCAGTCAAGAACATTGATGTTATGTTCTTCAAACCATTCCTTAGCTCTTCTGGATGTGTGCTTGGGATCATTATCCTGTTGGAAAATGATATCTTCATCAATCCCTGATTCTGCCAAGCTAGGCAGCAAGTGGTCATTTAAAATGTCCACATACTGCTCAGCATTCATCTTCCCCTCAACCTCAGCAAGCATTCCCACACCATTCCATCCCATACAGCCCCATACCATTAAAGAACCTCCTCCAAACTTGACAGTCCCATTAACCTCTCTGTCTGTTAGGCCATCTCCCTTCTTTTTCCATACATATACCTTCCCATCTGACCCAATCCTATTGATTTTGGTCTCATCTGACCATATAACATGCTTCCAGTCCTCTACAGTCCAGTGTTGATGAGCTAAGGCAAAGGCTAGTCTTCTCTGCCTATGTTTGATGGAGAGAAGAGGCTTTTTCTTCTTTGTTACTGCCTTGAGAACATTCCTCACAGTTTGTGAAGAGACAGGGGTAGTTATGGTGGAATTGATATAATGGGTGGCTTGGACAGCATTATCAGCCTTTTCTGTAGTGATATGTTGGATAATAGCCCTTTTGTCAATAGAGGTAAGCTTGGATGGACGTCCTCCACAAGAGTTTTCCTTGTCTGGGTGGCTTTCTTTGATAAACTTGGCCACAGTGGACTTGCATACTCCAGTTCTAGAGGAAATTTGGCAAGCAGAGAGGCCAGCATAAGACAGAGAGAGGATATTATCTCTTTGCGCAGAGGAAATGGCTTTCATGGTGATTATGACTATGATACATGAGATATTCTGGTTTATATAGTTAGATATAGTCATAAAATAACATAATGACACCACTTCATAATTTATATAATAGTGGCATGATTTTTGTGGTGTCATAAATAATGATTTATATAGTTTTAATATACACTCAAAAAACTGTCCACATGAGTCATCATTTTATAAGCCTTATGTCTCCACCATATCTCCACCAATTCCCACGGTGTAGGGCTCAAATGAAAGCCCTGAAGCCATACTACAATGTGCTATAAGCATGTCCTTGAGGCATTTGTGAGTTCTCACACAATATCATAGATAGTGAAAAATGTCAAAACATGCGGACAGTTTTTTGAGCCACTGTACATGTTTCCAAGTACTCACATCTCAGTTTCAACTAGAACTGAGATGTGCGCTTGGTTTTATAGCAAGGTAAGTAAGGAATGCAAAGGTGAAGTTTTCTGACATATGTATATTGCAGGGTGCAAGCCAATGTCATTTGGGCACAGCCTATTGGCCCGTCTGGCTCATGTGCTTGGACCTCTCTCTCTCACTCATACCTATCATGTCAGATCCTTCAGCTTCCTTACTCTCTCTCTCTTTGGATCGTTCGAACTTCAACAATCCAAGGCAGTAGCACAAGTCACTAACACAAGCCACTGAACTATCAACTCAAATGAGTAGCATACCATATCACAGAAGTTGCACAGTCCAGTGCCATTCTGGGATATTTCATCCAACAAAGTATCGTAACAGGCAGGACCCTTTTGTTTGTCTAGCTCCACAAGTAAACAAAAGCAGTGAATGAACAAAAATGGATTCTGGCCTATCAATCTGAAGGTAGCTGTAAGCAGTCCAAACAATCATATGATCAATATGATAAGCAGACATAGTAAGCAGCAGGCTTACACCCTCCCATCCTCCGAGAAATCTTGACCATTGTTGAATTCATCCAATGCGTCCATCCCTTCAACTTCTTGACCAGGTAGCCACATGTCTGTATCCTTTCCAATGTATGAGATATTGGAATCCTCGTCCTTGTTTCCTTCTATCCAGGATATGCTCTATCTCCCAACTCTCCACTCCAGTGTCTGTTATGATTGTCCCTGGCTTTTGTATCTCTTGTGATGGGAAAACTTCATCATCATTCGCTACATGCTTCTTCAGTTGTGAGGCATGAAAGGTTGGATGAATGTTTGTGTGTGCAGGCAAGTCCAGCATATATGTGGATGTTTTGGGGTCTGCTGATATAATTTTGTATGGTCCATTGAATCTTGGCATGAACTTTGTGACACATTGATTGCTGCTGTTGAGATATTCTTGCCTTTGGTGTGCTGTCAAAAGATATATGAGGTCGTCCACCACGAGCTTTGGTTTGTCGCTCTGTTTTGTGTTTGCTGACAAGGCTTGAGCAATTTTGGCAGCTATGAGAGCATCATGCACATCCACAACATCCATTTTCAGGTTCATGATGGCTTCAAGGGCATTTGTGACATCGGTTGGGAAGTCCAGTCAAGCCTCCTGCACTGCTTTGGGCGTTAAGGGTGGTAGCAGGCATGGTGATCTTCCAAGGTGTAGGTGGAATTGTGTGTAGCCGGTCAATGCATTCACACTCGACATCAGGTTGAACTGTATGCATGGTAGTGCATCTACCCAACCATATTGTTGATGATCTATGAAGAATCTCAATGCTTGGTTGATCATTTTGTTAGTATGTTCACTTGAACTGTCTGTCTGTGGGTGGTAAGCAGTAGACATTTTGAGTCATATACCTGTTAATTGATGCAGTGCCTTCCAGAATTTGCTGGCAAATAACTTGTCGCAGTCTGAGATGATGTTGAGTGGCATTCCATTTTTGCAATACCAGTGATTGAAGAAAAGGTTTGCAATTTCTTTTGCATTCATGTTCATTTGGCAGGGTATCAGGCAGATGTCCACTCCTAGATTGTCAGTGATTGTCAGTATGCCATCAAATCCTTGTTTGATGGGCAGAGGGCCTATGAAGTCCATTGCCACTGAATCCCCACACTTGTCAGGTGTAGGGAGGGGATGTGAGGGTCCAGTGGGTTTCGTTGTTTTGCTTTTGTTTTGTGCACATTCAGAGCAGGCAGGGATATAGCTTTCTTCAAGATTGTGCCTCATGTTGGGCCAATAGAACAACTGTCTTAGTGTCACATATGATTTGTTGGCACTGAAGTGCCTAAGGTCATCATGGGCCAGTCTGAATAGTGTCTTGTGTAGGTGGGTCACTTGTGGTATGACCATACAGTTGTTGATATATAGCAATCCATCATGTTTCTGCAGTCCTGGTAAGGAGTCTGTTAGTTGTGACAGTCTGATACACCACAGGTCCTTAGTGCAGCCATCCTTGATATTGTTCAGTAGCAAAGCATCTGGAGTGATAGAGAGTATCAGTGTGATAGGGCTGGTATTGTTACCTGTGTTTGTAGGCAAGTTCCTTGTTTGTTTGATGTACATTGCTCCATTATCTGTCTCTGGTGGCAGGCAAGAAAGTGCATCGGCTACCACATTGTCCTCCCCAGGTATGTACTGTATCATGAAGTCATATTGAGCAAAGAATTCTTGCCAGCATGATAGCTCTCATTGCATCATGAAGTTTTCCAGGGTCCTGTGGTCAGTATATACTGTGAACAGGGTACCTAGTAGTTCCACACACCACTTTTTGAGTGCATGTATGATCAACAGGAGTTCTTTTTTGTGGACTGGATAATTTAGTTGAGCATCATGAAGTTGCATGGAGTCGGAGGCTACTGGGCATGCTGTCTCAGCAGTCAGACCAAAGCTGAGCATCCCACTGGTCCTCCAATTGCTTGCATCACAGGTGACAAAGATTCTGTTGTTTCCAATATCATCATGATCAATTGTTGTTAGACAGTCGCAGCTTATTACCAGCTGTTTAATGGTGTCAAACACCTCTTGGTGTGTTGATGTCCAGCCAGGCCATAGTGCGTCAGCTGCTTTTGTGGTCAAAGGGGTCAGTATTCGCATGTGATCTGCCAGCTTTGGTAAGAATTGTTCCAGGTATTATACAAGGCCCAAGTATGAGCACATGTTGGTTGATGACTTAGGTGCAGGCCAGTCCAATATGTGCTTCACTTTTGACACATCCACCTCAATACCTGCTGTGGGGATGTGGTGGCCCAAGAAGTTGACTTTGTTGCAGAAAAGCAAAGTCTTCTTTGGCAAGCAGAATAAGGATGCTTTTCATAGCACATCGAGTACCAGTTGAACATTTTTCATGTGTCCATGACACTTTGAGACCAGATGATAATGTCATCCAAGTAAGTGTGACATATTTTCCCAATCAGAGGCTGTAGTGCCATGAACATTTGCCATTGATGGGTCACAGGTATGTTTCTCCCACCCTGAGGCATCACTGTCCATTCATGGAGCCCCTTAGGAGTGTTGATTGCATGTGTATTTAATGTCATCTGGATGTATCCTTGTCTGAAAAAACAAATTAGTCATGTCTATTTTTCCAAATACCTTGCCCTTTGTGCAGTCACACAAGATTTCATCTATATGGGGAAGTGGATGGTTATCTGGGATCATATTAGCATTAAGAGTACAGTAATTGTTTACCCATCTCAGGTAGGGCAGTGGGATCTTTTTTTGGTATGAGGAAAGCCAGTGAGATGTATGGGCTCAACAACAGTTGCAAGTGTCCTGCTGCAACATGTTCATTTAGCAGTTGTTCCCATGCTTCTCTGTACTTTCGAGGAGTATTGTAGCATTAACATTGGATGATCTTTTCAGGATCTTTCAGCCAGATGCAGTGAATGATGTCTGTGGGTAGATGGTCAATATGCAGTATGTCATTTGGAAACCAATCTTTATAATTCTCTCACATTTCCACTGTAGAGAATGAGATTCCTCCAGGCTTAGATTGCCCATATCACAACTCACTACCTATGACTTTCCTGCGAAACACGCCAGAGGTGCGATGCATTCCCGCACTATGCGACACTTTCCCGCGCACGTGCTTAATGCGCTCTTCCCACTGTCTTACTACTTGAGGGTCTTATATAAGTTGAGGTGAAGTACAATGACTATCACAATTAATTGTACTTCAATAAGACTAAGGTGCCAGCTCCTTAAGTTCATGGTCAACGGATTTTCTACTTCTTGGTTGATAATGTGTTGTTCATGGGTGGCCAAAGGGTAATAAATTACTTCTTTGCTAGATCACTTCTTGATAGTAAAGGGAAGTATATATTTTGTCAGGTTAACTTAAACCTAGTAGGTAATATGGACCTCTGCTGAATCAAATATGATAGACTGTTGTATAGGCAATCCCTAGTAAGATAGTATACAACCAATCTAGACTAGAAATACTATAGTTTTCAAAGGCAATCTCAAGGCCTTCACTTTCTTCATAATCTCATACTATTGAGACAGAAAGAGGGAAAACTCCTGCACTTCAAATCTTATAAATCTCATGGTTTGAGACAAGAAAGAAGAGGGAAAAACTTGTTGAATATGTGAGAATGGAGTCCTTATATACATTTTAGAAACCATCCTTACTAAGCAATGACTCATCACTGGACTGGTAAGAATATGCTTACAAACCAAGCCTTTTGGTGTGCTGAATCAGCTGCTTACTAAAGTACATAAGTAAAATATTACAAAGCACTGCAAAATATTACAAAGCATGACAAATCATGACAAAACATGATAAGTCATGGAAAAATCCTTACAAATCAGAATATTACCAGTCACATGACATGCTTACAAACATATCTGAGTGGTTCACTGATGTAATCAAGTGGCTGAAACTATAAATACAACTAAATAAATAAAGGGAAATAGATGACTAAGCTCATGAGTGAGAAATATATCCTCATACACTCTCCCAATCATCTCCTTCTATACTTCTTCTTATATATGTCATGGTATGAACTCCATACCATGCACAACACTGCACTTGGTCACCCTTTGTCACGCAGCATCCCAGAGCATCCATCCATCATCCAACCAGTCCCCTGGTGCATCTCTTTCTATTTATTTTCATTATCAGACCCTTTCTAGCATTATATGACACTATATTTTGTCATGGACCCTTACTTACATCACTTACATACATAGAGCACTCCCTGTTTACTTCCAAGCCCTGGGAGCACGCCTAGGCACAGCTTACCTGTTGCCTAGGAAGTTTTCAGACACCTACCACCATCATGTCACTTAGTATCTCATAGTCAGAATCATTATCTTCAGCCAGCATGCTAGTTGTTGCCCTAGCCATCAGCATCAGTCCATCAGCATCAATCTCCACTTAGCAGTCCCAGTTTACATCTTCATGCCATCCTTCAGTCTTTTATACGTTTGCGCACCACATGCACCATATTCCCATGCTTTGTGCTCTTACACACTTAACATTCCTATATGCGCACTCCCAGCATGCTTCAATAGAGTTGATCCAGCATCACTTCATGGATACTTGCTTTCTTTGCTTCCCTTAAGGGTCGAACATATCACCTGGTGCATTTCAACCAACACTTAGAGAGTCAGTAGCCTTCCTCTCACCCCAGAGGTAGAGGCATCTTTCTTTCTTCAGCTCTGCAAGTCCAGCAGAGCAGTGAACCTTCACCACATCCAGTTGGTCTAGCTGGTCTTTGTTTTTCTCAATGAACACAAGAGTTTCAATCCAATGCACAATGTGGCAACAATGTTTTTGGTTGCCAAAGTCATGTGTTTTACAGAGTCATTGAGGCATTCTGTTAGCACACTTTTCAGTTCCTGAATTACAGTTTTGCATAGCTGCAATACATCTTGAGTTGAGGGCAAAGGTACAGGTGTACATCATGTAACAATTGGGGGATTAAGAAGGTCATATCCAGAAGGTTTGCTGATGCAAGTTTGAAGTTCATGATCTATGAGGAGGCAATTGTGCGATAAGAAAGGCCACCCCAAGAGGAGGGGTACAATGAGATTAGGCTGCAACAATTGCATGTATAGTATGAGAGTTCCAGTCATGATTTAAAGAAGAAGGAGACAGAAGGACATAATCAGAAAAAGACAAAGGAGAAGTAGATGATGCGAGAAATGCAGAGTTCACTTGGATCTCAGAGTGCAGTTTGCATCTCCACAGACCCAACTTGTTCACTAATGTCCTCATTAATAAGAACTAGATGCGAACCATGGTCAATTAATGTGTCTATGCACTCAAATGAGGGGGAAGATGGCCCTGTCAATAAACAGGGCCACATGATATAGGCAGTTTCAAAAGGAGCCACACACATATCATCATCTGAGTCAGACAATTCCTCCAAGACAGACAAGGGCATGATGGCTGTGACCAGTGCAACAACAGCAACAGGTGTGGACCTGTTCATTCTTTCATTCTTGGTTCTGGCTGCCATCACATCCACTTCAGTGATTGTCTTGTAAGATGATGCTTCTGGTGCGTCATTCAGACACTCTTTCAACCTGTGCATCACATAAAATTTCCTACACTTGAAACAGCCCTTGTGATCTACAAGTGTTATGAACTAGGATAGTCATGACAATAGCAGCTCAATAAGAGTGATGGCTAGAGTTGAGTCAAGACCTTGCAAGTGCAAGGGTTGTAAGACAAGGCAAGGAGAGTGTCCTCAACTTGAATATCAATGTTCAGACAACTTAAGTTTGGAGGACTTAAGTGAAGGAAGTTCCAGGTAAAACCTAGTAAGATTAAGTGCAGAACTAAAGCATACAAGGTAGACTATATATAGTGAACTACAGGTGCTTTAGGGCAGGTGTGGGAAGATGAGTCAGAGATAGCAAGAATAGATCACCTAGTGATGGCAATAGCAATCGTGGTGTAATACAACATGAGTTAGAGATAAGTCTAGTGGCAGTGATATGTGGCATGTGACGTAATACAAGGTAAAGGAAGAGAAAATAAATAGGGGTGTATGTTGACTGTAACAGCAAGTAATGTTTGTTCTGTCACCATGAGGGGGCTGAGATGAGGTGTGGAGTTGTTTGTTGACGAATTGTGGGTAGTCCTTGATGATGTGTATGGTTGAGTGGTTTGTCTCGAGGTTTTGTAGGCCTCCTCTGCAAGCCTCTTATGCATAGCCAGGTCTTCAAGGTGTTTGTCATCAAGATGATGCACTTCTTCAATCCAGTTTCTCAATGTGAGCTTGGCATCAAGGTTTGCTCTGAGCACCACTGTAGTTAAATCATCACATATATTTGCTTCTAACTGGTTGCAGAGTTGTGCATCTGTCAGATGAGCAGCATTACCATATAGAAGGGCATTTTGGTTTTGGAGTTCTAGAGCCCACTCATAGAATGCATAACTTCCCTGTTGAGACCCCAGTACCTTCTTTCAAAGTTTGGTGTCCCAGTGTGTCTTAAGCCATGCACCTTTGAGTGCTGTCATGTACTCCATGTATGTACCAACATCAAGTGTGACTCATTGTGTGAGGTACCAGGTATGTAACTTTGGGTTAAGTATTCCAAACACTACCATTTTGACTTGATTCTATGGTTCAATTTCTTTATGCATGAAATAGGTTGTGCACACATTTTCCCAGTCTCAAGCGACCTCAGGAGTGAGTTCACCAGTGAGTAACTTGGGAGGTTTGCTTGGTGCAGATTGTTCTATGATGGCAGGTTTCATTGCATTGTGAATGAGGGGGTAGCATGTCAGTGGCATTTCTGGTTCAGATTCTGAAGAGGAGTCACAGGTTGTCTTTGCAGTGAAGGAATCAACTACTAAACTATGGCACTACAAGGAATACCAAGTCAGAGTATATGTGTGGTCATCTCAGCTCTGCCTAGGCTGCTATACTTTGCAAAGGCAAGTGCATTCAACCCAAGGGGAAACAAGTGCAACACATCCACAGGTCGCACGAAGCGTGGGAAAGTCACGCGCGTGGATGCGAAGGTGTGCACAGAGAGTGGTAGGATGCACGAAGCGTGGGAAAGTCGCACACTAATAGGCAAAAGTGCACAAATGGCTAGGAATGCGATGGGGACTAGGGAAGATGATGACTGATACTGATGGGCATGAGAATGACAAATGCGATGATGATAGAGTGTGATTACCTAAATGCTACTGACTATGGCTCAAAAAAGCATGCACTATGCTGAGGGATGCCAAGGGATACTAACTGGCCACTAAGTGGTAGCTAACTCAGTGATAAAAATGCAAATGCTATCATGCAAAAGGTGACTAAGCGCGTTCCCACAATGCGGAGCTGATGTGAGTAAGGTGTGGGAACGAAGAAGGTATATGTAAGTAAGGGTCCATGATGGAATATGGTGTCATGATAAGAATAAATGTGAAAAACATACCAGTAGGACTTGCTGGACAATGGATGGATGCTCCTGGATGATGGGCGATGAAGCGTGGGAAAGCACAGTGGGATGCACTGAAGGTTCAACAACTCTGCTGGCTTGCAGAGCAAAAGAAAGAAAGATGCCTCTACCTCTGGGGTGAGAGGAAGGCTACTGACTCTCTAAGTGTTGGTCGAAATGTGCTGAGCGATATGTTCAACCCTTAAGGGAAGCAAGGAAAGCAAGGATCCACAAAGTAACACCAGGTCAACTCTGGTGAAGCGCGCACACAGGAATGTCGAACACATAGGAGTGTGAAATGTGGGAATAGAGCGCATGTGGTGCACAGACATGTAAAGGCTGAAGGATGGTGTGAGGATGTGTACTGAGACTGCTGAATGGTGACTGATGGTGATAATGGACTGAGGACTAGGGTGACAACTCTGATGGATGCTGGCTGAAGATGATAGATTCTGACTCTAGGTGACTACTGACATGGTGGTGGTAGCTGTATGAAAACTTTCTCCAGGCAACAGGTAAGCTGTGCCTAGGCATGCTCCCAGGGCTCAGAAGCAAACAGGGAGCGCTCTAAGTATGTAAATGATGTAACTAAGGGTTCATGATGAAATAATGTATGGTACGATGCTAAATATGAGAATAAACAAAAAGGGACTCACTAGGGGACTGGTTGGATGATGGATGGATGCTCCAGGATGCTGTGCAACAAAGTGCAACTGAGCGCAGGAAGAGCACACTAAGCACGTGCACAGGAATGCATTATGCCTCTGGCACATTTCACAGGAAAGTCGTAGAGGGTAAGTTGTGCACTGTACCAATCATCATAAGTCATAATATGGGTGATCTAAGCCTAGAGCAATCTCAATCTCTACAGTGCATGGGAATGCATCATGGGAGAGTAGTGCATGCATCATGCAATGCATGGGAAGATCACGCATGTATAGGCTGAGTGAAGGGATGATATAGGGAATGATGCCACAAGTTTGTGCTGTGAACTGTATGTAGAGGAGGGTTTTCATGGTGATGATCCTTGAACATCCTTGCTTCTAGTATGATCAGATACTCAAGATCTGAGTCAGTCATGAAGCTGTCAGTGGGATAGCTGATCATGAGATCAGTGCAAGCCATCTTCAAGAATTTGCTATTAATCCATGCCTCATTTCGAGCCTGGATGCATTTTTTGGAAATCAGTCAGTCGCCAGTTGGAACACTATGACTTGAGTTTGAACAATGACCATAGTTGGTGCTTCAACTCGGAATTGAGAATACAACACATAGCCTAGATAATTCCTCTGGAATTGTGCAAAGTCACCAACAGAATTCCAAATGGACTTGCTTGCAGCTTGGCCTTGAAACAGTTCTGATCAAAAAGCACTGGAGATCATCACAACCAATTCACAGGTACCAGTAAGGCCGCAACAACCAGCAATTGAATGCTGCAGGGCTAGCAGCCAGGGTTTCAAAGACAATCTGTTCAAATCTCAGCCGCTTGTCACAGGATAGACATAAGACATGAGTTTGCTTTGTGTGGTTGTGAATACCCCTGACACAAACCATTGCAATGTGTGGAGCATCTATGTTTCACAAGCAAATGGACAACTACAGTGTACAGCATCTGACTCTGTTAGGACAAAAGGAGATACTGTTAGAAAATCAGTTATTATGACAGGTTGAAAATACACCTAAGTTACACTGACACTTAAAGAGTGATCATGATGCACAGGGTGAGCATAGGTGAGTGTGCAAGTTTACATAATTAGTAACTATTAACTTAGTATAAATTAAATTAAACCCAATGAACGGCAAGCCTAGGTGTAATGGAGAAGAAAGACCCTATGGCCAATGCACAAATCCAAATGTGTCGTTGATATATCCAGAAAATGCGCAATCAATTTTCAATCAATGGAGCGGCAATCACTCCACATTCATTGGCAAAATTCTGCAGATGAAACTCGGATCCTCCTATTTGAAATCAATAATCGCAGATAGAGGGAGCATGAGATTCACCCACCATCGCATAGGCGTTGAGATGATTCCCAATGATCGTCTCAACAGTCTTGGAGAGCTTGGAATTTGGCTGGAACGGCCTAAATCTGCAGAGAAGGATTATCCTTGTGACAGAATAGCCAGATCGGTTCGAAACCAATCAAACGAGTGCCATAAGTTTTAACCGAGGATGACGCATTGAAATGAAAAGTCCAACGATTATAACTGCATATCCTGGTCTGCTCGTGAAGTCGAGCCACTCAAAATTCTGCTTTTCGAGTGACCTTCGCAACTTCTTGATTAATCCAAGAAAAACAGGACTCACTGTAAGCACAAACAATGCTCCAACTTGAACGTGAGTGACACTCTTAACGCAAGCTCCTGCAAGATCTTGAGAATGACGTCAATTTTTGGCTCATCTTCATAAGACGAGCAATCAGCTCCAAAGCAGGAGTAGATAAATGAACAAGGCAGCATCGCTACCAAGCGCGCGGAGATAATAGTGAGCAGTTGAGCAATTCGGAGTGCATGTGGAGCTCAGGTGGGGCGCATACATAGCGTGGATGCGAATTGCTTCCCCGGGATTAAACGTTCCATCCTTACATGTGTCAGTTTATGGACGAGGAAGGTACTACAGATAGTCCTGGACTATTGGAGCAATCTTGTCAGAAACGCCGCTCAGAATGTCTATTGTCTCTTTCTGATGGGGGATATCATAAACGTCAGTCATCAGTCATTGAACCAGTGGACTTGGACTCCTACCCAAACAGTGTCTTGCATTTTACGACCCTCGTCGCTGAGCACGAAATCGGCGACCTCTACAAGGCCACCACAGCTTACGAACCCGCCTTTCACATTCTCTTCGTTGTCTCGTCCGCCCACCGCACCAAATACAAGCTGACGACTCCCTTGTTCGGGCGTCCACGCCAGGAGACGCTCGTGAATAGCAAGCGCTATTTTGGCGAATGAAAAGGTCGGTTGCTCGTACCAGACGCGCCGTAGTTGTGAATAACAGAATCCTGGGTTCACAGCTACCGCACTGAGTGGTGTGATGGTTTGTAACCTGTCCGTCAAGGCACGAACAAAGAAGAGGTTAAATACTGGTTGTGTCTGTCAGGTTGGAATGGGCAGAGAATATAGGACGCACATACGCTTTGACTCAGAATACCGGGATCGCATGTGCCTGAGAGATAACGAGTAAGAAAGATTCATATGAAGTTTGATTTGTTTGCTTACTCGGGGATACACCATTCTTCAGTGCCTAGCATTTTAAGTGGGTTCGGGGAGGTCAAGACCTCTTTCGCAGGGGTAATCCAGTAGAGGACACCACTGGACACAATTACCATCCGTGAAGGTGTAGAAGACTTTTTCCCCGCAGCAACTAGTTGCGGAATGAGGAGCAACGAAAGTAACTGACGTTGCCAGATAATTAACTTGTAGTCTGAACAGTAAACATGAGCCACGACCGCATGCGAAATCAAATAGACTAACATGGTCTCCCAGCCATCAGTGGCGGGTTGGTAAGTGGGCAGTGCAATCGCTGCATTCATGACCAGGATATGCAAATCACCACCCTCCTTCTCGAATTTGTCAGCGAATGCGGTCACCGATGCAAAGTTAGCAAGGTCGACCATCCACAGCTCGCATCCATCATATCCGGTCTCTCGTTCGATTTCTTCAGAAAATAGACGTCAATTGTCTCGCACCAAATGCATTCTAAACGGTTATACATACCAGCTAAAGCAGCCTTTCCCTTCCCCTCGCTACGGCAAGCAATTATCAGCCGCGCTGGTTGCATACGTGCGAAGTGTTTCGCTGCTTCGAGTCCAATGCCTACATTGGCACCGACAACAAGAACTGTTTTCCCAGATAGATCAGCCGTCTCCACTGGGGGCAACGCCGACCATTGACTAATAACATAATCGAGAAATGAGTACTTCATGGTGATAGAAAACTTGCGATAGATCAAAAGAATAACCATTCGAACAACTTTTAATAGTACGCTGCTCAGCGTATTACGTCATGGGGCGACAGTAGCAGTCAGCACATTACACAGCCTTGTCTATGCATTGTAAGACTTACTTGATAATCTATAGTAATCCATAGTAATCATGATGCATCGCTTGGCCCGACAAATTGGAAGTACACAGCTCCATCATCAATGCTCCAAAATATACTATGAGTGTGCTCAAGACGCTAACAAGCGCCGGTGCACGTATTGACTGTAATCATACGTCAGTTTACGATGCACACATACCGCGGTACTTTCGCCCACAGGTGACTGCTTGTTTATGCAAAGTTTGTCGAAGCCATTCAGAATCACTGGCAGATCTCCTTGAATGAATTTCCCATGCACTATACTCCTCAGTCCAGACCCGATTGTTGGCGGAGTACTTTCGATAATAATAGCTATGGGCGTCAGGTGAACATCATCCATACCCCACGCGGAAAACTAATACTTACATCCCTATCTGACAGTCGCAAACATGTAATGGTCACATCCCATGTCGATAATCTACCCCCACCATAGTTCCTTCAGGAACCTAAGAGGGCAGTCAAAGGCGCTCGCTTTGATGCGAGATGCTACTGTTGATCATTTAAAGAACGATATTTCCTATGCACTGAACGGGCGGGTCAATTTTTACATAGTTGAACAATGTCCAACCTTGGTTCATTGGAAGTCGACAACTTCATCTTCTTCATGTTTGCGTGTGGGTAGAAATGAACCGTCCGCACGGACCTGCACCCCCTCTGTAAGGACACTAGCAGGAAACACGGACATATCCCAGTTGAGGTAGACGTTGAAAATTTGTGTCGGTAATGGAAATTTCAAGAGGCATTTATAATCCAGGCTAGTGTTAAGTTGATATCAATAATAATCAGTGCAGTACGAGATTTTATGCGTGTAAAATTCGAATAAGAGGATGCTCAAGGACTAAGCCTGACTTTTTGAGCTTTGAGACTCAACCGAGAGACTTGAAGGCGCGTAGAAGGATTCTGACTCATCGATATTGACAAACGACATGGTAGACTGTGACTCACAGTTTTCCGTACAAGTTTCCCACACCTCAAGTTCTGACAAACTGACTCCCCTGTTCTGAAATCCCGCGCCACTACTAGTGATCATTAATGGCGGTCAAATGTCTACATTTTCGTTCGATGGGGATGGCGAACCTGACTCCTTTAGCCTTGCTAAATTGCAATCGGTCGTTAATCTTTATTTCTTGACAAGCTGGAGAAACTGGTTGAAGGAAGTTATCATAAGGTCCGTCTGGCCTTACATGGCACAGATTATGTCTGATATTTTTATAGGTATATGATGTCTTGCGATCGGATGGCGCCCCTCTCGATGCTGTCGTTCGAGTGGCCTCTCCTGCGTTTCCAAAGGACAAGCTCGAGTCAGAGGCAGCTACAAATACATGTTATGTCGTTCGTGTTGGCATTTAAGACTCTACGTTCTTTCGAAAGGTCGCGACGTGCAAGATGATCGTTGCGTTCACAAATATACCTGTTCCGCGAATCTATGCATGGAACTCTGATGTGTCGAACCCTGTTGGAGCAGAATACACGATCTTGGATAAAGATCGCCAAAACTAACTAATGTGACCGTCTGGGATGTTTCACTCATACATCGCACATTCAAGATTAAAGGGCCTCTGCTAGCCATAACTGGGATAATCTCTCTGAAGAGGTTAAGAAGGCCGTAGTGTCGCAGGTTGCACGCTATTTCTTGGAGATATTCTCTTCGATTTGAAAGCTCAGGACCTCCCTACTCGAGTCCTCTCTCACCTCAATTCCTCGTCGGACCAATAATCAGCACACCGTTCTATCGTGCTCTCGATGGCGCTGTCCGAGTTCCCGACGCGCCCATCTCAAAAAACGTTGATCCCAACAGAGGTCCTTTCTTCACCGTAACCGAATATCTTTCGGGTAATCTACGAGCAGAGCTCGAATTTATCTCCAATCACCGTTCGGTCATTCTCTCGGAGTTTCACGAATACGACTATACTCAGTTAGCAGAGAGCCGTCTCGAACTCGGGGAGCGTGTTATGAGAAAGGCTATTGAACTGTGCTCTGTCTATCCTGGTGATACGTTGGTGCCAATATCACCACTCCACAAAGACCATTCTGCTTAAAGCTGGATCAAGCATATGTTATCGCGTTCGAGTACACTTTCAGTCTCAGTAAGAGCAGAAACGAGGACCCTGGCATAATCTTTTGAGAGACTCGAGTTCTGGTCCGAGTTTCTAATTCGTGACTAAATATTAGGGTGAACTGCGTCACGTATAGTTTGATCGAGCTCATCACGTTGCGTCTGTATGAGCTGTAGGGATACTACATGAAGATCCTGTGACCCTGAAGATTGTTCTGGCTGCGATGCCATGGGGCCGTGCTTGTCCATTATTAGTGGAACTCAGTAGTTTCAGGAGGTTGAACGGCAAGAGGTGTAATTTCCAACATAGGGCTGTTTGTTAAATAATCCTAAAGCGTCCTTATCAGAGGCGTAAGATCTTAACGTTCAGCTCTCAGCTCACGCCTGATTATAACAGAACCAAGATTGAAATCCTTTGAAAATATACAAAACAAGTCAATTACTCATAAACCAGTCAGTCAAGTACTCTTAGCGTTGGCCGCATCGCGTTCAGGCCTTGGCCTGGCAGCTGCTTCAAGCTCAGCAAACGTTCCACTCTTGAGACACATCGTCCTGAAAATGCCATCCTCCTTCTGGATCAGATTCAAAGGTGTGTCGAACTCCGCAACCTGGCGCAGTCACACATGAGTATGAGCCCGCATAACCTATCATAACACGCACCTCTCCTGCATCGAGCACAATAAGACGGTCGTAATCAATCACAGTGCGTAATCTGTGCGCGACTAAAAAAGCATAAGCATCAGTAAATGCCAGTCAATCCCCAAAGTAACCACTAACCCGTGAGCAACAAGGAATCCGTGAACTCCTCCCTAATCGTCGCCTGAATTTTAGCGTCGGTATCAAAATCAATGCTGCTCGTTGCCTCATCAAGCACAATAATCGCGCTCCGCCTAAGCAACGCGCGCGCCATTGCGATGAGCTGCCGTTGACCCTGCGAGAAGTTTGTACCGCCTGCAGACACCTGAGTTTCGAGTGTGATGGTGATCTTGGACTCCGTTGATACGTCAGTGACAGCCATTGACGTAACAGAAGGGGCGACATTGTCAGGCGTAGATGCACGAGATGGTGCGCGGGAGTTGTGCAGAGATTGGTGAGCACTTTGACTGAGCATTTGCACGCGGTACAGCACATCCAAACATTCGCTATCTTCATGTTCACCTGAAAGGGGTTCGGTATCTATGTGACAACCAGAAATGTTAACGTACCGAACGGATCAAGGTTATCTCTCAATGTGCCCGAGAACAGAGTCGCATCCTGCCGCTAGATCAGTCTCATGTGAGGCGCGGCACCACAATACAACTCACCTGAGGAATAAAAGTCTGATATACAAGTTAGCAACAGAGTACACACAAGTAATACATTACAAACTCACCAAACGAGAGCGAAGGTCATGGACACCAATCGTAGAGATATCAATACCGTCGATCAGAATACGACCGCTGACAGGATCGACCTAGAAGATTGGTTCAGCAAACATAGACCGTCCTTTACCAAGCATTACCTACAAAGCGAAGAATACTCATCGCCAAAGTCGACTTTCCACTACCTGTACGTCCCAAAAGCCCAATTCGCTCCCTCGCATTCAAAGTGAAAGAAACGTTATGCAAGACAGGAGGGAGCTCAGGGGCATATTTGATGACCAGGTCCTCGACGGTTAGCAATCCTTCCTTCGTCGAGCTAGAAGGCCAATAGGCAGGAGGACGACTGGACTCGATGACGGCAGCAGGCTCTTGCGGCAAATCGAGGTATTCTACAACACGCTCGACGGAGCTGAAAGGGCGAGACGGATGCACATGAGCATAATAATATCACAAAGTATCCCCACATACTTTAAATCAAGCTCAAGTGCGGTCCAGAACCGACAGGCCCAATACACACTGGTAGTAAAGGTCATAGCACTCGTGATACACAAACCCGCGGTACCAGCTGAGACGTAGCCTGATAGCGCAAGGAGAGTAGTGGTCAACACAGCCAACCCACCGAGCCCATCAAAGTTCAACAAGAGCCATCGATTCGTCATCCAGAAATTGTACCACATCTGTTACAGCAACTGTCAGTGTCGTACGTACAGTAAGATCAAAATTTTGAGTCTACTTGGTAGTAACGTCGATTTTGTCGTGTAGGTCGTCCAAAAAGCGCTGTTCAGCAGAGAAGGCCCGAACCGTAACAATACCCTCGAGCAACTCGCTAAAGCCAGAGAAGATAGGCGACCGGGAATTAGACTCCATACGACGAAGATCTCTGCCAGTCTTCAGATACCCGAGAGCTAGCAGGCGGTAGAAGAAACCTATGACCACAGCAGGGATAAGGAAAATCGGGAAAAACACACTAGAAAGTCAATGTATAAGCATATGATTTGTCAAGACGCGAGCAGTGACCTACACGACGGTGATGATCGCAGCCGCAAACGTCGCCAACGAAGAGTTGACAGCTGATAAGGAGCCCGCGAGATTGGTGTCAATGGTTTCAATATCCTAGAGACCACCATGCGTGAGTTGACGATACAAAACTACAGTGAATTCAACCTCACTTTTCCGAACCTATTGAGCATGCGGCCAGCCGGAGTGACATCATGCCAGCGCATCGTGGCGCACACGACACCTGTCAAGAGCTTGTGGAAAATAGACCTCGACGCCTTCAACGCCCGTTATACTGAATAGCAGTCGACAACACGCTGACTGCCGCGGTGGCGAACCCGATCATCGCATAAACACCAACGTAGAATAGCGGGTGTTCGTGAACGTCAGGCAACGTGATGGGGCTGATGCCAGAGGCATTAACATGGAAGTAGTTGTTCGAGTAGTGTCGATGGTCATGGTAGGGTACGTAGCCGTTCATCAGCGCCTCATTCTCGGTCAACACAGAGGGTGCCATGATGTGTGGACCTAGCTCGGCACCATCGCCGTATGCTTGACCCCATTGCTGCAACAAACATGAGATGCCGATAATGAAAAAGAAAGCATCGACTAACCCGAACCCAGAGCTTCTCAATAACACCTAAGCTCTGCGAACAAGCGATGAGAATCCCAAGCATAAACCACGTCCGGTATGACCTGCCCATAGTCAGCTATGCAACACTTGAAATGTAACAAAAGCCTTACGATGCCTTCAGATACGCATTATAAATCGACCACTTGACGCCTCCAGCCTCCCGGTGCTCATCCTTGATAAGCTTTCGAGGCTTTTTCTTTGAATCTGCAGACGTCTCTGCCTCAGCGTTGTCCTCCTGCGCTTCAACGGGGATCTCGATGGCCGCTATAGGTTCCTCTTTGACTTCTGCAGTGGAATCATGCGCAATGTGGTCCAGAATGCCCTGCGCACGGAGATCTTTAACAGTACCCTTGGCATCGATGCAACCATCCAGCATGCGGACGAGGTAATAAGTGCCAGGGAGCACGAGCTCTACGTGGTGCGTGACTAAGATCTGCGAACGGATTTAACACCGCGTTGTATCATTGTGAATGAAAGACATACCACAGTACGGTTTGCCATCAACGGTCCGCGGAAGAGTCTCTCGTACAAGAACCGGGCAGTATGACTGTCCTATTCACAATGTAAGCATGAGGACGACATGTGAACAGACAGATAGCGACACTCACCACAGCACTCAATGGATCATCCAACATGATATACTTCGTACGAGCATACACGGCACGAGCAAGGGCAACACTGAGGGCCATGAGCATCCCGAACAGAGATCTAAAAGCCCATGCCTCACCGAGCCTTTTGGCCACCCGACAAGCTGACACCCCTAGAGCCAATCTCAGTATCATCTCCATCCTCCAAGATATTCAAGTCCGGCCGCAGCGCACAACACTCGACGACATCGTTGTACCTCTCCTCGTCAAAAGGTTGCCCAAATAGAATGTTGTCTTTGATAGACTGATGGCGCAGCCACGGTGATTGAGCAGCATATGAGATTGAGTGCATAAATCCGTTCTCGTCGATTTTCGATGTATTCTTCGAAATGGTCAATTTCCGCTGATGGTGGTCATCTCGCCCAACAGTGCCATCTAACAAAGCGTCATGTGAAACTTAGGTTGAATGGAAGGAACTTTACTCACGAGCAAAGCAGTTTTGCCACTCGCTGTCGGTCCAGTAATCACAGACAGCTCACCCTCGGGAAACCGTATCGAAATATCCTTGAGTATGAATCTATGATCTTCGGGCGACGACCGGATGGACGCAACCTCGGAATCAACGGCAGTCGCACTTTCATCGCTCGAACTAACACGGGAGAAGCTTTTGCCCTTCGCTTTTGGAGTTTCCTCAGGTTTCTCGGGAACCTCATTCCACTTGAAGGTTCCATTCTCAATTGAAAGAGTGTCATCCTCTCCATCAACATGGGGTGCGCGAGCCTTCTTGATGGAAGACACCTGATCATCGACTTCGTCCTCCTCGAGATATGTCTCAATACGTTTCAGCGCAACGCCAGTCTGAAAGCCTGCCATCAGATACAACTCTCCAAAAATGAATGATAATATCATACCTGTAGGATTTGAACAATCCAAGCTGGAATAACACCCAACGGTTGACTGACGCCCGCATAAGCCACAGAACGAGATAAATGTATCATTCACGACTTACCGAATCATGCTGAACAGTGCGATGGACTGAAAAACTGCATCAGTAATCTCACTTGATTTCCAACAATCACCGAACTAACCGTGAATGCAACCGACACAGTCAACTGGTTTCCTTGGTACACGAAAGTGAAGAACGATATGAGCGACACCAAAATGGGAGCGGAAGTCCAGATCACGGTAAACATCACTGAGTTGATTCGAGCTAGTGAAATGACGCGTCAGTCGACTTCCAAAAAAACGACGATGCGGTTATTTACCTTTCACCATCCAATTCATCTCCACCCCTCGTGCTTCCATGGTCCGTTTAATCCAGCGGTCCTCCCATGCGAAGAACTTGATGAATTTGACAGCACTGATGAGCTCGTTAAGGACGGCCATGCGTTTATCTCGCGAAGCAGAGACACCCTTCTGAATGCGAATGCTGCGTTTAGTAACAAAGCTGTTCAGGGGCCAGCCAGCGAGAAGAACGATAAAGCCTGCAAATGCAGATAGACCCAGAAGACTGTAAACAGAAGGTGAGATGCATGAATTGATTGGCACGAGTGGACTTCCTTACTTGTAGAGGAAGGTCGTGGCAATGATAATCTCAAACGGACCTACCAACAACGATAAAATCAACTGTTAGACCAGGAAGGACAAATATAACTGACTTCCGTAGATGAAATATGCGCCAGATACCATCATGGCAATCCTATTTGCATCTACAGCCATTAGATTGACGATCTTTCCAACATCTGCGCCAGCCTTGGGATCATCGGCGGTCGGATTCTCAACAGGCTTGATCCCCGCTTTTTTGTCGGCAGCCTCCTTGGCTTTGTCCTGGTCGATAATGCCTGAGTAGTCCTGACGCTTGAGAGCTTTGTCGTAGATGGCAGCCATCAACTCTACACGCATCCTTGTCGCTGCTCGCCGTCCGAACCATAGGTGTTGGACATCGGATTCTGCCTGATGCGACATAAATGAGAGCTCCAAAGTGATGACTTGGATATATACCTTTAGCAATGTGCACAGGAAGGCCAACAAAGCGTAGATATATGCTTGAGACCGATTCTCCTGCGGTAGGTTCGTCAATAGCATCAAGGATACGCCTGAGAATCGTTGAGCCCGGTAGCAAATTAATATAATAGAAAGCAGCACTCACTTTAAAAAGAATGGTGAGGCATATGTGAATATGACACTGACATAAGTCAGGCAGAAATCCAGTCTGATTTGAGCGTTGAGTGACATTTTCAGTAAAAGAGAGCAAAGGGCCCACAAAAGATCCTTCGAGTTGGCAGCCCACAGACGGCGAAGGAGAGAAGAACGACTGACATTTGACATTAACAAGGGGCCATGTCATAGGATGATATATACGTACATGACGGTACTGAACTTGATGAACACCGGACGAGATTGTTGGGTAGGACTGAGATTCCAAACGTCATCCTCGGCCATGGTCATGTTCGAGCCACGAGTGATGAGCGGGTAGACCCATGAGAATGTGATCCACTCCCACATAGAAGCATAATCTTCAGGCGAGTGCTTGACATACTATGACGCGAGTAAGGGAATCAGGAAATAGGCAATTAAAGAGACAGCGACGCACGATATCTTCCTTCTTTATGCGGTCGCTGGGCAGCTCAAAGGGCATATTTCCTACGACGGTCATGACCACGAGAATGGCGATGAGATTGAAAATGAGGCCCAAGAATGGGAGCTGTGGAGGTAATGGGACACCAAGAACCTCGTGATCATACAAAGTACCGCCAAGCAGGATAATGCCAAAGGCGAAGTGTAGCACAAAGAGGGTAAAAAGATCGTAGTGGATGGTTGGCTTAGGCCAGAAGGCGGACTTGCAGGAAGCATATATCCAAGTGGCAGCAATGAGAAGTTGGGTAATACCGGTCCAAATATAGGCCTTATTGGTGATGATGTTGTATGCACCGGCAGCAGACCAAAGGAGAGCCTGAATCAAAGCGACAAATGAGAGTAGTACGGTGCGCCATAAAGGAACAGTATTGTCGACGATAACGTCGCCTGTTTTTTCCCCTTGATTATCTAGAGCTTCGGCCTCGCGCAAGGTCAAAAAACTGCGGAAGGGCGATTTAATAGCGCTTGCAAGTGGACGAGCGAACGCAGGAACCCGGAGTATGGAGAATAGACACAGCGCTAAGATGAGCGCAGCGGGTACGATCGCACCAAGGGAGGCGCGTACACAAGCATCTGATAAATCAAGTGCATTGCTGCCTGGACACAATCGAATCCCCATTGCTCTCCAGGTAAGATTTTGGACGTGCTATCCCGTATGGCTTTGAAGTTTAAACCAAGTCGGGACTAAAGCACAAAAATACGGCGCCAAGTGTGGCTCGGTAAAGTGGTAGTAGCTGTAGTGAGTAAACCGAATTCTAGACACGTTGAATGTTGAACACGCTCGCTTATTATGGGGCCTTACGGGGCTTTAGGATTTTGCCGCAGTCATGCCGCATTGACCCTGACCAACCGAGTGTGCTGTATTATGCCTACGTCATCCATAAAGGTCTTCAATATGATTTAGATAGCGATATGACATTGTCAATTCCTGATAGTAGTACTTCATTGGTGCGGCAGTGATGCGATAGGATACAGCAAGCTGCGGCAGTTCTGAGATTGGGTGCGGCAGAGTGCGGCAATTCTGAGATTGGGTCGCAGTGCTACAGTAGCGCAGTTTGGGCGCGACAGTGGCTGTGCAGCCAGTTGCACCGAGACTCAACGCCTCGATGCCTCTGCTTTGCACCGCCACATATCTCCTGCAAGAACAGATATCAGGGCTTCAAGGTACGTGTTCCATATGTATGTGGCCTACTGTCTTGCCACTCTAATGTCATCAAGCGAATCATTGACCCCAGGCTGTTTGGCATTTTCGCGTGAGTAAATTCGCACAATGTGTCCATCAGGCCAGACGTCTCACTCAATAGCGCCACTAGTATGTACCTGGAGCTTGGTCTTAGGTGTCTGGGGTTCATGGATAGCAGAGGAGTATGGAGATAATACCTGAGGGTGGGTGGCTCGTCAATCATGCGCGTGGTTGAACTACTGGCCTGAGCAGGAATTTGCGCATTTTTACGAGACTGATCTCGCGTCTCATTTGGCTGTGGATGCTTGGCCAGAGCAGGCTGACATTGTTAAAGCACGGTGCCCTACGAGCCACCGGCCCGCCTGTCCTGGGGATCAGTGTACAAGATAAGGGTAAAAGGTATGGTACGAATAGTCGAGAACGTCCGCGTTTATGTTTATGGCGTTGGTGGCCGGATATGGCACACTCCCTCCAAACTCTTTCCATTACACCTTCCTACGATCATCGCTCAGACCACTCACTACCCTCCACCTCCTTCGTGCCTCTCTCCCTCTCTCTCCAATTATCACACTCTCCACAAGAATAAAGATTATCAGCTCAAAGAGGGATAAAAATACATACAGAATTATCGCCTGACGAGGCTTGGTGTCTGATCGATAGAACCTCACCTAGCGCGACAGCGGCTGCCGTGGTTGGTCAACATTTGGAATTTTACACCCGCCACATACACACGCGTTGCATCTCCCCACCATTATATTCCTGAAATACTCCACAAGCAGGCGAGAAACGCGTTCCATTACCACAAGCCAATCAATATCACAATAGTCGAACTAGAACCATCTCATCCTCGTTGGAATCCGCGTCTGAAACGGCTGGCGGGAACGGTAGATTGATGGGGTACGCCTCACATCAGGATATCAACATTCGTGATTTCAGAGATCGAACATGTACACTGGGGGTCCCGTTGATTAGAATGTACTGTCCATACCAACACAATTTGGAATAAATAAATAAATAAAATAAACATGTTGCGTCCAAATCAGGGACTGAATTTAAAACGTTTTTATATCCCTCCTAAGTTAACACTCTAGGCACAGCCCAACCTGTCCAGTCGCACCACGCACAAGACCCCGAGCATCAGACGAAGCTGAAACGCACTTTCATGCCACTCACCACGTCAGCACTCCCGCAACTTGCCGCGCGCAGCATCACTCAGGCCACTGCGCACTGCGGCAGCAGTAAGTACTGGCAAATGTCATCAGCATCTTGGGGCCACTCAGCACGCACGAATTGATCTGCTTTCTCGACTCCAGGACGGTCTTTTGGTACAGCAATTGTTACTCCTTTAACTACATGCAATGCAATAGCATTGAATATCCATTTTTATCTCCAATACCCGTTACACGATGCTGAATAATGATGCATCTGGACTGGCAATGCTTTCAGCTAAGAATACGATCCTGTCCAATATTCGTCCCTGAAGCACATGTTAAAACTAGTATACTGATATAAATATTGCCCAAAACAAAAATGATATCAACTTACCTCCAATATGCTGTATATCACACTTGCAAAATCAAAATGATCCTTTTAGTGAGTATTGTGTATCTTGTACATCTGGTCCGGAGCTCGACGCACCATCGCCTACCATGCGATCACATCTTGACCCTTCCCGATCTACCAAGGTATCTGATCGGATAGTTCTAGTATCCGAGATAAGAAATAATCAGTTCGAGCATACACTACGAGATCTTCCCAAACGGTGGTCCTTCCAAAATCTAGCACAACAGTGCATTCAAATGCACACAGTTACAAACTTCGGTCCCGTGGCGGTCTCCCCGATGTACCAGCAATAATAGTTTCCGGGGAAGATCCGGGGCTGCACGGTGCCATCGCTCCGGCCGGAGCCTGCAGAATGTAGCCCCTGAGCTATCCATTTATGGCCGAGACAAAACATTTCTACAGCATTACTTCTGGTGTTGTATGTCGTTCCGATATTCTGCTCACCTGTTCGGTGCCACAACTTACAGTCAAGTCCGGCAAGGTCACCCTTAAAAGACCTCATCCACTTTCACGTCTTTGCTAGCGTTGTGGACGTGGACGGAATAAACGCAGACCCTCCATATCCAAGGGCGGGGAACACCCTGCGTGACAGCATCGAGCATTTACATCCACAACAAGATAGTGACGTCCTCGCGGAACTTATCCTGTCAAAAAAGCCCTGTCCTTCACGTGGCGGAACATTCATACTTGGCCTGACGTAGTGACAAGCGAACTGAAAATGGGCCGAAAGTGTAAGTTTGAATAAGAAATCAAGTGCTAAAAATCGTCAGGGATACTGACACCATACCGGTCCTCCTAGTATCTGCGCCACAGATCTGATCCCCTCTTGTTCGAGGGAACCAATTGATGTTCGACTAATAACGGGGTACTAGAAACTGAGGGATAGGCTTGGCGACAGAAATAAGCTCATAGCTCACCGATATAATCGTGCGTTTTGTGACGGGGACTCGGATAGTGCATGTCGTTGTATTGTAGTACGGCATAGTAATTCAACCCAGTGGGGCAACGTCTCGAAAGCTGGGCCAACCATGTATAGGCAGATGTGAGAACATTCCGATCAGCTTCGCTGGTACTGCACTAAACAGCGAGTCGGGTCCGCGGCAGCACACTGCAGTCACTGCCACTGATGGAAGAGCATGTACCGGCTAGTACTTGTCGAATTTTGTTATTTGAGCGATGACACCATACCTAGCTTCACCGCGGCAGGGCCTATCATACATGGGTTAGGCGTAGGCGTGTTTAGGCGGCTACTTCGAGCCACCTCATAATGGAGAGCAAAAATAGCGGGACAGGTGACGATCCAGGGTTTGGAGTCTGCGAGACTCGTAATCACCACAGATCGAATTCAGCTGCTGAATACCTGTGGGAGTGAGGATGCTGTTCGAAAGGTCTCTAGATGATTTGTTCTGCTACAACAACACGGCTCTAATCCTCCACGGCAAATTCCACTCTAAACACCGCTAAACACTCCAGCCACCTCGCCTACGCCCCCAAGGCTCCTACTCTACTGTCAAGCGTTTCCTGTAACTTTGAACTTGACTGATACCCCACGCATTATAGCGTATGTTTATAAAACAGCAATAACAACAAGATAGGATGCCAAACTAAAAATAAAAAACTTTGCAGTATTGTCCCACAGCACCAAGGTCATAATTAGTTTATGATTTCGACATCGTCTACAGCTTCCATCTTAACCCACATACCACCCTACGAGGTAGAACATGATTAGATGGTTGTAAAGCACCTCGGAATGAGACTCGCCATGGCATAAAGTGTCAAGTGGTTTCTGGGCCTGAATTGCTCGATAGCCTGCCGACCGCCTTTCTCAGCCCACCACGCAGGTGGGCGCATCGCAGGCTCGGGGGATAGCGTAATCGTGAAAAAGTTTTGCAGTAAACGAATGATCATGAACGACATTTCGTTGTATGCAAACTGAGGGGAGGAATGGGGGCATGAGATGGGTGGGAATAATGAACGAGCGACATACTTGTTGCCCCAAGCAGATTCTGGGTCCCGCGTTAAATGGCAGGAAAATGAAAGGATTGGGAATCAGGTATTTCTCCACGCGCTCGTCGAGCCATCTATCTGGATCGAACTCTAATGCTAGAGCACGGCCCCACGGAGTCCGATTGAATTGACAATGTATACGTAAACAAATAAAAATTACTTACCATCTGGTCCCCATAGATCAGTTCTCCGGTGCATGAGGAATACTGAATAGTAAAGCCTGAAATTATTCAAGTAATCATGCGATGAATCTAAATGATCGAATATAATGCATACATGGTGCCCTGTGGGATAAACAGTGGCTTCTTCCCATGTTCGGGGGATATCCATGTGGTGTCATGTATGTTTTCCCTAAAAGCTCGTGGGTCAAGTCCAGCATCTTCGACGTAGCCTAATAACATACCTCACATCAAAGGGGCTACACGGTTGTGGCACGATGTAAAATACGTCTGAGATCAAATTCAATTACTTACACAGCGGGGAAAAGGCGCAGTGTTTCTAAAATAGGTGAGCAACATCCCCACGAATGACGGGAAACGAGAATACGTACCATTGAGGACGGCTCTGAGATACTTCATCTCCTTGATATCATCATACGTGGGTCTGCGAGTTAGCCCAACTTTCGATATGATTTCTTCCCTGAGCCGAGTGAGGAACTCTGGATGCATTGCCAACAAATAAACAGCTGATGTTAACGTTGAGGCCGTCTAATAATTATCCTTCGTTACAGACCAGGGTGATTCAAAGGTAAATGCAAGCTCACTGTATCCCTTCCGGCAAGTAATATATTCAATGTCTCATCTTTGATGATTTTGAAGTCTGAAAATGATATATCAACAACAGAAATTCCGTGGTAACACGCTATC